CAAAATGCATGTAACCTTTCCACATACTTATTAGTTCAGTTTAATACATGCACATTTTTACTCAATAAGATTGAAACAACTATGGTTGTTACTTTTTTTGTTAATTTAATGTTCTTTTTATAATTGTCAAACAATGACGTTCACGGTAGTTGCCTCCAAAGCTGGATAATTTTGTTAATTCTGATCCAATTTTGAAGATTTGTTGTCTCTTTAATGTTGCTTATATCTTCCACTCATCAAATAAGGGACAAAACTATGCACACATTCTGTCATACGGCCTCAGTTCTAATAGATATGTTGCTATACTACGATATTCTGAACAAAAAATGGATTGATGACGTCACAATTAATGCAAATTAGCTAATTTGCATAACTTAATATTGTAACCATATAGTAAATTTAATAAGGTTTAATCAGATACCAATATCATCTCTATAGACCAAATAATGGCGAAGCTTCATTGATTCAAGACTCCAAGGTAAGACGTATGTATATTATTGTCAAATAATGATATTCACGATAGCTGCCTCGAAAGTTACATAACTTTCGTAATACTGATTCAATTTTGAATCTGTTTTCACTTTTACCTTCTACTAATAGAATAAAGGACAAAACCTTTCAGAAATTTTGCCATACGGCCTCAGTTCTAATAGATACGTTGCTATAGTTGGAAATTCTGAACCAAAAATAGATTGATGACGTCATAATTTATGCAAATTAGATAATTTGCATAATTGAATATCAGGAATTTATTGGAAATTTAACAAGGTTTAATTTGGTACCAATATCATTTCTATAGACCAAATAATGACAGAGCTACAAATGATTTAAGATACCAAGGTAAGATGTCTAAAGATGCGTAACCATGGTAACTGAATGCCGCCATAAAAGTACTATGGGACATTTGTTGGCAATGTTAACAAATGAATTCATTAAATAGACACCCTAGGGATTACAAAAATGTATGTAACTTATTCACACCTTATGGGTGCATGGGAACCCCTTGTTCCTACTATACTATTTAGTCAGATGAAACTGAGTGAATAAATTTTAGGCGAATGTGTTGTTGATTTATACAAATCGCGCGGACGTTAGAGAACGTACTTCCGGTTTCTACTGAATCAGAATAGAAATGTCTGCTGTGAATTTCAAAGTGTGCTTGTCGACCTTTTTCAAGTATTTTTTTCTCTAATAATTGGCCAAGATAAATAGGACTTTTTGGACTAAACAGAAAGCCACGATACTATATTTTATCACAAAATAATATTTGATCCACTGCTTTGATTGCTTAATACAAATTTTACTGTTTGAATGTCATTTGTTGGTTAAAAAATCTTCGAGTTTCTACCTTCACACGTGTTTATCCCAACGAAATTGGCAAAAAGACATTCGTTTTTATTTATAATCAATAATTCCAACATGTATTCTATCAAATAAAGCCAAGTTCATAAATTTTATACTTAAATTACGGGTAGAAATTAATTATTGAATTTGGATAACAAACACACTTTATTTCGATCGGCCGCCATTTTGGTCCAACAAAGATCGTAAAATACACAACGGTTTTCCTGTTCAATGCGATTAATTCACGTAAAACTACACGATAAAACTATCATAAAACAATGAAAATTTATCAAAGCTTTGATAAAATGTCTGAAATACAACCTTGCTAAATAGGGGAATGCTCGAAATAACAGCTAATGTTTTTCTCCATTGAAATACATTATGGGAAATCTAGGTCAAAATAGTTTGTGTGTAAGATAACTGTTTGAGACAATTCGCTGATTTATACTCATCCAAAACGTCGATTGTGAACATTTGACTGATTAATTATATCAATGTGATGTATTCTAAAACATTGGAATGACTTTTAATAAACATTTCCAGGTAAGTCGAGTAGTTTGGATACCAATTGCGTTTTAACGTTTGGTTGTGCTTTGTCTAGTTTTATGTTTGCACGGAATACAGTGTAAGCCTACCTGCGCATACATATGCATGCACTTTCCGAGAGCGTATGGGATCGGAGACGTTTCATTTTTGAATATCAATTAAAATAAAATCTCTCCCGATAACACTATTAAATTATATTCACAAATCTGAATTTGCAATACACCCGAGCTAACCGATGTGCACAACTGAGGTCACAAGTCAGTACTGTACTTAATCAGATCGATGATTGTGCTTCACTTAGTGAAATTGAGTAAAGAAAGTATGGAAACTTCGTGTTTTTGCTTTAAACCCAAATGTTTTACCTAATGAACTGTTCCTTTCTCATGTTAATTACTGATAACTGCTAACAACCCGAGTAACAATGGTGTCTAGATGATCAGTACGAGCAATGAACACAACCCGTTGAGCAATCATACCAAATATGAAAAATACATGCAATAATATCCATTGTTTTCAGCTTTATTCGGACGTATTTATGTCTAGAAGTAATGGAGTTCAATAATTTGAGCACTTATAACTCAGCACAAATGACTAGAACCGGCCTTTGTAAGTGGAACGTAATTGGTCCGCATCAAAATTTGTTCCACTTGCAAGGGCACAAACAACACTGTGAAGAGTTCCATTTACAGAGGTTATACTATCATGGGATTGAGTCAAATCAGTTTTATTTGATTTTGACTTGTTAAGGGGAAAATACATCGTATGTTATTTAATTACTAGTATACCCTATTATAGGCGATCGATCTTTTATATTGTGTTTACCTCTACACCCCCCCCGGCCCCCCCCCAGTCTATGATTGTTCTGGTTATCTGCCATGAAAAACTTTTTTCAAAATGTAAGACTCATTTTCTAATAAATGACACCAGATTTATAACTTTTTCTAAGGTAGAATGGCGTTTGGTGACCAACATCGGCTGAAAACAACGGATATGATAGCATGAGCTTTCACATAGGAATGACAAAATGGGATATTGTTGTTGTTTTCAGCTTTATCCCATTTCGACGCCGTCATCCATATCAGAAGTGACATAGTGCAGAAGAAATTCCTATTAAGGTTAAAAACAAAAATGAATATATATGGTTGAAAAAAAAGCGACAAGGAGAAAAATATTTCCAAACCTATTCAAAAAAGCCTCGTGTGACTTTAGTACATTTCCATTATTTAGATTAAAATTGGCGGATAGGTGACCCAGACAAAAATAATGTAAATTATAATGGCAATAGAAGAACACCATACCCTGCGCGCAGAGTCTAGTTATTAAGAAGACGAAGCTCTCTCCGTTTTAAGATACGAAATCGGAGAAATGCAAAGGGTAAGAACATAATGATAACCTTCACGTGATGAGATTATCCACAATAAATTTTAAAAAAATGATAAAAACTATTCAATTAACTCTTAGCATTGATGATGTTAAAAAGCGACGAGGCATGTCTGCCTAAACCTGGCTACGCTAGAGAGAAATATGTCGGAGGCTAAAAGATGAAGAATAGCACTTCGGATAACAATAGTGATTTGGCTAGACACAATTTTAAAAGCCGAATTTTTAATGTTTTTTTTACCTGAACATTCATACATTGATTTCTAATTCTTAGTTATAAACAATCTTCTCTTCTTCTTTTGTATAACTCGTTAAATAGCGCCCCTCTGCCCCCCCTCCCAATTTCATTTTCCTGTTGAATATATGGCGGAGGCGCTATTAAACGAGATATATATAATACAGTTCTTATACTATTCATCCTTGGTCACTTCTTTCCATAACTGAATGACTCCTTTTGCTAAAGAATGCTTCATACCTCTATAATGATAAGACAATATCAGAAAGATCGTTTGCAATATCATTTGTCATATCGGATTAATGGCAGAGGGGCGCAAAATTCGTTTCACGAATGGAGGATTCGACACAGTGAATTGTGAGATGATTTAACAGCGTATGTCTTGTTTCCAGACTTTGAATGAGTGCAGTAGGAATTCCATAAGATTTTACTTTAATTATTTTTTGCAAGGACAGTATTTTTGCAAAGGTTTCCAAGGTGAAATGGTCATAACTACGCTTACCATTTGAAATTTTACCTGCATAGGCACCTGTATTGTTATTCTTTATGATACTAATCAAGGTGTTTCACTTGATGAGGGTCATCAATTTCAGGGAATCTAAAAAAGCCATGTTTGATTGGAATTTCAATAGAATCAATTTTAATAGACTAAAATATTGGATTGGGAGGTTATATAATTTAATTCAGACAGTACTTTAGACGTATATCAAGTACAAAAATAGTAAAGATATTGGGAAATTGCTGTCAGATAATCTTGCTTCAAATCTCTGGACCCCCTCCAGCCTCCTCCTTACCACCTTCACCATCTTGTGGAGAATGGCGTAGTGGATGGGGGGGGGGAGGAGGGTGTCACATGGGCCTGTAGCTAGGTCACTGTCAGAATGTCAGTTGAAGAAGGAATGCTTTGACCTACAGATGTACTCCTGAATGCTCTAAAATATGGACATATTATAAAGTAACAAAGATGCAAAATCAAAACACAAGAATGGCTGATAAGTACTTTCACTATATAATTATTTTATTAAGAAATGAGTATTTGTATATATCACAGTTGTATAAAATCTCATTAAAGAGAACACATATTCTCCAAGTTCATTCCATGTATAAATCCAATATCCCAGTTACTAGTATATATTCCTTTACTCTGAGATAAGTTTATCAGAAATTCATAAATATTATTCATGCCAAAGTGTTTACTCATATTTTCTAATTTTTATATAAATCTTTAATTCATACAAAATTCATTCATTTTCTAGTCTTGCTTCAAAACTCTGGACCCTCCCCCCTCATCCAGCAAGACCACTCAATTTGTCAAACAAATGTAGTGAAAACATGGCATAACATGATTCATATGAGAAAAATTTCCTGTACTCTTGCTTTGATAATGTTCCTTTAACTTGCCTTGGACTTGGTAAAGAAGAATCATCAAAGCCCATCAAGTATGCGCAATCTTTTACAAATGCCCATACAAAAATTTCCGATTGTCACCAAAATCTCAACTGCTTGGGACTTCCTGTTCATTTAGAGATTCAGGCACATTTTGATAATCAGGAACAGTGTTCCTATTTTGATAATCCGGGATAGGATTCCTATTTTGATAATCTGGAATAACGTTCCTATTTTGATAATCTGGAATAGTGTTCCTATTTGGATTGTTTTGTGAGTAAGCTTTATTCAGTGGGGACTCATATCTCGAGTGGACTCTTGTATGAGGAGCGGAGTTTGGCATCCCGTCTCCTGATTCCAACCATTTCTTAATTGAATATTCTGGACCATCTCTATGGAAGTTTTGACTTAAATCAAATAAGTTCATGACGGAAAGTTTGTTTTTTGGTATGGGTGGTAGTTGTAACATCGAGGGGGGTTGTGTCAGACGCATATCTCCCGCACCTGCAATGATGAACATTATGAGCGATAGAAATAATTTTTAAATAAAGAGGGCAGACCAATCAATCTGTGACTATTACAAGGTAAGTGGGATTCTACCGCTGTTGCCATCTTTATATCAGCTCAAAACTGAATTTTCTACAGTACGTCCCAAAAAACGCAACAAAGAAAGAAGAATCACAAAACCAGTGATGATTACATCATTGTGTTTTCATACATGGGTGAAAAGGCCTTTGTGCCAAGTTATGAAATATCTATCAACTGATCCTTATTGTGCAATCAGGTAAATCATTGTGTAATTGGTACTTGGGATTAAATTTTTGTCTCAAGATTTAAACAACACAAGTTTCTCATTTAGATTCACTAGGAAAAAAGAAAAAATGAAAAGAAAATTTAACTTTAAAGGCCCCATGTAAAGTTTAAACCACTTTGGCTTATATTGTAGTCTTACCCAATGTTATCAAAGTGTGATATGTGAAACCTTGTTTTTTAATTTCAAAAAGTGGTTTTTGATAGACTTTTTGTTCCAAAATTTGTGAATTTATTTAAAACCAACTTTTAGAGGTCACTCATATCTTCTAATTAGCCACAATTCATATCAATGCATAGCATACATCCTCCCATGTTTTTTGCCGAAAAAATTAAGAAAATCGGTTGATAAACAAGCGAGAAATGAACTTATCAGTGCATGAAAATGGTTCTGAGAAAAATGCATTTCAAAATTTTAGTTCTCATAGAAACCAATGGTACAATGATATCTAAAACATAATTTATTCTTCCTTTTAACCTGGTTAGACAATCCACATTGGTTTTTATGAAAGTCTAGCATATTTAGAAAAGATTGACATCGAAAAAAAAAATTCAAGTTTTTTCAAAAAGTTTTTGTTACCTTAGTGACATCACTAATGTTTCAAAATATTTTTGATAAGCTAAAACATTGAAGTGGCCTATTAAATATGACATTTTATTATTGAAATAGTGTGTCTTTTGTTCAATCTTTGCATTGGTGTTAAAAATATAATCTTTTTTGAAATGCATTAAGAAATATTTGATGATTAAGAAATTTCAACTTTTTTGAAAAATGGCGGGAAATTTGAATATTTGAGAAATGAAATGCTCACAACTTTTTTTTCAAAAAAAGTTTTTTTGTTCAAAAATCTCTAAAATCACTTTTTAAGTCCTGACAAATAGTAAATGAATGATAAAAAAATATTTTCAAACTTTAGACGGGGACTTTAAGTGTTCATAAGTATCAATGTTGGTTCAGTTAGCGAAACATGGCAAAAAAAGTGGTATAAACAGTCGTTGTCTGTCATCTTATGAAAGATTACTCATGAAAGATTACATTCCATGCCCTTTCACATGACCACTATTTCTCTACACACTGTGACTGGCCTGTGTGTCCATGTCGCACACCTCTTTGAATCATCTGGGTTTCTGGCAGAGAGCATCAACCTCATTGGTGACTCTTTGTTAACTGTTGCTATGTCTAAAACTTGGCCTAGAGCAGTTGTGCAAAAGGAATGATTATTCAGTGGTCCGTAGTCTTATATGAATAATTGACATACCACTGGAAAGAGGAGACGTGTGGCTTCCTGGTAAACCAAATCAAACTGATGTAATCATCACTGGTTTTGTGATTTTACAATGTTTTTGTTTGTTGCGTTTTTTTATGGGACGCACTGTATAAGGTTTTGATTTTGGAATGTATATAGGACTGTTACATGTAAAAATGTGCAAATAACTGTCAAGTGGACCATGGACAGTACAATTATGATTCAACTTATATTACAAAAAGTGATAAAATGGTAAAAACCTGTATATAGGGAACACCTAAGGAGTCACATAAAAGTGTTCACTGAAGGTAGATGTTCAGTACAAAGAGGAGATTTCATACAGGAACATGTGTAATATTTGTCTTCAAGTAGTGTTCACTAAACACAGGTGTTCACTAGAGAGAGAGGTGTTCACTACAACAGGTTTTCCTGTATGTAGTATTTTGTATTACAGTATTTATTTGTCTTTTTACATACAAATACTGTACCTGTTGCATGGAAATACTGATGCGCTCTGGGATTGAATACATTCCCACTCTGGAATGGCATGAACACGGCTGGCAAGTTTACATCTAAATAAAGAACAACAAAATTCTTACTCAGCTGATTTGGATGATATTAATGAATGAGTATAAAATCATAACAAACAGATGATTAAAGTAATGAAAATGGATCTGGGTGATATTCTGGTTTGAAGATTTGAATCTGTATTTGTCTCTATCCAGTTATCATCAAAAGTGTTCATATGAAAAATGAACTTAACATTTTCAGTCTGGAGACAAAAGGTTAATTGATGATGTTATTACTGTATGTGACTTCACATATCCAATTCCAAACAAATAACAAACAATAATAATGTAGAAATTGGTGGTGACATAATCCAAAACGTCCATACCTTGCATGACATCATACATGTCTTCTCCCTGCTTGCTACTGAGTCGGAACTGTCCCGCCATTTGTTTCTCTATTTGTTCCCGCACCTCCCCCATAACTTCCTCTTTCACCCTATCACGATTGTGCATGCTCTCCTCCTCATAAGTCTTCATACGCTCAAAAAACTGGAAAATATTTATTAAACATTTGATTCCCTCAATTTATGCTAAAACTTTTAAGAACTAGGAAAGTCTTCATTTGCTCAAAAAGCTGGAAAATATTTATAATACATTTATGTTGAAACCTATATATATCAGGACAATTCTTTAATTCGAACACCTCACAATGTGAACAGCTTTCCCTACTCCCAATTGTTATCTCCCACTGACTCACATACAAGTATTTAATAAACATAAACCTTGAAATGTGAACATCTGCTAATTAGTCTAAATCTGAACAATTTTGGCCAGTCACAATGGGATTCGAATGAGACATGTTTAACTGTATTTCTTGAACTTGCCCTCAATGTTTTATACCTCTTGAAATTATCAAATCCATATTTTTGGAATAAAAATATTTCATGTACGATGGTTAATAAACCAGAACAACGGCAACGCCAAAGCGTAGCGAATCCCATCGAACAGAAATGACTGGCATTTTTACAAACGAAATATATAGCAAATATCATAAAACAACACACCAGAAAGGCCACCATTTTCAAAATGGTTGCTCACTAGCCAAGTTGTCATCAGAAGAAATAATATGCTTTTAAGTAGCCACCTATAAAATTTTTGGAAAATCACACAAATGTACTTGTAAAATAACACACATAAAAATGGTGGCCATTTTTCAAAATGGCCGACTACTCCCCAAAGATTTATGAGCCAATGTGCCATGCTTAAAGTATTCACATATCAAATATGAAAAAATCGCTCCACTACTTTTCGAGTTATAGTAAAAAATGTAAAAATGACAGCCATTTTTTAAAATGGCCGCCTACTATCTGAAGTGTCATGAGACAGTATGCAAGGCTCATAAGTATTCACATATCAAATATGAACAAAATCGCTTCACTACTTTTCAAGTTATAGTAAAAAACGTAAAAATGGTGGCCATTTTTCAAAATGGCCGCCTACTACCCAAAGTGTCATTAGACAGTGTGCCATGCTTATAGTATTCACATATAAAATATGAAACATACCAAATATGAACAAAATCGCTCCACTACTTTTAAAGTTATAGTGAATTACGTTAAAATGGGGCCATTTTTCAAAATGGCCACCTTCTACCAAAAGTGTCATTAGACAGTGTACCATGCTTTTAGTATTCACATACCAAATATAAACAAAATCGCTCCACTCCTTTTCGAGTTATAGTAAAATACCTTAAAATGGCGGCCATTTTTCAAAATGGCCACCTTCTACCAAAAGTGTCATTGGACAGTGTGTCATGCTTATAGTATTCACATACAAAATATGAACAAAATCGCTTCACTACTTTTCGAGTTATAGTAAAATATGTTAAAATGGTGGCCATTTTTCAAATTTTTTTTCAAAATGGCCACCTTCTACCAAAAGTGTCATAGGACAGTGTGCCATGCTTATAGTATTCACATACCAAATATGAACAAAATCGCTCCACTACTTTTCGAGTTATAGTAAAATATTTTAAAATGGCGGCCATTTTTCAAAACTTCTAGCCCCATAGGGTATATGTGTACAAAATATGATCAAAATCGGGCCAACGGTATTTGAGTTATTGCCCGGACGGACGGACGGACAGACGGACGGACGGACGGACGTACGTACGGACGTAGGTATGGACGGACGGACGGACGGACGGACGGACGGAGGCGTTCCCTATATCCCTCCGAACTTCGTTCGATGGGATAAAAAAACAAAAACATGTCAGACTATAAGAAGGTTTACACAAAACATGTCAACAGTAACGTAAGTTAAAAAAATAAATTTAATGTAAAAAAAATTTGATACAATGATTTGTATTTTAGCCAGATGTATTTTATATTGACCCTTAGTAACTTACTCCTTTCTGAAGCTTCTCTCCCCATTTAGGATTATTTTTGCCGATTCTGAAACTTTTCTTACTTCTGGAGGCATCACTTCTGTAATATAAATAAACATTAATACATATAAGGTTGTCAAGGTAGTTGTCAATTTACTTCAAAGTACTTTAAAACATTGTAATCATTTAATGTACATTCGTTGTTGATACCCGGGTGTTGATACAAATTCAGCAAAGTCTATTTCAACAAAACTAAAGCTGCATTGTACTTCTATGTTATAATTTGGATACAATAATGATATACTGTACATTTATAGTAACTTACTTTTCTTTATTAGGTGGTTTTGGCATAGATGTGGTACTGTATTCCCCGCTATATGGCCTTGATGGCGCCATCTGGGACTGGGAATGTGACATGTCTTCACCTCCTTCTGTCCGTACCATGTTGTGCATATTTTCAGCCAATTCTTGCAGACGTCTCCTGATTTAAGAGCACAAATTTTATTCAATTCATAATTATATTTGAGAAATAAGTTGATGTTTTATGACACCAATAAATAAGTAAACACACACGCTTAATTTTGATTTCCTAAAATGAAGTAATAACTACAAAGATTCAATAATTACTCTGGGCAATTGGGTTAAATTGGTGGCCTTATCATTGATATCGAGCTATAGGTTATTCTAGTCACTTTTCTGAGTAGATGAGTCAATGCCAGAAAAAGGTAAAAAATGAATCAAGAATCATTCAAGAGATTTTTCCAACTTACTCATATTCCTCCTGCAGCATGACCATTTCATCCACATGCTGCTGTTTTAATGCATCATACTCACTTTGTGGCACAGTTTCCTACAATGAGAAATAAATCATGTTCAGTATCTATGGTTGCCATGGAAACTGTGTTAAACAATTTTCGTCTCATGTTTCATTTGAATTTGAAATTTGCTTTATCATCAGCTAATATAAGGGCGTATAGAGAGAGAGAGAGAGAGAGAGAGAGAGTAAATACAAAGACTTCATAAGACCCATGATCCATAAAGTCATGATCATAACATTTTCTCTTACCTCTATGGGTTCAGGTGTAAATGATATCGGAGACAATCCTCTCTCCTTGAGATCTTTATGTAAGCTCTTCTTGTCCCATTTATCCAGGTCAATTCCTGTCAGATCATTGACTAGCTCTTTCAAGGGGTTGGTCTCCCCAGCGCGGGTCAAGGTCAAAGGTTGAACACGTTTTGACCAATAGCAGACTAGTGGCACAGCTCCAACAGGCATCTGAACTGAATCAGTTCGCCCTACAAATAGCATGTAAATGAGCTTTAAATTCAGAGGAATATTTTGATTTTCAAAGCAACATGTTTAAATTGTTCTTATGCATGATGCCTGCACACATACTAAGCCTCTGTTACATGTCTTGTTGGCCTACACACATTCTTGGCTAGAGATTGCAAACATTCTTAACTTACTCATCTGATTGCCAATATACTTGGTATATACAGATTATTTGCCTTTCAGTATTCTTGGCATACAGATTCTTGGTGTGCCCATATTATTGGTATGAAGATCATTGGACCATGTCATATCTATGCAAGTTCAATATTTTAAAAAGACCATACTATATAGGGTGAGAAAAACATTAAGGTCTTTGGAATCAACTAACCTCTATGTTGTATGGAATACAATGGGAAGTTCACAGGGACAGCTTTCCTTAACTTTGACGCAGGGTCATCACCACGTGTACTTGGCCTTGATGACGATACAGATTCACGTTCAAGGGTTTTCTTCTTGGCATCTGATCTCTTGAGCTGTTCCTCCCAGTCTAGTTGCGATAGAGGAGTGTCACGACCATCTAAGATGTCCTCATCTCCTGTTTCTAGTGGCTCAACTATGATTGGTAGATCCTATGGATAGAATTGATCATTGATAATATAACATTGAAATAATTGAGCAACTAAATGATTAGACCCCCTTCCTCCTCTTATAAGTGTTAAAGCTTATGGTCATTGAAGTGAAATTAATGTAACATTACCACACGTTTAAATGTTTTTTTTACCATCATAGTCTAGATGTAATTCCTTTTGTGTAAAAATATCACAATGAACCCGTTAACATGCAAAATGTCACTGCATACCATTTTTTACAGACACCAACCACTGAACGCCTAACATGAACCACCAAACACCAACCACTGAACACCAAACCTCTACCACCAAAAGCTGAACACCATCCACAACAAAGTTGGATACTATAACAACATGTGACCACTTGTGGTGGTGACATAATAATTTAACCTGGCCTGCCCTTACCAATAGTTCCAAGTCTTTCATCTCCACAGTTGCCATTGAGTGCATCTCCTCCATAGGTCCAGTATGAACAGATATTCTCAGGTTGTCCTCTACTACAGTGGCTGGTCTCTTCGATTTAGTTTTAGGAGGAGGTGCCATTGAAAACTCAAACTCTTCATATTTGTGCATGTTGTTAGCACTAGTAACCCGACTGCCAACCCTCCCTGCACCAGCTGCGTAACAAATAAAGTATAGCAGTATGAATATATGTACAGCTTTTGTTCGCTATAATATATATATGGGGGGGGGGGTTCTCCTGAGATAAGGCACATTACTAGGCCCTTAACAAATTAAAAATAAGGCTCATAAAATACATTTTGTTAGTTCAATGTAGTTTTTACTACCAGTTTGTCTCTAGTTAAGGTAAGAAAGCAATTAAGCCTCTAGGTGTACATAGTTATGAGCTTTTTGAGTTGTTTTTAACAAATATATCATATCTCAACACGAAGCTACAATAATGAGAAATGTTGCGTCACATTGCATTATTAAACAATCAACAAACAAACAATCAATCAAAAAACAAATAAACAAACAAGCTGTATTTACCTGCTGCTGGTCTGGCATTAGTTTTTGAACCAATCAATCTGCCACCTTTTGGGCGTTCTTTCTTCTTGTCTTTTTCAGCTTCTTCCTTTTCTTTACTGGCATTACTCTCTACATCCTGAAGGTAAAATGTACACCAATGATATTAACATGGTTGTCACATTTTTCAATGCAATACAAGAATGTAATGTTAATGTTATGAACATTTTGAATTCTATTGAAATTTCATCACATGCTTTATTCAAAACAAATGCAAAATGTCACCACCTGCCATTTGTTACAGACACTGAACACCAACCACTGGACACCATCCACAAAAAAAAATGATGATTGACTACTGAAAACCACAAACCTGCAAAGTGCAGAAATGATGCCCAAAATAAGCTGATAAGCCTATTGAAAATTACTTTTGAGTATTACCATCGTGGACAAAGAATATAGTTATTCTTACAGAATCTGTTGGTAAAGCCATGTCAAGTTGTGACGTCTTGTAATAGTTATCTTTATACACCAGATGGCACTTCAGTTCCCTTGAGTCTATATCAACAGGTGTGTAAACACGGACACGCAATGACATTGTCGTTTCTGGCTCATGAGTCCATGTTGCGCTGTCACTCATTTCAGGTTTCAATTCAGCTGGAACTAGCCTCATATTCTGGAAAAAGTTTGGTATCTATAAGTATAAATTGCCATTTTGATCTCAAAGAATCAGAGTGAGAATAAAGGAAAATTAAGGATAGTATCCAATTTTGATTTTGTTTGGGGAAGGGTAAATGATGATAATCATTTAGCCATTATCAACATTTTTCAGATTTTTTCTAGGAGACTTAACTTAAAACAAGAAACATTTTCTTTTTCCTTGGGACAGCATTCATGAGTAAATTCAGGGATAAAATATAGGGAAGAGTTGAAACTCTTATTTAGGCATACAATATACTTCAAAAATATACCGTGAGAATTAATATCAGGTAATATTATATTGTTCATTTTAATGTAGTACTTTCTGTGTATAAGAGACAATATGATAATTATTTCTCAATATGTAATAATGTATATATAATATGATGAAATTGTAGTTAAAATCATTTTCTTGGTTTATAATATTGACTGACATTCCAATAGCATGTGTGCATTTTTAAATTATCATGGTGAAACTAACAACTGTAAATCTATGATATCTACAATAAAAGGGTTAACTACTATAAAATACAATAAATATAAAACTGTGTAATAAAAGGGTTAACTACAATAAAATACAATAAATATAAAACTGTGTTAAGTGTAACGTGGAATTAAGTGTAAATACACTGTTACTGTTGGTTAACATAGTGCAGGGAGTTACTTACTTAGTGAGAGTGACACACTTCATGTTAAAATACACTAAATTAAAAGCACTATAATTTGTATGTCCAGCATCAGTACTATACAGTTTTAAAAATATGAAGCAACTATTAGAAAATCTATGGGGAATAGAACAACATGTATGGTAAAATAACTATGGGAGAAAATGGTCATTCAAGCGATGATGGTTTCATCATTATGACATCACAGATTTTTCATTCTTGAACAAAGATAATAAAATTGTGCATTAAGAAAGTCAATAATATGCTTTACATCTTGTACATGTGGTTATATGCACTGTTTGTTGTACATCTATATTTATACAATATATGGTGGTGTACTTTGTGCTTGGACACCATGCAGAGAATTTAGTTCCTTTACTTACATGTACCAAACCTTCTAAAATAATGTTAGAATTTTATTTCACTTTAAACGTCAAACGTTAGTGCTCAAATAAAATAAATCGCAGTAAACACTTTTTCATGTAACAATACTGCACACTGTTCTTCAAGTGTGCCAAGATTGTGCTAAAATTTCAACATTTGAATGATTATCAACAGCACAGAATCAAAACTCCATGTTCGTTAATCAAAAAATGTCACGGCAGTGCTGATTTTGAGACCTTATCAGATATGCTTGAAGCGCGAGTACTTGGCCGACCAAAGGTATCAACCCCATCAAGAATGAAATCATCTGTGAATCGGACCATTTTAATGTCACTTGCAGAGTCACTGTCTCCCTCATCATCTTCATCTCCTCCATCATCTCCTGATTCATCATCGTCTCCTTCACTGTCCATGCCCTAATATGGTAGTGCATTAAGCAAAATGTTAAGGATGAGATTGGATGTATAGATAGAATAAAACAATTGAGTATCTTTGCTAGGTAAGCGAAGCTGAAAGGCAAGAATCATTTAGGGAACTGGAAGAAAATGGCCTCTAAATAACCAAAAGAAGCCACAAAAGCAAAATAAATGTCCTATGTGTATTCCTAAAATATTATGTTTACTCTACAATTAATGCATTAGAAGATAAAACAGTGCATTGACAGTTAAATCTGTTTTAAATGGGGAAGGTTCTCACACAATATGTAACGGTCCATATTAGTAACACAGTGAAGTAACTGTTACAATGACTACAATTTCTTTAAGATTTTTCAAACATAGCGAAAAAAGTTAGAACTGTAGTTTTATAATTCTACAACTGGTTGCAATATAACTACCATCTTGAACATAGTGCAAGTATAGAATTGGTGAATTGGCATCTCTCTTTAGAAATGGCAATAGAATATTACAGTAATGTAGTTATCATAACAATTACTTCACTGTATGTACATTGTATGTATCGATTAGATGGTTTATAACATTGTCTCACATCTCGTCCTCTCTACATTCTATTAAATTAAAACAAGCATTTAGAAAAGAAATTGTGGCTTTCGGGGGGGGGGGGTATAATAAAACAACTTTATGACACAAGATTGGTAAGTTTGGAATTGTTGTGTTATCAGGAATCAAAAGCATGCTACTCTTCTACAAGCGAGGGAAATAACCCAGAATTCATAGATGAAAGACCTATCTCTATTAGCCAATAATGGTTCATCTTTATTTGGGAATAGGTTCTTCTATGAATGCTGGGGTTTCCCCCTCTTCTCCTCTAACCTGTAGAAAGCTTGACAGGTCTTGATCTATAAGTTAAGCCCATGGTTACAGTATATGTTATAAGCATGTACATGTAGATAATAGATGTCTGATTAAACAGAACCATTGGCTCCCAGAGTGTGCTATAAGCTGCTAATGGGGATTCAAAATTGTGGTTATTTAAAGTGACACATTGCAATTGGTCATATTATTTCCAGCAAATTCCAGATAAAAACACAAAGCATCAATAAATGCTTCCCAGTCTCCTTAAGGAGAAATCAAAGGGAGAAATTATAAATGTATCATCATCAACTCTTAATATTCTCCACATTCTCAGATTATTGACAATTGCACAGAAATTAAAATTCATGTTTTTCTGGAAAATGCATGTTATTTCTTGACCAATGTGATATTGCGTTAACAGGAGGGTTGGATTGTACCGAGTCTGTATCTTCATTACTAGCCGTGTCAGCTATTTCTGCTGGCTCAGACCTTGATGTCTCAGTTCCAATCTCCACGCCATTGTCCTAAATACAAATGTTACTTACATTACTTTTTGCATCATTTTGATATTAATTTTTGCACAACCTTAAAAGGGCTCTGTCTCTAAAATACCCCAATTTTTATTGGTTTTTAACAACCTGGAATTGGCACCATTCATAGTCTTTGATACAAAGCCCTATTCCTTAAAATACCAAGCCTTGAAAAATTGCTCACCAAGAGGAAGGCATGACATGGGCACAATTATATGCACAATGTATAAAATCAATGAATTGAATTGTAATCCCAATTAATTGATTTTCAATACAGCTATTACAAAATCAAACAATTTTATCAATTAAGGAGATACTTATGTTTTGCAATTTCTAGTCCTAAGAAGAATTTTTAAAACTTTTACCATCTTGGATTTTTATATCTTTATTTGAAAATTTACAAATGAGTTCTATGAAAAACATGTCAAAATCTAAAATTTCTTAAAACAGTTGACACACATGACACACATGTAAAAGGGAATAATCAAAGAAACTTCAAAGAGTGTTTTACTGAAAATTAATTAGCTTCTTATTTTCAAAATAAAAATAAATGAAAAACATTAATTGATTAGGTGTAGAATCAATGCAATCAATTAATGAAATTTATCATTTATTTTGTCATTTAATTAAACTTCTACATTTCTAAAATAACTCAGAGTCTTTAGGAAGATACCAATCAAATAAACAGATTTCTCTAAATCTAAGTCAATGTTTTCCCTGTGCAAAACCTTATTAATTTTTGTTTAATGTAAATGTAATGTAAAGTTTTCAAATAACAGAGAAAGCATGATAACAAAAACCATGAAATCTTAAGAAAATTTCAATTAAAAAACATGTATTTCAAGTTTATATTATTGAACTTACCGATCCCATTCTATCACTGCTCGCCATATCTGAGCCCCGACTACCAAGCTTGATGCGTAATTGTTCAGCAAGTTCAAGATCATCATCATCGTCTTCAGACTCAGATGAATCACTGTTCAACTCTCCCAACATTGCCTCAACATGTTCTAGTCTGTAACGTGAAGGAAGTAAATTTTCTTCCAGTTAAAGGTACAAGAAAGAGAGAATGCTTGTGATGGAGGGAGTTTTATTAAGCTATACAGTGAAACTTGTAATGTTGAACACCTCTATAAGTGGAACACGTCTGTTAGTGGGCCACTTCAGAGTCCCAAGATCAAGTGACTTAATGTAAAATGAACCTCTATAAGTGGAACACCTCCCAGGTGGAAAACTTTTAAGAGGTACCTAAGGAGTTCCACTGTGACAAGTTTTACTATATATATATATATAATGCATTATAATTTACATTACAGCAATGGAGTGTAAGAACTATTCGTTATTTAAACTTATGGCTCAAGAACATGTACGTATCTGCCAATTAAGAGTAAACATTACGTGACTGGACTTTTCACATGTATGTCATGTGACCTGTGTTCAACCAATCACAGAATGATAAACAGTACAGTGAGATAATTGTATTTCTACTTTTGTCAAATTTATGCACTAAATTAAGTCAATTAATTACCCCAATTTTGCTTTGCTCTTAAATTCTTCAATCCTAAACTTCCATCGTCGTCCATGCCCTCGTGCTGTTGTCAGTTTAGAGAACAACTTTTCCCAGTTCATAATCCTTCGGTCTTTGGCTACTTTTTTAGACTAAATTGAAAAGAAATTAAAAGTATTATACAATTATCAATTTGATGAAATATTAAAATTGGAAATACAGTAAAGCCTGTTTAACTGAACACCTCCCAATTTCTTAATCTCCCATTGACTTCCATCTTAAAAAACCTCGAAATGAGAACACCTGTCAATTTTAACACTTTTTGGCTGGTCCCAATGGTGTTTGGATAAGACAGGTTTACATGTAGAGTGAAAGAAAGTTGAATCACTACTAAATAATCTTATACAGCTTGAGGAGGTTTAATGAAAATGCTTTCTAGCATGTTGAAATATGCGAGCTCTGAGCGATTTGATTTATTAACTTTTCCCTTTATAAGTTGTATTATAGTGTTATGGTCAAGGGAAATATATGCAAGGCATTAACATGCTAAATTTAACCACCTGCCATTTGTTACAGATGCTGACCACCAAACACCAACTGCTGATCACCACCCCAAAAAAGTTGGAGACTATAACAATATATCACCACCAGAATATAACAAGGCATTAACATGCAAAATGTCACCATCTACCATTTGTTACAGATGCCAAACACCAAACACCAAATGCTAAACACCAACCACCACCACAAAAAAAGTTGGAGGCTTACAAAATGTCGATCACTTGTGGCGGTATAAAAACCAGAAAAATTGCTGAGCCTTATTATAAAAGTTGACTTACATGTGCATCAATAAGCTGAAGCCTCTTTATTGCGATATTCAATTGGCGTTGTTTGCTTTCATAATCTTCATGAAGCTTTTTTAAGGCAGCACTTTTCTCTTCCCATGGTGTGGAGTACACTCTGACTAGACGTATCAGCTCATTCAGAGGATGATTTAAGTCACTTATACTGAAAGTAAACAATATTCACCATCATCACATCAGCATCTTGGAAAGCTGTGATATTAGTTACAGTAACTGTCATCAGAATGGCTACTAATACCTCCACTATGAAGTTCAAATAAAAACAAATGTCCAAATTCCCTATTTGAGATTCAAAATTTTTCCTCTTATTAAGTAAAGTCCTCAATCTAAGAAATAAAACATTGATTTCTTTTATACTATACCTACCTTCTAAATAGTTTCCCAGACACAGTACCCAATGTTATTAAAACATTTGGTGGGAGGGAATGCTTCAGTAGTTCATCTTTTAATTCAAGATACTGAAAAAAGAGATAGTGTACAGTACAAAATAGTAAATTGTAAAATGTAATGATTTAAATGGTTCAAATACAGTTCTTAAAAAAACATTGGTGGAGGAATTTTTCATTCAATACATGTAGAAATGGATGCTATTTAGTGAGTCAAGTGTCAAGTGTGCAAAACAATGACTCAAACTTATTCACTAACTATTAAATGAGATGGATAAAAATTCAAGGTATGTGTACTGTACAAGATAACTTTTTAAAGGCATGGTGCAATACAATGTTTATATTATGTGGCTGAGTGATGATATTGTTGTCATGATGTGCCATAATTGCACATCAGCAATTTCAGGAATAAACAATAAACATTGATGCACATCGCGATGTACATCAGGGAAAAGTTAGAGAAAAGGTTCACAAACTCACAGGTTCTCAAAAATTCACAAATCCCAAGAATTTCTTTGAAGTTAGAAACAAAGTTCACAAACTCACAGGTTAACAAAAATTCACAAATCCCCAGAATGACTTTTGGCAATGTAAACTGTGATGAATCGATTAATCGCAATAACACTAAAAATGATAAACAACAATGCATACCTCTTGTACACCTGCATGAACCATTGCTACAGAGTTATGAACTCCATCACATAAATTGTCAAATTTGTTTGGTTCACTCTTTCTTATTCCCCCATCTTGGCCATCGTCACTCTCTGAGTCGTCCCAAGATTCCTCATCCTCTTCTTCAGCTAAAACATCCAAGTTTCCAGCACCTGAAATATTCAATAAATAATTCATATAAAAAGAATATTTCAAATATGTATCACAATATGAAGAGATTGCTTTCAAAATAAAAAAATATGCCTTGCCAAGAAGACTATATCCTAGAGTTCTGACATTTTTTGAAAATTGAATGAAACCATGTCAATTTTGATGACACATCTTAGATTTTATTCTCCTTCAAAACGAGTGAATTTGAACTTACTTCTATCCAAAGCCATTTCGCATTAGATAATACACTTTGTTTTAAGGAATTGGATACTGTCTTTAGTTGTTATTCATATTTCTATGAAACATTTTTAGAAATTTTAAAAAAGTTGGAACCATTTTGTTGTAGTTACTATCACGTGACCTAATTGCCGAACTGTCTTAATTGATTACAATTCATTGACTTCATTTTCATAACATAATCCAGACCAAATAATAAATATGCATCCATTCATTTAGAAACGTGCATATTTTACTCGATTTATGCAATGGTTTTGTATAAAAGTAAGTTTTCAAAAAGTTGCCGAACTTAAAGTAAACGAGATCGCGCGAGAACTGACATGGCGGCTGAAATTTAATTCATGTTAAATTTCTCCTAATAACTTTAATTTACATAGTATTTAGACTGTTCATAACTGGTAAGCAATATACACTTGATAGAGAAATTATTATTCTATTCAATTATTACTATTTTAAGTATATAATTTCTAAATCATCAAAGTTATTGACTAATTCTTGATTTTTTTTAAATATCAGAATTTCCAATAATTCCATATATATCTATATATATCTATATATCTATAATTCTGGAAGAAGGATAGTCCTGTATAATCCAGATCTTTTTATGTATTATTTTCATATCATGTTAAGGGGGGCGTTGTTTAATTGCTCACTGGACATGGGTTAGTTGTGGTGAAGGAATTTCTGTCTCATCAGGTGCTTGTCAATTCCATTCTTGAATTGATTTATATCTGTGGTGTCTATTACAGATTGGGGAAGATTGTTCCATGTGTTGACGATTCTATTTCCAAATACATTTTTTCTTACATCGAGTCTGCTATATCTATGGCTTAATTTTTCTGTATTCCCTCTCGTCATCTTATTTTCTGATTTTTGTGCAATGTCCATGAGTTTGATTCTGTCATAACCATTCACTTTTAAGGAATTGGATACTGTCTTTAGTTGTTATTCATATTTCTATGAAACATTTTTAGAAATTTTAAAAAAGTGAAAAAAAAAGTGAATTCCATGTATAAGGTGAAACGTTATTCCAACGATTTAGGAATTATATTTCATTTATAAAAGTGAAACATTTTTCGGTGATTTTCGTTTTGTTGTCTCAAATGACAAGAATTATTTTTATTATATCATTATTATTGTTCACCAAGTTTCTCTTTGTCCTGAAAAATAAACTACAGTAGAGACAATAAAGAATTACTATAGCTATGAAAATTACATACTGTCGCACATGTAATAAATTCTTACCTCAGTGTATCCAGTACTCTATTTTCTCCATCCTAGTAAGTCCAGATATAGTGGAATTTGTGTCCATAATGACAAATAAGAACTTAAACATTTGACATGTTAATGCCGACTCTTCAAATGTTGAGGTAATTTTGGAACCCGATTAAGCCGCAATGAGCATTGGCTCCCAGAATGCAACATGACACATGCCAGCTTTCAAAATGCTGTTCCGCCATTTTGAAACCTGTCACGAGTAAATAAGGTTAACTGATGTTGCATTCTGGGAGTCAATCCTCCTTGGATCACAAACATGGCGATTCATGAAAACATTTGTTTGATTTGGTAGGAATTTGTACATCATTTGCAGGTATGAAGCTTTGGATTCATTTATTGTGCTACTTGAAGTGAACGGGAATTATTTTTCTACCACTTTAATTGAGACACAAAACTTAGAATTTAGCTCATTGTGACAACTTTTGATGGTTGAGGTTTATTTTTGTTCCCTTCTAGTGATTCAAGATCCCTTGATAGTCACTTATGTCTTGGAGTCTGAGTTGCGCTTTCATGGTCTCTAAACTTTTAATTAAATTTTTATGAGGATTAGACATTTGAGACAGCATTTACAACCATGGCCTCTAATTACTTAGACACCAAGGCTGTGTCTACTTTCTTTTACTTTTACTGACTCTCGGTGTCTTAAAGGGATATTCCTTGCCAGACAGTCTCTCTCATAATATGGCAGCTATAACCATATATTAACTTTCCATCTTTAGCAAAACATGGACAAATGTTTTGGTATAGTCAATATTGATTACTTAAAAATGTAGTGCTCAATTCCAGTAGGCTGCCATCTTTTAAGATTTCACCCAGGAAGTGATGTCATCGACTCTCAACTTTGAATATAGCATTAGGAAAAGAGCTATTAAGAATAACAAAACCAGCAGAATATTTTTTACAAAGACCCCCCACGAAGTGGCCTGGGATTTGTACTTTATTCCCACTTGAAGCCATTCACGTGACCTAAAGACCGCCTTTATTCCCTTATATGGTAAATCGTCAAGGTAACTATCAAGACATCATACGATTCGATTACGAATCAATTGTGTTTCCAAGTAATGTCGTCATGTGACGTCACCGACGCATCCGCCATTGCTCTCAAGTTTGGTCTGAACGGGTAAGCGAATTTTAACATTTCTGTCATTTTAAAGTCTGATTTGTGTATTTATAACCTGATTTCACTTCATCTTGATTGTAGAAATGAGTAGAATGGTAAATTATGATTGTGCTGAATCATTATTCAGGCCAGAAGTGGTGAAAAAATCATTTTAATATGAACTTGAAGAAATTTTGATTTCATTTCTCATGGTCTCACCCTAGGCCAAACTTAAGTCTTAGTCTAATTCAGATGTTCTCATTTTGATTGTGAAATAGGCTAGTATGCTGGTTGTGCTTGCGCCTGCGGGGCATGTGTCACTGACTGATCGTGTGGGAGCAGCAATCCCTCTGAAGTGTGTATTTCAGCAGTGCCAGAATAAATGAAAGGAAAATAAGAAATAAATCAGAACACGTTTCACATGCATTTTGTAAAGTAGTCTATCTAGGCCTAAAGGTGATTAGAAATCAATATAGACTTATCCTATTAATTGAGAGTATCAATCGCGCTGCATCGTCAATTTTGTATCACACTCTCCACACGACACAGTGGCCGATGTCAAACTTAAATGTTCACACCCCTTTTTGTACCCCTTTATTTCTTTTTCAGTGACATCAACTACAAAAACATCATGCAGTATAGGCCTAGTACAACAACAACAACAAGTGTAACAACTGCGAAGGCCAAAGTAAGTAGTATTTCCATTAACCTATTACACTCTGAACGTGTAAGTTGTCACTCGTTAGTTTTTCGTGACTGAAATTCCCTAGGGCAAAATTTCCCTGGTCATCACCCTGATTTCCTGATTTTGAGAGAATACATGTATGTTTGACAATCGATAAAAGGTCAGTGAGTCACATAAGAAGGCGGTGTCAAATTACTACATTTGATTTAGAACTGTGATATGCAGACATGACTTCAAAATCATCAAAAAGTCAAGTGACATTCTAAATGTACATTTCCTCGACTTATGGTACACGTTGACAATAACATTTTTGAAAAATTGCTATCCTGCACATGTTATTTTCTGGTACAGAATAAAGTATGAAAAGGGCACGATCCACGAGTGGATTAAAATCATATCACAAGTAAATCATAGGATGTTCTTTTTATGTTTCAATATGGGAATAGGCCACTTGACACCATTACTGTACTAATGAGCTTAACAATTGCCTCACTGATTAAAAATAAAAAAACATGAATATTTTCGAACGAAATGATAAGTGTACAAATAAATGTATTGACAAAGGTCATAAATATGCCTTTTCGTCCTTTACATTTCCAGGGCACACAAGGTAATCAAAAAGGTTAACAAGTCCAAAATGACATACAGTACCTGAGGATCAATCCAGAATCTCCAAAGACAACTACCAAGGGCAACATTGAGGAAAAACCAGTGTCTAGAAGTCATCTACCAGGGTTTAAATTGGACTTTCTGAAATTTGTTGTCCTATTTTTGGGCTCTATGATACCACAATATATGTGCTAAAGTTAGAAGATTTTTTATGTCACCATGTAGAGATCATGAGATGGTGACATATAATGTTGAAGTTTGTAAAGTTTATAGTCCTATTCCTGTATTCATGCAAGTTAACAAATGCAAGTCAATGTAAAATTCTTAATTTTTAACAGTTATCCATTAACAGAAAAGTTTAAGTCTACAAGTTATTTCTGATGTCATTGTTACAACAATGCATTTTAGGAAAAGTAAACTTCCTTTCAATCACCCCAGGTAAGTTCTGCATTAGAATACAGTACTTATACGGATGTGGATTTTGTCAAAGTTTTGAATCTGATTTAAAACTAATAAGGCCTAGTACAAAATGTAACATAAGGTAAAGGAGCATGCATTCCCGTCCAGAACAGTATACAAGTATAAATGGGACTCCTGTGGCAATGTAACCATTTACTTTGATTCCACTTTCAATTCCCTTCTATCTTCGGGTCTTTGTATTTTTTCAGTGATTTTTCACTGGATTTTCTTGTTCAATTTGGTCTTTGATCTAAATCCTTCTGAAAATCTCTTCTTTATTTCTAAGTTTACGAGCACTGAAAATATTTTTCCACAGAAGATAAGGGGTTCTTCTCAAGAAGTGATTTTGTGCTACTTTCCTATACTGTAATGGGCAAGGTTATGACAGGTGGGAGTTCATGAAATCACTTCCTGAATGAAATCTTAAAAGATGGCAGCTTACTGGAAATGAGTACTACATTTTTAAATGATCAATATTGACCATATCAAAACATTTTCATGTGCTTTGCTAAATATGTAAAGTATATAAATGATTATAGCTACCATATCAGGAGAGAAATAGTCTGACAAGGAGGTTCTTAAAGACATTTATTTATCTCCATCAATAATTGGCAATGACTGCGCACAATATGGAATGTACTACTTTGAATATTTTCTCCCATGACACAAATATGGCAAGGGTATCATAAAGTTGCTCCCTCTTGAGATATTTCCTTGGTGTATAGACAACCTTCAATCTTATTTGTGATTCATCAAGAGAAATGGATTTTATACAGTTGGCACCAAAAATGAATTCACGGTCATCAACTGGTAATAAGGAGCAATTTGTGGGCCTTTCTTGAACTGAATTCTTACAACATTATATACTCTCTATGAAATTTCGAATACATATCAATGTTTTTCTTTCAGCAAAATGTCTTCCCCTGAGACGGAAAGATTTGAGGTGACAGAAGATGATTTATACAATGAATTTAACCCTAACAGGCCTAGTTGGAGGCAGACTAAAAATCAAGCAACATATGGTAAAACATTAAACATTATAAAACATTGATATTATGACAAGATTTTACTTAATGACCCTATCAGTGACACAATTCTTAAATGTTGAAAGCATGTTAAATTGTGGATAAGAAACAGAATAACAGTACAATAGAAGTTGACATAATTTTCTTGAATATTCCTTATTTAGAAGCAAATTAACAATGTAAAATTATTTGTGAAAAACATGTTTATTTCTAGGTATATGGCATCATGATAGTGATGATGATGAAGATGAGAGACCAGGATTCGGAGGCGGGAGAAAAAAACGTACCAAAGATATGTCTGTGCCTGTCAGCTTTATAAGTGGAGGATATAAGGATAAACGTGATAACAAGGATTATAAAGAAGGAGAGGGTGATGGCCAGGTGAGGAATTTTAAGGGAAAAGTTTATTTTTATAAAATTAGTAACTATGGCAACTGAAATAATTGGAGTGAAATATTACAGACAGATATTATATATTACTAACTTAACTTATCATAGGCGGGTATATGTGTGATTTCAGAGAATGCCTTGATATGGTTTCATATTTTAGAAAATCGTTTTAAATGTTCAGTTTTCAATGTTCAAGCTCAAAAGACCATTCTGACTTGTCTTAAATGGTCAGCATATATTCTGCAAGATTTATTATGTGCTACTTCAAAATAACCTGTGTGTTTTGCCATTGTCTTGAGAAACATTAGAATAATACTTGTGAAATAACATAAAGAAATATATTGTAAATACTTTTATAGGGGGAAGATGAGCCAGTGGACGAAAATAAGACACTCTATGCACGAGATTTCATCCTAGGGGGTCAGGCAGGGAGTAAGACAGGTACAACATATGGTAAGAAGGTGAAGAAGCCGAAAGTCAACTACCCTGGAGGACAGAGGGTGGTTGGGATGAATCCGGGAGATGAGTAAGTATTATTGAATTTTCTTGAGTGTGATAAATATGGACCAGGTTAAAGTTTTTGTGTTGTCACACATTCATTTGCATATGAGATTGATATTTTCCAAATTACAAGTCAGTTTCTTTAAGAAATTTTACTCCTCCCCATATTGTGTTTGTAGTCATGCATGAATAGTCTTTTATATGTAGCAGTTTTGAGTTTTTCTATGTATTCTTATACATAATAAGCATAACACACAGAAGAGCAATCCATTTTATTTGTAGTCAATTTGGGAACTGGGAAAAGCATACCAGTGGAATTGGATTAAAACTATTAGCTAAGATGGGGTATGAACAAGGAAAAGGTCTTGGAAAGAACCACCAGGGAATTGCGACACCAGTTGAGGCATTCAAACGCAAGGACACAAAAGCTACTATAGGATATCATGGATCAGAGAGGACGCAAAGATCACTGAAAGACTTTCCGCAGCAGGTTGATTCAGAGGAGGAAGAAGACAAACAGTTTCAACAACAGCTTTCTCAGTGGAAAAAAGCACCTGAGGTATTTCATAATTGTGAATATGTTACATGCAGGTTACATTCTTCATACATTTTGTGTCTATAACCCTATGTCTTATTTGTTATACTTTTTTTGTGGTTGGCATTCTGCATTCAGCAGTTTGTGTTCAGCTGTAACAAATGGCTGGTGGTGATATTTTGCCTTGCATATGTTGCTTTAATTGTTAGCTCTGCTCTGAATGCTTGTACAATGTGTTGATTCTAATTCTAGGCAAATAAGAAATTGAAGCCTAAGTATACGTATAAAACAGCTGATGAAGTTATCACAAAGGGTGGCAAGAAAAAATCTGTAAAACAGAGCCATTTATCCAAGGTCAAGGTCATTGACATGACAGGTAGTGAATTTAAAATATTTATTTTGCAAATATTCATGAAAGGTTAGGTTGCTTATAGTGCAAAAGAGTATGTGTTTGTCTTGTATTTGAATAGACAAAATAAATTCAATGAATGAATAAAAATTCTTTGGGGCAGTAATAATGTTTGGGTGTTCAGGCTGACCCAGGGGATGTCATTGTTTCACCCTAATGTTTTTACTTAAAAACATTCTAAAGTCTTCGGTCAGAGAATCTACTTACATCAAAACATACTTATCTGATTATGCATATCTTTAGGCAAGGAGCAGCGTGTTCTCTCAGGATATCGTGCAATCAGTTCTCGTCATGATCGTCCGGATGAGAGCTCTTCAGAAGAGGAGGAGATAATTGACAGAAAAAAGCCGAAGAAGGCATTTGAGATGCCCGAACTGATGCATAATCTGAACATACTCGTAGATATGGCAGAGGAGGAAATCATTGAAAACGACAGAAAGTAAGATTATGATATGATGCATTTTTATTTTGAAACATCACATATATGTCATGCCACTTCTCTTAATTAACTGAAGTTACCTTACTTTCTTTGTTGATTTTGTTATAATTTAATTGCTTTGTCTCTTTGAAAATTAGGAGTACATTTTAATTAAGATAACAGAATTGTTATTTATCACTCATTTGTTATAAGACACTCCTTTATAGAAGGACTTTGTTTGAATTTTTATAAACTCCACCGGGCAAAATTGTTTGAATTGGGGAGTGTTTACTTTTAGGGTTTTAAAGTCTTTGGCATATTAAAAAAAGGGACAAAAAACATTCACATTGAGGTGTAAAGATTAGAGAGGTCTCTTGATATATGATTTTACTGTATCAATCAAATCTTATTTGTAGATTGAAATATGAGAGAGATCTTGTAGTGAACCTGAAATATGAGCATGAGAAGATGGAAAAACTTTGTGAAGAGGAAGCAAAGCAATTAAAGAAAATCAATGAGCTGTTTGCAATTGTATCAAGGTTAGTGTTTAAATACAGAAAGCTCTAGTTACAACATAGCCCTTGTATCACAATATAGCCCTTGTATCACAACATAGCCCTTATGTCACAACATAACCCTTATGTCACAACATGCTCTTGTGTCAAAACATAGCCCTTGTATCACAAAATAGCCCTTGTGTCACAACATAACCCTTGTGTCACAATATAGCCCTTGTGTCACAACATAGCCCTTGTATCACGCCATGCTATGTAATCTGTATTTCTGAAAATCAAAATTGGCTCTCATCTTCATCTTGTTAGAAGGATAATACTAAACTAAAGAGGCATTTAAAAATAAAAATAATTTAAATGACCTGTATATGTGTGAAACTCGATGACAGTTATCCAGGGTGCAGTCCCTAGCAAAAAAACATGGATTCCCAAATTAAGCCTCTTATAGAATGACCTGTTTTAACATTGCCATTAAACACAATCATGTCCCTTACCCTCCTTACCCTTCGCTGTCTTGTTCATATCCATTGGCATTAATACAAGTATTAACATCTTTTTCTTCAGTTGTGAGGCACGTACAAAAGAAGAGTGTGAAAATCGTATCAGTCTCGATGAATGCGCAGACATCTTTACAGAGCTGCAGGAACAGTATTATGAAGAGTACAAGATATATGACTTGAATTCGCTGGCTGTAGCTATGGTTTTTCCATTGGTATATACATGCACTTTTATAAACTCATTCTCAGTCACACTTTACGACATTTCAAAACTCATTTAGACAATAATTGGAAAAATTAGATATGCCAAAGTCGGGAATAATTTGATGAAGAACTTTAATGGATGAAATTGGTCACCTTATTAATCCTTTGATTACTGTAGTCTCCAATGATTAAATCAAAAACCTATATAACGACTAAATGAATTAAAATTCTGGCCAAACATTGATTGGATTCTGTTCTCATATTGACAGTTTTCTTCCCAGTATTTTTCCTAAGAAGATCAAAAATCTCCATTTAACCCTCTCTTGCCCAAAACTGGTTAAAATGTTTGGAGAATTTCGAATTCATCAACATGAAGCAAATGAAATTTCAACTCAGTGAAAGTTTTAAATTTCAACTCGGTATTAACTTTATTGAATTTATTTTTAAGATATTGTTGATTGATTATAGGTGAAGACTTATTTTGACAACTGGGAGCCTTTAAAGAATAATAAAGTGGGACTTTTAACCATTCAAAAGTGGAAGAATATTTTAGAAGATCCAAACAGAAGATTTACACACAGTCAGAGCAGTATGGATGCCTATGAGAGGCTAATGTGGGAAATATGGATGCCATTCCTGAGAGCTGTTATTCAAAAGTAAGTTGTAATTCTTTGAAAATAGAGTCATTTGTTTGGTTCATTCTTCATGTAAAACATAGGGCAAACTATGGGCATATTTGTGCATCTGGTGTTTTTCTGTTAGTGGGACCCCTAGACTTTCTAATAGAAGTCATCTAATGATATTATGATTTTGAATCAGTTTTGAAGAAATGGGTTCGTCTATATTGTGTTATATTGTTAAATTTTGATGTACAATAACAAAATGTTTCTAACTTTCAAACAGTGATCTGTTAGGTACTAGTGAAAGAGTCTAATGAGAAAGTTTTGGAGGGATGTATTTGTTTATGTTTTAATGTTTGATGTGCAAATGTTTCGAACTTCCAGACAGTGGTCCGTTAGGGACAGTGACAGCCTCATAGAGCTCTTAGAGAATTGGATGCCTGTGCTACCTCAGTGGATCCTTAATAACATCTTAGAGCAACAGGTCATGCCTAAGCTGAATGAAGAAGTAGAGAACTGGGACCCTACTACTGATACAATGCCAATCCATGCCTGGTTGCACCCATGGTTACCATTGCTAGGTACGTACATGTTTTGGTTAAAGCCTGCTACTTGAATTATTGCAGTATCTGAGCTGTATATGTGTGAATCCCGGATTGTGTAGAAATATGTCTAAGATTTCTTCTCATTGATATCAGGGTTAATGTTAAATCTCACAATTTAGGTTCACATAATGATCTTGGTACAATTGAATCAAATGAGAATAGTTTTTGACATACTTTATTTCATTAAAAAAATGTACAACATTGCACAACATTGAGAAAAATCCTCAAAAAAAACACTGCATGATTTGTATTCACTTTTACTGATGACATCACTTTGGCAGGTGAGCGACTGCAGCCTTTGTATGCCTCAATACGTCACAAACTCTCCAAAGCACTCTCACAATGGCACCCATCAGATCCCTCTGCGAAGATGATTCTGACACCATGGGTGAAAGTATTCAAACGAGGCCACCTTGATGCTTTCTTAGTGAAGAATATAGTTCCTAAGTTGTTACAGTGTATGCAGGAGTTTGTTGTTAACCCTCATCAACAGCAGCTAGGTATGTATTCATTTTACTTGTGACTTCAGATCAAATCCATCTGCTTTTTTCTTATCTTATTTCATACCTTTTCTTTTAAAAATCTGAAAGAAGTACCATATTTTTTTGTATTTCTATAAAATTTAAACCGTTGATTGTATGTGTTTTTACTTTTTTCTTCATTTCCTTTTTCAATTAATATTCATTTCTGTATTCCAGACCCTTGGAACTGGGTGATGTCATGGCATGATATGCTTCCCATCACTAGCATGACAACCATCTTGGAGAAAGCATTCTTTCCAAAGTGGCTGCAAGTTCTTGCCACGTGGCTAGCAAGCAACCCAGATTACAATGAAGTGACTAAATGGTACCAAGGCTGGAAGACTATGTTCAGTGATGCTCTTAAGGCTGAACCAATAGTAAAAGGTATTTATAAATAGCAATGTTGCATTGTCAAAACTGTACAGCAGCCATAGCTTCCCAAAATTGAGAGAAATATGCAGCATAAAAAATAGCGATATACAGTAGATTTTTTATATCAATTTTTGAAGACTTATTAAGATGATGTAGTTTTGAAAGACTACATTCTATTCTTGCCCAAGTCGGTCTCTTTCACTTATCTTGACTACATTCAAAATTGAATTTAATTGAATGAAATATAAAATCTAAGATCTAATATTGGTAATTACTTTTCCAGTAAATATAAGATATAAAGACCTAAAGATATTGTTCATCATACATAGCATCATTTTGCCTTTTTATGTTTATTATATGTTCATTTTCAACTTCATCGATATCAGGTACAAATTGTGTATTTACCAAACTTGAAAATTTCTCTTCAGACAAGTTAAAAATGGCACTGAGGTGACTGAAAATAAATCTTGCCATGATTTAAATTCCAAGAAAACCTTTAGTCAGATTTTCTTCAAAAGTTTACACGTGTTAGAGTGGATTAACTTTTGGGAAACCATCTTGTTCATTTTACAATCCTCATTTCAGACAAATTCAAGCTTGCACTGAGTTACATGAATCATGCAGTAACCGGGAAATTTCAACCACCCGGCCCTCCACCAGGCCCACCACCAGTTCCTGCTGCTACCTATCTTGGCCCAATTCCACCAGAGAGAACAGTATGTGTTTGTGTTTTCTCAATCAAGCAGTTTTCTTTTTATATTTTTAAGATTTATTTTCCATGGAATATGCCACTTGATCACACTTGTGTGCAACTATCATTGTTCTGTTCTGTTACCATGACTAGATTTGACAAGATGCTATAACAAGTTAACAACCTAAAATTGTTATAAAAGCATATTTAACATTACATTTAATGTATATGTACAGTTTTATTTTATTGTTGCTTCAAATGCTAGACTAACTATTATATTGGGAGCTGATTGTCTTAGTATATAAATAAATGCTCTTCCTCCTCCAATTTAAAAAAAAATTCACTTCTACTTCAACATCATTATCAGTTCAGATTATAATTAACTTGAAATATAACGTTATCGGATGAACAAGTTTAATAAAATGTTTTACAATATCTTTCAGGCGTCTCCACTACGTACAGCAGGTGTTACGACCACAAGCGTGCCCAGCAGTTTCAAAGACCTCGTTGAGAAAAAGGCAGCCGAAAATGGACTCATATTCCTCCCAATTCCTAATCGTACATATGAGGCCAAACAGGTGTATAAATTTGGCAATGCAGTCATGTATTTAGATAGGAGCGTTATATTTGTACAGGAGATGTCACCAATACCTAGATGGGTGCCTATGTCATTAAATGCTTTAGTGACTCGTGCAACATAGCACAACAAATCAGTTTAAGGATCTTACGGGATATGCTGATAGGAGGAAGCTCATGCCGAAAGCTGTGTTTTTAATGTACCGATACTTACTTTGTTCACTCTGTATGCTGGACAAGAAATAAGAACTCATCGACAAATATTTTTTTAATATTGCATCGAATGAGAGACTGTGAAATTAAAGATATAGACTAGAATCAGAGGGTTGAAAATATCATGACATCTTATATTTTGACGAGCCGGCAATTCATGTTTACCAATTGAAAGGTAAAGGGTTCCTAAATTGGTACTGAGATTTAACAAGAAGAAATAGGTGTCAAAATGTGTTTTTGGGTGAAAAGTGTGTTTTTTGCAGAAAATTTTTTTAAAACTAAAAAGATTTTTTTTTGAAAATTTGTTTTAATACAAACAGTCTGATTAACTATAAAAAGTGAAAATAAACCATATTTGATTGCTTTTGGAGATTTTTGGGAGCTTTTAAGGAATTTGCTTGTGGTTGGCCCATAAGTGAAATAAATTGTCAATGTACTATTTATATGCATTAATAATAGAGATATTATTAAGGATTACTACTCGAATTAGCACTTCACCAAGAAAAATAATATATTTTAATTAAATTTTATTTCATACTTCATTGTGTCACATTCCAGTTCATATGTTATATTACTCAAATGTTCATAGAAGTAAAATATTCGAATGTGGTGTATCTATGTCACCATGAATGTATACTTTAATATATCCTCAAAACATTTGCAGGCACGATGGTTGGTTTACTATTAATATAAAATGGATATTTAAACATATAATGTTATGTGGAAACATATATATTGTCACTATCATCATCACAGTCTGTCATCGACTATTTTGAACAGTGAGGTGGATCAGGTCATTTTTACAAGTTTCAATGTTTCCGCACAAATTGTTATTTAACTGAAATCTACTTCTTATTCTCAGATAAAATGAACCAGCGCAAGCAGTGACAATTGTCAATCATACTTCTGAAAGACATTCGTAAGAAACCTTTAATGACTGAATACGTTCATTTTCCCTTATTAATTTAATTTTTAGCGGAGGCTTTTGTTTATTATTTTGAGTGATAGTCAAACGGTTATGCCTTCTTTTATTTGATTAAAACGATGAACAATGGGGGAGAGCAAACAATGGGAGCATGAATTTGGACAGCCTTAGCACATCAGTCATGTAAACAATACCAAGTGGCTTGGTAGCTTGGTGCATCAAAATATCTCTTCTAAGTTGCAGTGCTGTGTGCACCATCTCCTGAAATGTATTTTGCAATGATATAGCAGGATAATCAATGGTCTTGATCAGCATAGTTTACGGGTAAAATAACAGTTTATGCCATACCACATACCTTATATAATAGGACAATTAACTTGTAGAACTCTTTTATGTGCAGCTCTAATGCAATTGCAAATGGTCCTTGATTTTTGTCAACTTATTGTTTAAAATCACCAGCTAATGCATAGTATATTTCTGTCACAGCTGACAAGTTGTTCGTCTTTAGCAGCAGAAGATAGCTCACTTGAGAATGTAGCATGTCAAATAATACCGGTGCTAGCGGAAAACTTCTTCATATCACTTTTAAATTTGAAAACAGACTTAGTGATCTATACATTAGGTCATTCATATTATTAGTCTTACACCCTATGATGGATGTACCATTGAGAATTACATTACTGATTTGTGTGTACTCATATATTGGAAGTGTATTGTTCTGGAGTTATACCTTTCCCATTGCTGAAATTTGTCATAACATTTATCTGTTATCTTATTCTGTTTGGATGTTATGCATCAATCATCTTTTCATCAATATCCCTATATTGTATACATTGTTATTTGTGTTGAGCATTTCATAAAGTTAAACAGAAGACACATCCTGTTTTCTCTGTTTTATGATATATTGAGATGAGATTTATGATAGTTCCCATTAACTGAACCAATGACCACAAATCTGATTTGATAGGGAGATTATTGTGTTTAGTGATTATTGGTACTAGTTCAATAACTTTAATCAAACCAGATAAAGTGCAATCTGATTGGTTGGCAGGGCTCCAGCCTGGCACATTGACAAGTTGACCACATTTATTTATGTGGGTGATCAACACTGACTGTATATGTTGAACTAGTTAAGAAATGAGGAATATTATTTTAATTAATTGTTAAATCTCACAAATCTTTTCTTATATATAAAGGAGTATTTTGATACAGGTCTCTTGCCGGCTCGTTAAAATATAAGTACTTTCACTTTCTAGAGGCTTTTATCATCATATGATTCTAGTCTAATTGAAAAATAATGAACATTGTGCCAGTGAAATATTTGTACCAGTGTGATTGTTTCCTCGCATTGGATATGATGAAACAAAATATATGTTTTATATTAAATATTATACATGTGCTTCGTTTAATTTTTCATTTCTAAAAGAGTTCGTAAATAAACAAAGGTACTAAATCTTCAAAAAGCATAAACCCAATTATATTTTTGGGAAAAAGAATAGGCAAGACAATCTTGATTGTCATCATTATTCTTCTGTCAAAGTGCTATCTATTTAAAATATACTTTGTGTATGCGTGCAAAACTACATCTTGAAATAGTAAATAGGCATTTCTGTTCATACACAGGCATTTTTGAATGTGTATTGAATATTTAAGAAAATCAAAGAATTATCCTGAAATAAAGACTGACTATTGATATTTTTTAGAAAATAGCCTTGAGATTGAATGATGAGAAAAATATTGTATAAGAATTCTCATTTTGGTACCATACACTTTAGTTCATTAGTTCATTCAATCAAAGATTATTCTTGCTTCACGACTCTGGACCCCCTCCCCCTGTTTTCTATTGGTTCCTTTCAAATGAGTCAACATATTTCAATGTCCTGTGGTCCCAGATGGCAGCATAGCCATAGCTGTGCATAGCCAGTGATTACTAGACCTTGTGTGTCAAGTAGTGGGATGGGGGTCACAGGAGCATGTGCATGTAGCTAGACTAATCAAAGATGATAATAAATATAATTTATAATAATTATATACCATCACATCATACATTTTAATTTAAGCTTTTGTGCCCATGTTACATAATGTCAACCTTCATCACATTTGTCTATGTTACTACCCACGTTACTATGACAATACATTGAATAAAATTGAATATTGAATAAGTAAAACTAAAAGTAAATCAGAACCAAGAATGTATATCAAATTTTCTTGAACATTTTTGACTTGCTCTATTGTCTTTTTGACAGGATTTTTCTTTGTGAAGTCTATATAGTAACAGAGACTTGAATAGAACTAGCCAACCATGTCCAAGGTAATGTGAAATAGTCTCATCTAAAAATGACCTTTACTATATGATTGACCATTTGTCCATTTGTCAAAACAGGTAATTTCTAATTTACTGAGTGGAGAAGGAAATGGTTGGGCAAAATCATATTATGAATTCAATAGTTACTAGAAAATATTAGTCAAAATCAAATAATGCCCATTGCACAGCAAAATTATTTGGGTATGATTTAGGTGTAAATTTTGTTTGAGATATAAAACCCTGATCAAACAAGGCGGATTGCATTAGATGATATTATTCCGAATATTGATTTGCTAAACATATCAATCTGACAGAGGAAATATTTTATATCAATATATTTCACACAAGAATAATATGACAGGTCCCCCATCACCGGTCACGTGACAGTAGGAGGATCCAAAGGAAGTTGATACTCGTTTTAGTTATAGAAAAGTTGGATAAAAATTTCAAAAATATTAGGGCGATTTAAGTGGTAAATAAGCCACGCACACTGTTTAAGTAATACCACTCGTCATATGGTATATGACAGCTTACATAGAGGTTAGTAAACAATCGGAATCCACTGTGATTCGGTAGACATTTGCATTGAACAAAAAATATTGGAAACAGGAAGTGATTTTTTCTAAAAAATGTCCGGTGCAGGAGCAACAGCAAGAATTTCATCAAAGCCACAGACTCTAGAGGATGCATATTCCCCTCCAGCTAATTTTCTAGAAATTGATGTCACAAACGCTGAAACACATGGAATTGGCAAAAAAAGATACACTGACTATGAAGTTAGAATGAGGGTAAGAAAATTTGCTTTGATCAGAACTAGAGTCCATTTTATTGTTTAACTGCGTCAGTAAAAGCTAAAAATAAGAAATCAAAATATCATTTTGCAATAATATATGGGAAAATATATTCCTATTGTACATGAATGACATTTGTATATCTTGGATTGCTTCTAGTTTGGCTTGTAAAGTGTGTGTGGCCTCTTATATTTGGATGCTTTCTTGTGCAGTGTGCAAATAATAAACTAGTCAATAGATGTCTCAGTCATATAGCCAGTCTATACTATAACTATGTATCAATTTTATTCTATTCATGTCTTATAGATTTACTCACTTCGAGAGCCATGTTAGATTTTGAAACTTATGGCTCTCAAACGGAGAAGTGAACAGCTGATCAATAGTGACCTTTGAAATCGAATTAAGTCGATCCGCGGCTTACTTTTGGTCTCTAACTGTGTCTTACATCAGTATCATCAATCCGTGTAAGTATTGGAGCGCTGGAGTACTTCTTTTTCGATCAAGACTTGTAAATTGTTCATCGAGTTAAAGTTTTATAGACCTATTTCCAATATGGCGGTTTGCTAGATGGAGATACGCAACGAACGAAATGAATTTTGAGAATTAGTTAGGTTCGGACAACCTCCGGAGATTTACGAAAATGTCCGAGCAGAAACCGCCATATTGGAATTTGGCAGTAAAACGATTCACTCGACTAACAATTACAAGTCTTGATCGAAAAAGAAGTACTCAAGCGCTCCAATACTTACACGATGATTTTTATAATTGAGTTCTTTAGATGGAAGTCAAGTTCTGAACATTCAAAGTTGTATAGCAACTATTCAGTAATAAATGCAGTTTTGAACCTTGTGACAAGATACAATTTATGGCGATATATTGATGAATATTTTTTGAATTATGACCTGATGCCCAAATGTGCGTGGAAACGGATTGTTAAAGCACGCATAATGCAGTATGAAGAAGACAGATGGCACTTGTTATGTAACATATCTTACAGACTTAGCGTTTATAGAACGATACAAGTTACGATAAAACCATGCGTATGGTGGAGAATCTGTCAATGGAATTGTAAATATATAGGGATGTGTAGGGATATGGTAAAACTACTAACAGGTGCTTTCCCACTCAACTATGACACTATTTGTCCTCTGTGTGGGATGACAAATGAAACGACAAGGCATTTTCTCTTAGATTGCCTTGAACTTCATGAAAGTAGGAGTGACTTGTTGGCAGTTTTAAGTGACAGAATATTTGATGGATATAATATGGTTGAAAAAATGGAGGTTTTACTAGGAAAAAATGAAGCATTAGACTACAGAATGTATGTGAAGATAATGTTAAGTGTCAAACACATGTTAAAAACAAGAGCTGCAGCTATAGCTCTATAAACTATTAAATCAACACAGTTTGCGTTGTAAATATATATATTTTTATTTTTATATTTTTAATATTGCCACATTAACTTTATAATTATTATGTACTCATCTGCATAGGTGGAAATAAAGATACATAAACATAAACATACACGGATTGATGATACTGATGTAAGACACAGTTAGAGACCAAAAGTAAGCCGCAGATCGACTTAATTCGATTTCAAAGGTCACGATCATTGAGCTGTCCAAATGCTCCGTGGGAAAGCTATTATATCAAAATCCAAATAGCTTTCGCAGGAAGTAATTATAGATGTCTCTGTTAAATTATTGTATGCATGTATTTTATTTGTTACACTTTTTACCATAGATTTTATTAAACACTTGTCAGAGAATAGCGCTTGCGCTAATGTTTTTTGTACACTATAACCGACGTAAAATAAATATTATCTTATCTTATGCTTCTCTGCCATGTTATTTTCAATAAGATTAACAAGGCTGAAATTCTTCAAATTACAAGACGGCACAGGCTTATTGCCCAAAAACTAAAAAATCTGAAATATACAAATGTCATTCATGTACATTATGAATACTGTATACTTTTCCATATATTATTGCACAATGGTCTCCCAATTTCTTATTTTTGCCGTTCTACTGACGCAATGAAGCAGTGAAATGGACTCTAGTCTAGGGTGAAGGGGTATAATGTTGGTGTCATTTCATTTCAATTAGGGATAACTTCGACGCATGGGGTAACTTGACACCTTTTTCTTTATTTGCTCTATTTTCTGATCTTGGGTAAGCCATTTTTTTCTTTCGCATGGATTGAGATCTTGAGAATTTCTAGTTTCTTGCTAGTAAGTCTTGAAGTTACCCCATATCTCATATCAACATTACCCCACAAGTCGAAGTTATACCCCTTTGCCTTACTTATCAAGCAACACATTAGGTTGAAATGAATGCTGGAGATTTCATTGAGACAACAGATCTTAATTATTATGTTATTGGGTCAATCAAAAGCAGAGTTACAAAGGTCCTCCCTCTGGAATATTTGTTGTTGTGACAGAGACGTCACTAATTCCTCACCAGTTAATTTTCATATTCACTAATGTGCAGACTACGCATTAATTAATATAGTTATTTAATTGAATTCTGGTTTCTCTCTCATAAATGTTTTATTTTAGCAGTAAATAGGAACATGTTTTTATTTCCCTGATTCTGGAGTCAGTTTATCAATAAATATAACGGGTCATACTTCAAATTACATGTATACCTACTGTTGTCAGCTTTATCTCCTATTGCTTAAACCATACAAAACCATACATATATGTAAGCGTCTCTTGATAAAACCACAAAATAGCTGAGCAGAAATATAATGATGTTTCTTAAAATCCCGTAGAAACAATAACCACAGTTCGTTTAGGCTACATGATCATTTTCTTTCATATTGGCTTTTTCTTGTGATGTGACGTAAACAGACAAACAAAACCAGAGATTACCGGAAACCAAATCCAAACATTATCTTTCCAATCAGAAAATTTGAATTAATTGTCCCGGAAAAACTCCATTTACAGCGTCAATAATTAATATCATGATATCAAGTAACCATTGTAGACAATCCTCAGGGAATAACATATCATGGAAATATTTTTGATACATTTAGTATTACAACAATTTAAGGTAAACAACTAGCATGATTTTTGTTGCTTGTTATATTTTTCAGACAAACCTACCAATATTCCGCGTGAAAGAATCAAGTGTAAGGAGAAGGTACAGTGAGTTTGAATGGCTGCGAGTTGAACTAGAGAGAGATAGTAAAGTAAGTTTGTGCTCCAAAATATACTTTATTTACCCAGAATTCATCTGTTTTACCAAGGTGTTTCTGAGAAAACCATTTTCTACTTTTTGATGAACGCTGACTATCCAAATTGAAAGTCAACACAATTTTAAAAACGGACCCTAGGATATTTAATGACAATGCTTATCTTATAATTTGGCCATATGTGATCCTGCTGATTAAAAAGATACTGTCTTTAATTATTGACTTGAAGAGACTAAATTCCATATCAAACTTTTGATTTCATTATCATCTCCAGAAGTGCCCTTCTGACATGTATGTACTATTAAAATAACTATCCTTTTTTCCTATCCAGATAGTAGTGCCCCCTCTCCCAGGAAAAGCACTATCAAAGCAACTACCATTTCGAAATGACGATGGCATTTTTGAAGACGACTTTGTTGAGGAACGACGAAAGGGATTAGAACAATTTATAAATAAGTAAGTGACATATTTCCCAAAATTGAGAAACACGTGTTTGTAAATGAGAATTAATTTTTATTCATAGTGCTTGAAAATGATTTGTTTACGTCTCATATTTGACATTGAGTGCATGGTATGCAACTAGAAAACGTTGATACTATGATTCGCCTAAATGTTTCGCCTAAATGTTGAAAATATATTGTGAATAACTGTTATTGTCTGATTCTTTAAAGAAAACACTGAAAATGGTTGCTTACTTTATTACGCAGTATAGTAATGATCTATATGCAGGGACACGTAATGCATACTTTCTGAAATACATGTACCATAAAGTTATGACATGCATCTTGTCTTTTGTCTTGTATCAACTTGTTAAATTCTGAATTTTGGTCTGCATTCTAGGGCAGCGAACCATCCACTGGCTCAGACTGAAAAGAGTATGCATATCTTCTTACTGGATGACATCATCAATAAGGATTACATGCCTGGGAAAATTCGTACGGCATAAATGGAAAAACAATATGCAGTGATTCTTATACAAACAATGTTATTAATCTTTTTACTCAATGTGTATCTATATTTTTCCAATTTGCACTTTTAGGTTGATGGTGTTTCAAATTTATTTTCTCATGAATATGCATAAAACCCTCTGTTATGTGTAAGCATATGCACATAGTCAGTGAGCTTGTATTTTAGGTTTGACGTTTGCGCTTGTCAAGCATTGTTGCACTTTACTGAATCTAGAAAACAGATTGCTTAATTTCAGGACTGGGGCCAATTCCCTTGATATCAAGAATAATATACCTCCATATGACCATTCCCACCCTCAAGCTTCTACCTTTTTAGAGGTCAAGGATTAAAGCTTTGCCCAGGTGTAAAAAAACTGCTTTATTTCAGGACTGAGGCCAATTCCCTTAATAACGAGAGTTACCTCCATGTAACCATTTGCACTAAAACATTTATGATTTAGTTCCAATGACCCTCTGCCCTTTTAGAGGTAAAGGGTGTTAAAGCTTTGTCCAGATGTAATCTAGGATAAAACTGTGCTTAATTTCAGGATTGCGGGCCATCCCCTTGCAGAAAATGAGAAATGCCTGCACATGTTTCTCCTGGAACAAGTTATTGACAAAAATTATGTTCCTGGAAAAGTTCGCAATTCCTAAGCAATTATTCGTCCATTGGTGATGCTTAGACAACTAATTTGCCAGACAAAACAGACTTTTGGAAGTGGGATTTTTGGTTTGAAAAAATAGTTCCTTTAAAATGATTTTGGCACTATTTTGTCAACAAAACAACCTCTAACTTTCCACCAACAAACAATTATGAGCAGAATTTTTAGTATCTATATATATTCTCAATGTACTAACCATCTTCTGCACCAGAAAATCTAATTCACTATACTGTACATTATAATACTGGACAATATTTGTGTGAATAACATGAAATAGTAGACTTGTAAACAAGATTTTATTTTCTTTTAACGTTTTATACCATACCATTTGCTTTGTCCGTCTTTGTGTATTACTGTTTCCTTGGAAAATAGATTGTATGTTATATTCTTCAACAATTTTGTTTTGTTGTTTACTTTTTGTTACAACATAATTTGTTGTATTTATTCTAACTCTTCACTAACTTCTCAAACTGCCTTGTTTCCTCTCTATTTTTATTATTTTTTCTTTTCTTTATTGTTCTTATTCTAAAAGTATTTATTTCCTCTTGCTGCATGTTATTCCCTCCAAATTGTCCTGCACTTGATTTTTATATTTCTGCTCAGAGTGTATTTTCTCACTCATAATGTTTGTTTTGCTCAAATCTTGTGAACTTTAGGTAATAATGCGATCAAGTACAGTATACTAATTCCAAATAATACAGACCCCATAAGACAATCCTGGGATGAACCATTCAATGCAAACACACACTAGATAATTGATTGCTTATTTCAGGAAATTATAGCAGCATGCACAGATATATTAAGATAATAGGAATGACTCACACTGCCCCCCCCCCCCACCCTCAATATATCACAGTGTTGGAATAGTCAGCCCACTTTAATGTATTAATACTATTGTAACAATGGTACTATTTCATAGACACTGTCAATGTGGCACCATTTCATAAACAGTGGCACCATTGCATAAAAAGTGGCACCATTGCATAAACAGTGACATCATTTCATAAACAGTGGCATCATTTCATAAACAGTGGCAACATTGAATAAACAGTGGCACCATTGCATAAACAGTGGCACCATTGCATAAATATTGGCACCATTTCATAAACAGTGGCACCATTGCATAAATATTGGCAATACTGCATAAACAATGATAATATTGCATAAACAGTGGCAATATTGTTGCATAAGTGTTTGCATCAAATTTGAAATGTTTTAGATAGAGGGATGGTGTTGTTACAATGTTGTGATATGTCATTGATCAGTAGGCCAATCAATAAGAATTTCTTAGATCAATTCACAAAATTTAATTGCCTTTTACAATTCCTGAAAATCAATTGGCTTTTATAATTTGTACAAAGACTTACACTATTAGTACAAATTGTAAAAGCCAATTGATTTTCAGGAATTGTAATTTGCAATGATTTTTGAGAAACATAACCCATCTAGGTAAAAGCTACTCTTGCATCAAAACCTTGCTTTACCCCACTTTTTGACACATGTGCCTCTGAATAGGAACAATGTAGGAGCCAGAGTAAGATGCAAGCATGCAAGGTCTAATAATCTTCATGATTGTTTTGAGTTTCAGAGGAAACTTTCATCAAGCCTAGCTGTACTTTCAAATTTCTACATTACTGCATTATGCACAATACCCACTCTCCAGCATAACAGCCATGTACTTTGACACCGAATTAAGGATTTAAATATGTTCCTTAAATCTTATCTTTGCAGATACAGTATCACAAGTTTGAAGTCTATGAGCAAATATTTAATTCAGCACTTTTGCATACCATTCATTGGAAAACTTACAGCATATCTTACTGTTATCTCAGTTCAGACTAAAAGTTGTGATACTATTCCTGTTATCCCAAGATGCACTATTATTTTCCCAGAATGCATTACTTGTACCAATAATGCACAATTATTACCTATGTACATATTTATATAGTGCTGTATTATTATACCCCAGAATCAAACCTGATTTTAATGATATTACTATCTCCCAGAATATGTGATACATTTTCCCAGAATGCATTGCATTACTATTTACCCATAATGCACTATGATTCTCCTCACACTGCTTTTACACATCCCTCTTGCTTTTCAGGGTTGCTGGACACCCATTAGCGCAGAATGAAAAATGTTTACATATTTTTCTTCAAGAACCTATAATAGATAGAAACTATGTACCAGGAAAGATTCGTCAGGTCTGAGTATATAACGAACCTTGAACGTTCAATGGAATTATTGCAATCGCTGAAGGAATGTACAGTATATGATATTGTTAAATAAACAACAATTAAAAGAAGCTTCTGTGTATGTAATATGTATATATAACTGGACTCTAGGATACACTGTATGTATAAATGTGTGTGATAACATCAGATAGAATTAATCTCAGATAGACGATCTATTTGACCTTGATTTTGATTTAGTGGATAGTGCCATCTATGAGAATGCCATGAGTGCCATCTATGTGGAATTTGCTTACTAGTCGGCAGTTCCATCCACTGACCCAGTATCGGGGGATCGGGTGTTGTTTCCGAGCTCGTAGCCAGCTTTTGCTAAGGGGGGGGGTCACTTTTCTTAATTCAAGGGTGGGTTGGTTCAAATTTAACAATTTGGTCTCAAAATCACATGAAAAGTGCTCAAAATGGTAAAAACTGCATGCATGATTTTGAAAGAACTTTTGGCAGCTTTAACCCCTCCCCTTTCTGGCGACGGGCTTGGTTTCCTTACGCAATTGGTCATAATGTAATAAATCTGTGTCTGATCTTTGGGATGTTGATCATTCAGTTCTATGAATTGGATATACTTTACATGTTGAATGAAACCAGTGCACATATTGGTGAACACCTTTGCTATTGAAGTTTATATACAGTATTATATTATAGGTCAAACGAGAAACAATAATATACATTAGTATGATGTAATACTAGTATGAATACTTAGAGGTGTTCACCAAAATAGGTGTTACTGTATTTAGGTCAGATTAATTGATATTTGTATTGTGCCTACTTTGTGGGTCTTTTCATTTGATACTGTAGAAGTCCATAATACATCCATGTTTTTTATTTTTACAATAGACTAGATGCGAGTAGAAATAATCTTGATTTATGTCATTAAATATTCAAATATCAGTCAAAGTGATGCCATATTTGAAATCTACACGTAAAAGTACATTTAGAAAGATGGTTTTGAAAATTGTTTATCAACTTTGAAAATTTTGCTTTTTTGAAAATGTGACTTCTAGTTCAGGGATATTCCCAAATAGACCCCATCTTACAAAATCACAAAAAGTGAACTTTCTTTTCTTGTATTGGAGAGTTAACATTTTCTTTTACTGGACATTTTTTAATTTGCATAACTATTAGATACATAAGGGTGATATGAAAATTGAACGACTTAAACGCAATTTAAGTTAAAGGGAACTTTCATCTCCCGCCATGCTATCTGACCCGAACGAGCCACCTGGTGGTGAAACTGGTGATTACCGACTCGCATCTGGGTCATTGTAGTAGAAATATCCAATATCAAATAAAATCAAAGTGTACTTCAATATATATATCTCATATATACAAAACAAGTATGTTACTTCTATTGTATTTGTTTTATATATACTCCTAAGGAAAAGCAGTGGTATGCTAATGTAAACTAGCTAGGATCTCTTTGTCTTTACTGGCTTTACTACCACTTTTCCCTAGGTTTATGACATATACGGTGTTTATGACTCATTCTTTCAAAGCTTGAAAAAACTGAAGGTGAAATATTTTATGATTTTAAAAGTGTATGCAAAATGAAATTGAGGCTTATTTTAAAACATATGTTTGAAACTTATAAAAAATGTCCCACCTTGCTTTTATGTCTCTTTTAGAATGAAGGAACCTTAAACTATTTTGTTCAATTTTATATTTTGTTTTTCTTGAATACATGTATGTACATTTGTGAACATTTTCCAATGTAGTTTAGAAAGCTAACATATTAATTCAATAATGAATTGTGTTTACTCATATATAACAGTATGGTCGTTTGTATAGCAACATCAGAAATGTTCTATGTTTAGTAGTACTGTAAAACCTGTGTATTTTGAACATTTTTTGCCAAGAAAAAACATTCAATTTTGGTAGGTGTTCATATACACAGGAGTCAGTAGAGTATGTGCGGAGGAAGGGTGTCCATTAGAGACAGGTGTTCACTAGAGAGAGGTGTTCACAAAGACAGGTTTTACTGTATATATGAATTGTTCACACTCTAATTGTATACAACTTCCAGGAAATATTCTATTTACAGTATTATGTACACTTTTCATTGTACAAAATGCAAGAAAATCAGATGGTCCAATCAGTGAAAAGGGACAACATGTGTGGAGCATGCATGAACAAAGGGAGATTTTAAACACAAAAATATATCTTGTATTTTCTCTTATAGTTAGTGTAATAAATGATGTAATTGTAAATCAATTGAAATATATTTAATTGTATATATTCTTCTATTTAGTTAATAGTCACCTCCACAAGCTCTCATTCTTATTTTACTGAATCCTGCTATTTTCTTGTTTCTTCTGAAATAGGATATATATACAACTAATAAGATTGCTGAAAGGAGGAAGGTTCTTGATGAAGTTGAAACTAGCCTTCATACACAATTTGTGCTTCCGTACAATATGTTCAATAGACTCCCCAAAAAATGTTAAATAAACTCCCATATATCATCCAGACTTCCTTTCAACATTTAGCCATTAACAGGACATAGTCCCAAACAACATGTATAATTGACCCCTGTACAATATCTACAATTAGACTCCCATATAATGTTTAAAACAGACTCCCAAACAATGTATACTATAGTGTCCCATAAAATATGTGTAAGAGACCCTTACAACATAGACTATAGACTCCCATACAATATGTACAATAGTCTCCCATAGAATGTGTACAATAGACTCCCATACAATATGTACAATATACTCCCATGTAGCATGTACAATAGACTCTCATTCAACTTGTACAATAGACTTCCATACAATATGTACAATAGACTCACGTACAACATGTATAATATGACTTCCATAAAATATGTACAATAGACTCCCTTACAACATGTATAATATGACTTCCACACAATATGTACAAAAGACTCCCAAACAATATGTACTATAGTCTCCCATACAATATGTATAAGAGATCCTTACAAAATGTACAATATGACTTCCATACAACATGTACAATGGACTCATATACAACATGTACAATAGACTCCTATACAACATGTACAATAGACTCCCATTCAACATGTTCAATAGACTCCCATATAACATCTTCAATAGACTCCCATACAATATGTACAATAGACTCCCATTCAACTTGTACAATAGACTTCCATACAATATGTACAATATGACTCCTGTACAACATGTACAATTAGACTTTCATTCAACATATTCAGTTCGTTTTCCTGTAAATAGACGCCCGTGCAATATGTGCAATGGACTCACATACATACAAGACAATAGAATTACATACAATATGTTTATTAGACGCCTGTGCAATATGTGCAATGGATTCACATACATACAAGACAATTGAATTACATACAATATGTTTATTAGATGCCCGTGCAATATGTGCAATGGACTCACATACATACAAGACAATAGAATTACATACAATATGTTTATTAGATGCCCGTGCAATATGTGCAATGGATTCACATACATACAAGACAATAGAATTACATACAATATGTTTATTAGATGCCCGTGCAATATGTGCAATGGATTCACATACATACAAGACAATAGAATTACATACAATATGTTTATTAGATGCCCGTGCAATATGTGCAATGGACTCACATACATACAAGACAATAGAATTACATACAATATGTTTATTACAAAGTTATTAAATTATTTTTTGACTGATTATGATGTTTGAACCCAACCTTAGGCTTACCACTGGTTGAATTTTGTTAGGGATAAAGTGAAACTGCCATATATCTAAATGGACTGGTTTTCGTCATCTTTTGTGGAAAGATGTATGAACTAAATGGTTTAACTCATTTAAATTACATTGTGAACAATCTTCTACAGTTTATATGAAAAAAAGTATATGAGCCATTGAATAGTTTAGTATCACAGGTGTTCATGTGGTCATCTTTAGGGGCATTTTAGGAAATTCAAACTCATCTTTAGAGGAGTCAAAACATTTAAGTTAACATGGGCTAAACATAATTTTAGTGCCTATAAGCTGGGGAGGGGGTCCTGTCCTTCATTAAATCACATTCATGAAAATTGAACATGTTTGATTTTAATGATCTTGTATTTACGTGTATACTTGTAATATAACCAGATAGCATGTTGATCAATTTTAAATCTCTGTGTACATTAGGGACTATCAATTTTCAGATGCAGAGATCAAAATAAATAAATTACTTTCAAAACTGAAAATAATTACTTTTTTTGTACTATCATTACTTTTTTTGTACTTTAATACAGTCTTATTTTCTCCTGTTTGGTACATAAATGAATTGTAGCAATGAATCTATGTTGAATCCTGCATTCATAACAAAAGCGACCAGCATTTATTACTTGAGTTCCTTCTTCAGATTAAGTTTAATATGAGCCTTTAAAGTACTGAATCACTGACTAGATGCGGGTGACATCTATTATGTACATTCTTCTTGCATAGAATATTATCTGGACTTTTATCTCCTAAGCTCGGAAAAATTGTTAAATCTGGTTATGAACTTTCAGTGTACGAGAACAAATTCATATTCTCTCAGAGCTTTTAGTTCAGCTATTCGTTGACTTCACAATTCAGTTTTTCGTCATGTTGTTCTTAGTGTTGTGAACCAGTAAACATTTATTTTCAAGATTTGGCCCAATATGATCAAAGAGAGTTGAGCTTACATAAATAGAATAAACCTGAAAAGTGAATATTTTTGAAAGAAATTATTCCTGAATTCTCTATCTTGGAAAACTCAATTTAAAAAAGTACCCCATACTTCAATTTTTGAGTTGAGAAGTATCATATTAATATTGGTATTTACTCCTGCCATATTGATCAATAAACACATATTTTATTGTCCATATGGTCCACATGAATATTAATTATTAAAAAATTGTAATTAATTTGTTTAGCATATGCACTTTACATGATTTATCATGTTCATTTCTCTCTGAACTTCTATTTGATTTTTATTCTTGTTTTGAGCAATGGAACATGCAAAAAAGTTTTGCAATCATTAAAAAACTTCATTTCAGGCCAGCTTTTAATGGAATTAGAGAATTATCTTATCATTAAAATTTACAAATTTCATCATCTTTGCGACTTTTCGATATGTCTTGATGTCTAAGTCTCGTGCCATATTTGTTGACATCTGAAGCATAGAATTGATTTATTCAGTGATGCTTTAATACCTCCTTTAAAAAAACTACCATTTGGATACTTTTACATAATTTCCTTTCCAGCTGTAAATCATTGTCTGTGGGTTCCAGCAGAGACATATATATAAGTTTTATCATGGGCTTTCAATAGATATCTATTGAATGCCCATGGTATGCCATGAATGCCCATGATATGTCTCTGGTGCCACTGACTGGTATTCAATAGTACATCAATCTAGATACCAATAAAAACTAAGTGATATTTTCTTAATCTTTTTATTATTTAGAGATTAAATATAATCAACATATGAGCCAAGGATTTCTTCAAAAGAATACATTTTCCAATGTTTGAGGTAAATATTGCGAAATAAGCAAGAGCCTTTAACGTGAATCATTGATTGGTAAATAGTAAATGAATTCTCCCGATCACGTGACTTCACTTTGACCGCCATCTTGCAATTTTTATTTCCACCTCTTTTTCGCTAAAAACGCGAAGGAGGGTCGTTTTTGGCCCTTACTTTGACATTATATAGCTTTGGATTACACAAATCAACACCCAGGATGTCTGGGCAGAGTATCATGGACCGCGTTACTGCGGCAAAGCACAGTATAGCAGGCTCCGGACTTGCAAAGTCAATTTGCAAAGCGACAACCGAAGAAATCAGTGGTCCCAAGAAGAAACATATCGATTGTAAGTTACCATTCTGTTTTATATCGATATTTCCCATATTGTGTGTTTAAATGACATGCTTGTTTAAATGCACCTTTTATAGAGAAAGACACAAACTGGAAAAAATCAGCAGAGCATTCTAAAAAATATCATAAGCCGGTCGTGAAGTGGGAGTGTCACTGTACTGTCATAAATGACCTTGGTGACCTGTATTACAAATATTACATTTTGATCTCATATGTCACCCAATTGTTATTTATTTGAACTGCTCATGGAGTACACAAACTGCTTTTATCGAAATCTGGTGATAATTTCATGTTTCTTCAGTGAAGTTCACAGAGTAAGTCACTCCCTCTCCTAAACTAATGACATGGGTTTACATGTTTCACATGTACATTTTATTTTAGAAAGATATGGTTATTGGGGGTTATCCCATGCCAGGACTATAGTCCTGAGAACATCTCAATCTTTTGCCTGTACGATTACAACATGGGAGAATTTTCTACCCTTCTTGCACCTACTTCAATAGATTCCTTGGTATTTTAGCATTCTTCCCGTGTACAGACTGTAGTTGAATCCACAATTGTCTGGGTTTATCAGCAGGGCGAAGAAATTTTCATTTTGATTGCAATATTTGCGTGTAATATTCAACTTATTTCAACTGTCAAATTCCTCCATTTATTGGTACTTCCGGGCCATTTCTGGGCCAGTCAAACAGGGAATCCCCTTTTAAATCCAACCGCCATCTTGAAAAGTGATGGAATCTCTCTCGATGAAAAAGAAAAATTTTCCCATTCTGCCGATATACCCAGATAATTGTGGATTCAACTACATGGAAAGAATGCTAAAATACCCAGGAATCTATTGAGGTAGGTATCTTTAGTTTAAGAGGCGTCGAAAATTCTCCCATGTTGTAATCGTACAAGCAAAAGATTGAGACGTTATCAGGACTATAGTCCTGGCACAGGATAAATTGGGGGAGAGTGGCATACTCCAGGTTGGAACAGAGAAATATCATAAGATCTCTAAGTTATAATATAACTCTTACTCATAATGAATTATTGATTGATCTGCTAAAGGAAGAAATCCCGTTGTTCAATTCTGTTACAACTATTGTATCTTTTCTACCTTATTTTTCTGGTATGTAGTTATCTACATGTATGGGGATCATGTCAGTAAATCAGTCTTGTCTTGGAAAATAATGATTTTCATGTCAGAATGACCCATCCATACTCCTAAATATATATATAAGAATTTCATTGGGTTTCTTTATTATAGTTTTTGAAATCAAGTTTCCTAATTGAAATTTTAGCTCCTTCCTCCAAACATAATTAATTATTTTTTGGGAGTGTGGAATGGATATATTGACTTGATCCCTTATAATACCCAAATATTGACCCCAAATCAATTACTACATCAAATATGTATTTCAATACCATTTTAAACCTGTTATGCTATTTGTGCTAAATGTAATACACTTCTGCTAACAGTCCTAATCTCTATTTGAATGATCTGCTTCTACTGGCTGCTTTGTATTGATTTATTATAAAGCGGTAGTACCAATTTCTCTTTGGTAAGAATGTATGTGAAAAATTGATATGTTTCTATATTTGTTTTGCATCATTTTAAGGAATCTATTTTGTCAAATATTATTTAACTTGTAAATATGTATTTTGTCAATCAAAATTGGATTGTAGGAATGTTTCTAAATAATTTTAACTATGGGGGTTAATATATTAATATAAGAGTGGTCAGTTATAAGATATTGACCATATAAATGCACAACTAGCAACATTCCTATTATACACCAAAAATATTCTGAGTTTTGAAGTACATGTATATTCTAGATTGAGCAAAGGGAAATATTTGAAACAAAAAAGTATTAACCACCGAATATTTAACATGTATAGGTTCATTTAAACCAAAACTAATAACAAAATTTGTATTAACTCTAAATAAAATGTATAGATGTGCACTTAAAATAAGAACCCCATAAAACGTATTCATTTAATTAAATTTGATATAGTTCCAAAAACATGTGAAAAAACTCTTGAGTAAAAACACTCTTTAAAACTATAATATCAGTTTCAAAATTCATGCACATGTCCTGATACTTCTGAGGTAGATCATAATCATATACAGCATAAGCAGAGTTCATAGAACAGACTCAGTCATGCAGTAATTAAGATCAGGTTGACATATATTTATGAACTGTTTTAGCATTTTTAATATCCATATGAAAGGTATTGACAGTAAATAGAAAAAATGCTGTCAAGACTAAGCAAGCATTCGCGAATTCAACCGGCTGAAGGATTAAGCAATATTTTAGGGCAAACTCATTTAAGTATGCTTCTATATGAAAGGTATTCATATTAAATGAGTTGGCCATAAAAACTGTGGTTAATGTTTGCTTGTTTGTTTGTCTGTTGAGTCTCTTATTTGTTTATCTGTTGAGTCTCGTGTTTGTTTGTCTTTTGAGTATACCCATATTCTGTTTAATTGTCTACTGGCACATCAACATCTCTCTAGATTTATGATATCAGAATATTGGTCTTTTCTTTTTGTTCTTCTACATCATGTATTGTAATGACTTCAGTATGAATTTTTTCTAGCTACACGCGTATTGTACTCAACCTAATTTTTACGTAGAAAACATAAACTCAAGGACATTTTACTTGTCTTCATGTGCTAGAACTTTCAGACTATTTGTTAGGATATGTGAAAGTGGCATATTCAAGTAGGCAAAGTGCAGTATGAGTAACATATTCTTTGACAATAAATTATTAGCGAACATGTTTTTTGAATCAATGACATATTTTAAGAGTAAGAATGGCCATAAGTTAAAATACAGTTTCAGACACAGTCATACTTATACTTTCTTCAGAATTTCTTAACAATTGACATTTTTGATGGTGTGATTTTCTTTTTTAATTTTTGTTCTTTGATCATCAATCATATTGATGTTTTGATATTTTCTGATTTTATATATTCTCGCTTTATTAAAGTAAAAATGAAATGTTGAACCAGCTATATTTCACTGATTTATCTCTGTACACTTTCCTTATTGAAGGTATGTAATTTTTAACTAATCTACAGTTGTATGTTGATAATGCAGTTTCTTCTGTTTGCCTGTTTGATGTCTGTATCATGTCTGTGAGAGATAATAAAGTAGAGTTTAGACTAAATATGATATTCTGATAATTGCCTGGTGGCGTGACATCTCCTTGCAATCCTCTTCACCAAGCAGCATAACCTTTCTACTACTTTCTCAAATGATTTACAGTTTTCTGATGCTGATTACATCTTAATGGTCCAAAATGGATTTTTACTGGAATTTCAAATTGTCAAGGTAATATCAAATATCAAGTGGAAAAAAGTATTCGTATTTTCTGACTACACAGTCTTATTGGATATAAGCTACATGTATATACATCCTTCAACATTTTGTTTCATTGCTTTGAAAAGAAGTGAAATAACATTGAACTTCACTCTTATTTAAAGAGTGTCAGACAAATTCAATGCTTTTTCAAAGGGTATTGGTCTGACTTGGTCTGGTCATTGATGGCATTGATTTCAATGATATCCAACCTTTCTTCTTTATTCTTTGAACATTTGAAGAAACATCTTATTTTAGGATGGGTCAGATTGGGATTGGGTCCAAGTTTGACGGAGCAATGATATGGCCTTTCCACATAGATTGATTGAATTAATCTAAGTGGAGATTAAACTATAGTATAGGCTAGTTCATGGTAAATTGGGTACTTTAGTGAGGGCACTTTGACCAAAGTCAAAAGGTATTAATTTCACTATTGTTTGTCCCTTTCTCATTATTTAAGAATTATATGTACATTTACATGTACTTGGTTTAACATTGTTACTCTTAATTGCATTTACCAAGTGTTCGATTACAGTAATTCTTATCAAGGAATTGCATCCACCAAGTGTTCGATTACAGTAATTTTTATGAAAGAGGGAAATACAATATGGGGTGTGGCCAGCTCTAATTAAATTTTAATCATGTTATGTTTAGATTGAGTTCTCATTTTAGGTTTTGGGGTTAAAAAAGTCAAAAGTCAAGATCTTATACATCCTGTAATTTAATATTTAGCATAGATTTTCTAATTAACCATATGGCTATTTATATATGTATGATTGATTGTTCTGCCGAATTTGAGTGCATGCATACAGAGACTTGTACAAGAACATGAGTTGTATATCGAAATGGTGCAACCTACTTGATTTGATTATTGTATGAAGACTTGATACATGAAATCAAATTGTGTCACCCTCCCTTTGTATTACATTATTACATAGAGAAAAGAGCATCTTATAATATGAGCCTGAAAGTGAATTAAGATCCCTTGTAATACTGATTTTGATAAAGGTTAAGTCACTGTAGTTGGTAGTAGACATGGGAAATCAATACATGCCAGTTACCAGAATATACTAGAACTGGGAATTATTCCATACTTTATTGATCGGCACATGCACCCTGCTCCAATCCTACAATTTCTTCAAACGTATCAAAGAACACTAACTCATTGGGGAATTCTAATTGACTCTCAGGGTATGGTCAATCACTGTCTCTTAAATGTTACGGTCAATTCTGTCCGTTTAATGTTTCCATTGAAGTGATGTATATACTATATATCTTTAAAATTTAGATTCTTGAAGTATATGTATGTGAAAGTATTATGAATCAATAGGAAGTTCAGTCAGAAAGGTCCTATCTCTCTCCCTCATTGACCAATTTATAAAACAGTCCTCAGTAAACACCTCTCTCTGGGAGCATATCTCTAGTGATATATATCTTCTTTCTCTCCCACTCCCAGTTCATACATCCTGTTAAGATCTCTCTTTGGGAATATCTCTCTAAGAAACACATTCACATTAAAAAGGTAGTAGTAACCTTGGTCCACATTTTCAAGCTTAACCAGCATGCATCCTTGAATACACTTGTAAGAGCACTGATTACTGAAGTGCCTATGATATTGTGTGGACAAAATGAGGTAATATTGAAGTGGCTTGTAATATACTGTAGTAGCATTTTCCCCAATCTCTAATCTGGATTGATCGCTTTGATATAATAATAAAGTTTTCGGATATCTGCTCAAGTCATTGAGTTATTGAAATTCATACTAGGCTTTAATGGTGAGATGCAGCCCTATTTAAAGTTTTGGATTGATGATTTTGATATGATGTTTTCTCATTTCTTAATGTTATTATTAGATATGTACATTCTTCCTTTTTCTTAAATTTTTATGACACCAACACAATGGTGACATATTGTTTTGGCCTCCAACGTTTTTGTGGATGGTGTTCTGCGTTCAGTGTATGTAACAAATGGCATGTGGTAACATTTTGCTTGTTAATGCCTTATTATTTTCTATTACATATATTCTCCAAGTGGTCAGTTCATTAAGATTCAAAGAGATCACAATTGATGTTCTGCAATTTTCTAACTTCTGTATTTCCTATATGTGGAACTCGGTGCCCATACACCCTTTGACCATTTAAGTTTGCTTAAGTCTACTGATGATAATTATCAGTTGTGGTGTAGACCTATTGTAAACCTTTACAAAGTATGTGTAAGTTGATATATCAATTAACTCAAACTTGAATGTTTGGCATTCTTATCAGTGTGTTTAGAATAAGCAAATTTTTTCACCTTGTAATGTCTGTTAGATCAATAACCAATATGTCGTACTTGTAATATAAGTCTGATTCCTGTCGTGATTTTATATATCGATTGATTTGTCATATTTTATGTTTGTAATTTTAATGTCCGTGATTGTTGAATGAAATTTCAACGATTATTGCATCTTTATCACATAGAAAAATGACATATAGAGAGTGGAGTATTGAGAAAGTAGTCAGCTTCAAATTGTATTTAAATTAAGGTATTCCAGCTGAAACATGAAAGAAATAACAGAAGATTCTAAGATATGGATCAGTAATAATAAAATACTGGCAAAAACTGGTCCAAACCTAGATATCCAAATGCTACTCTCTGAATGATGTTCATCAGAACACATCCATATGCTAATTTTCTGCCAACTATGTCAATTATTTTTCAGTTTTGAAATATTTTCACCAATGTCCTTTAACTATACAAAATCATCTGGCCCTGTACTGTATATTGAAATTTACGAAACATTATTGATGATACTTTGATTATTTTTTCAGATTTATTACAATGTACAAACGAGCCAAATGTCTCAATACCACAAATGGCAGACCTCCTGATAGAAAGAACACAAGACAAAAACTGGACCATTGTATTTAAGGCTCTTATCACAGTTCACAACCTCATGAATAATGGCAATGAAGTAAGTTGACAACCTCATGAATAATAGCAATGAAGTAAGGTCACAACCTTAAGAATAATGGCAATGAAGTAAGTTGACAACCTCATGAATAAAAGCAATGAAGTAAGTTGACAACCTCATGAATAATGGCAATGAGGTAAGTTCACAACCTCATGAAGAATGGCAATGGAGTAAGTTGACAACCTCATGAATAATAGCAATGAAGTAAGTTCACAACCTCATGAATAATAGCAGTGAAGTTAGTTCACAACCTCATGAATAATGGCAATGAGGTAAGTTCACTACCTCATGAAGAATAGCAGTGAAGTAAGTTGACAACCTCATGAATAATAGCAATGAAGCAAGTTCACAACCTCATGAGTAATGGCAATGAAGTAAGTTGACAACCTCATGAAAACTAGCAATGAAGTAAGTTTACAACCTCATGAATAATAGCAGTGAAGTAAGTTCACAACCTCATGAATAATTGCAGTGAAGTAAGTTTACAACCTCATGAATAATTGCAGTGAAGTAAGTTTACAACCTCATGAATAATAGCAATGAAGTAAGTTTACAACCTCTTGAATAAATTGTAAATTCACAACCTCATGAATAATAGCAATGAATTAAGTTCATATCCTCATGAATTATGGCAATGGAGTTAGTTTACAACCTCTTGAATAATTTCAATGAAGTAAGTTTATACCTCATGAATGATAGCAATAAGCAATGTATAATGGCAATGAAGTAAGTCCATAACCTCTTAAAGAATAATGGCAATGAAGTGTCACCACCACCGAATAATGGCACGTTTGTCTGGAATGATAGTAATGCATTACTACCTGTGAAGTATAGGCACAACCTTGTAGATATTGACAATGAGGTAATTCCTCTGCCTATTGAATACCAATGAGGTAAGCTTATTACCTAATGTATGCCTTTGGCTTTAATGAGGTCATAGATTATTATTACACTCAGTTATATTCATTAGTTAACACTGAATAATGACACTGAGGTTTATCCTTAACCTCCGGATGAATGGCAGAGTTGAATAATGAGTAACCTTCATGACATCTTTCATTGCCCCTTTAAATCTTTTTGAATTATTAACATGTTTGGATTTATAAATAGATAATAAATTGAAATTGAAAAATAAATTGACTTTGAATATATTTAGGCTAATTAATTCATTAATTTGTGTTAATTTCTTTAATTGCAGAGGTTTTCACAGTATTTGGCATCTAACAATTGCAGATTCAACCTGGGTACATTTCTTGATAAAAGCGGAGTTCAAGGTTGGTATTCATCTTCCATAGTATACTAGTCTTATCTGGACTAAGTTACTGTCCCTCTCTTTGTGTGTGTGTTTTGATCTATCAATTAAATGGAATTTTGTATCACATTGGTGATTTTATGGAAGTGATTCAAACAAATTTTCTCAATTTTGTGTGAAATTTTCAAGCTTGATTTACCCTAATTCAGCATCCTCAGGCCAGATATTGATAACGTAAGATCATTCCTCAATTTGCAGGTCAAAAAGATGCAATCAATACCCTCAATGTGCTGATTTCTGTAAAAATCATTTTAAATCACTGGTTAATTAAAAAATAATCATTTTATTAATTCGATCAATAGATATTCTCATCGAGTGTCTGATATTTTACAAATAGATGTTCCCATCCCAGAACTTATTTTCTTGTCTTTCTATGCGTGCTTTAAAACTATGCAGTTTTCATTGTTTCCTGATTTCCTTATTTTGGCGAAATAATTCTGATTATCTCCAGGCACTTACCTCCAAAACTTATTTTTCTGAAACTGAGCCCAGATAACTGGTGATAAAGGGGGAATAATATATGGTGTTTCATAGATTGATCAAATATGCCATATTCAAATATGATGAAATGTTTGTGTAACTTTATCAAAATGCTCTTCACTTGCTGGTTATCCTTTGATGAGGATTTTTTCAACTTTGTGAATGACACAGTATTATTGTATATTGTCTTGTGACCCTTGTGAGCTTTCAATGAGAAGATATGTTCAACAGACCGAGATCAACGGTCAAAATCGTCAAGGTTTAAATTCATAAAATTTGTAAAAATTATTCTATGTGCTATATTTCGGTTATGTTTTAAAAATGATAATTGGTTGTAATGAGAGGCTTGTTATTATTTAATGATCAGCTTATCCAAGAAATGTGGAATTTCATTCAGTGTAAAGAGATAACTGTAGAGGACAGCATGATCCGAAAGTGATATGTATGAGGCACGGGTCTATGTAGTGGATTCTCTGTTTGTCTCTTGTTAAAGCTTGACTTTGTCCTGGACACAAATGGTTATTGACACCTATGTTACAGTGACACATATTTATCATTTGACACATATTATTATCTCATAGTATAGTGCATACAATTATAAACTCCAGAGGCTGATTGTTGAATCATGAAGTTTACAACTGTCATGATTTCATTTTAATACTCAACAGCATGGAGTCTATAATTGTTTTGTTTGTCATTAGATAATATGAAATTTACTCGCTATAATAAGAACAAAGACATTTAAACAAAAAGTAATAACTTTTGTAATATATTGCATGGTCAAAAGTCAAAACTATTGACTGATCTCTGACCAATCAAATATTTAAATTGGCGTATCAACAAAATGGATTAACCCAGTTGCATATATGCATTGGTTACAATAAATACAGTTTCAGTAGTTAATATTTCCTCTGATAAAATTTGCCGCATATTTGCCTTGAATTTTGATTTTTCCTTCTATAATCTAGATTAGAAATCAAAATTAGTAGAAATTGATTTATAACCAAATGCATGGAGCTAATTTAAGATGTATGTATTGACAGAAATAAGTTTGTAACTGATTATTATTAAAATGAGGTGATCACAGGGAATTACATACATTGTAAATGTTATTAAAATTACAAAAATAGATATACATGTAGATTTAATGATTAAATTATATTGTTGATTGACATATGATTGCAGCAATGATTGTAATATAACAAATACACATGTTTTGATTTTGATTAACCTTTTTTGGCCCAATCTGTCAATATATCGGAGATCAAATATTTCAGTACTTAATTCACTCGTTGACAACTTCCTATATTAACAGAATGTAACTACAGGGTGTTCCTGAAAAAATGGAATTAATCCTGTAACTTTTAGAAATTTCCTGTAGTTTAACCTGAGGTTAATTGATATGTTAACCATTTGTGTCCTGCTTTTATGCTTCTAGATAAAATGGGAGGACAAGGTAGGTGTTACCCAGCATTCACAGAAGAGGTCATGTGACCTCATTAGACCAAACAAGCTTCAAAAGCATCTTGGGAAGAGGATTTAGTTCTCTTCTATTTTCAAATCCTCCCTTTTTATAACCGTTTCTTTCTGTTGTCTTTTTACCACTAACACTTTATTCTTGCAAAGGATTATACACAACTTTTTTTGTAGCTCTAGAGATGTTTTTTCATATTTAAAAAGTCCAATATTGCAATCATTTTTGTGAGTGTATGGATAGGCGGGTGGATAGGCAGGATAAAAATCTTGTCATTTCCTTAACAAACATACTGTATAAGGTGTTTGTTTCAAATCATTCCTATGTCTAAACTCTAGCTCTCCTTAGATTTTTGCCATTCTGGGTAAACTACTAGACTGCCATATTGACTAGTAAGCTTTATCCGGAATTATGTGACCAATCCCATTCAAAGGATTTATCTTAAATTCTTAAGCAGCTATCTCAGTGTAATGTTCATCTCTCCAAAAGATATGTTCATTTTCCTTTGTAAGAATGATATACTAACTGCATTATGACAAAGCATGATTTAGTTTTCAACAAATAGGTAGCTGAAGAGGAGGTACAGCTCATCCCATGATGCAATATATGGAGTATATTAGTTTATTGCATCTTGGGTCGGTTACTAACTCATTATTAGGTTATTGTTTATGTGCTTTTTAAGTGTAAAATAACAGTGGATGCATGAGGAATAAATTAATCATAATCTGATGATAGGGAATCTAACCTTAACTTTTCTATTTCCATTGAGGTCTATTCCAAGGCAGTTCTTTCCTCTATCTACCAGTATTGGGATTCAAATAAGGTGCTATTTCATTGGGATACTTGGGACAATACCTCCTTTTCTGCATCCTCCAAATGCAGTGCTCCATTCTGTTCCTTCAGAGTAGACTATGTCTAGGCCCTTGCTTTCGGAGGATGCATTTTCTGATCTGTGACTGATCCCAAGTGTACGACCCCAATGTCCTTTTGAGTTATAAAACAGATGTCAATATGACAAGGGATACATGGTTACAAACTACTTTTGATCAAATATTACCTACAGTGAATCTATAGTTACTCACTGAATCTTTATTCTGCCTTTTTGATGGTCATCATTTAGAAAGCTTGCCTTTGGGACCATTCTGTTATTATTTGAATGCCCAAAAATGCTCAAATCAGGACATATAAAACCTATGTTCCTATTCGAATCAAACCCTTTCTCATGCTCCTTGTATCCAGCTGCGAAAACTATATTTGTAAGGATCATGCACTATTGTGTCGAAAAAACATTTAACAGTACCAAGTTCTACAGTTTTACTTGTAACTTGACAATGTCAGGAATATGAAGAGAACTTGTATTGATCAAACAGCCCTATTGAATTCCTTTGTCTTTAGTCTTCTGAGTCAGAACATGACTATTGTTTCTTATTGAGGCTATATTATGTAAAAAGTGAGAAAGATTTTCAGCTTCAGGCAAACGGATATCTGATTTTCTGATTTATAAATGCATGCTAGAAGTATAGTTTTAAAAAATACAATAGACAGAGATACATTTTAATTTGTCTGTTATTGTTCGACCATTGGGGATATTTCATCATATGGTTAATACAAATGTATGTCCACAGGGCTATTTAGGGCTATTTCAACCTTAGATTAAAATTAAAATTTCTGAAGTTGAACATCTTAGTTAAAAAGATTTGATTTATTCAATTTTTGTCGAAATATCCTTTAAGATATAGTCTTCATTTGAAATAACCAAAATTTGAAAGAAACCCCTTATATAACACAGTTTATTGTCTTAGAAACAAAAGTAGATGTTCATTTGTTGTACAGCACTAGATTTTCAATCATTTAGGTAGTCCAAGTGGGATATATTTCTGACTTTCATGTAAATGGTCTAAATGGATCGGTCAACTTGCATTGCCTACCTTAATTGATTTAAAAAACACTCCCTAAATATCTTAATAAGATCCTTTAAGACTGTTTATATATTTGTACATTCCCAAATAATGATGAAAATAGAAAAAATCATGGAAACTATCCAGACCCCCATCATACCATCAGTTTGCTCACTGAATCAGCTGCTAACATGAGATAATCACTTCCTAATTTGTGTAGCCCCTCACTTTAGCAATGATGTCAAGAGTCAGCTGATGGTATGGTGGAGTCCTGATGGTACCTGGGATTATGCGACGACTGTTCATGAAGGAAAGATCTACTTACTTTCGAAACGTATCTTTGGGCTATGCCTTGTATCTGAAGTAAAATCTTGTAGTCATGTTTAAATACTAGACAGACGAATTAATGTATAATATGCTGTAGGATTTAAAGATTTCCACATATGCGCATGTATACTGTATAGTAGTATTTGACCATTTTAGGGTATGATATGTCTACATTCATCCGAAGATACTCCAATTACATAAATGCCAAGTGTGATTCCTATAGAGCTATGGCGTTCGACTTCTGCAAAGTGAAAAGAGGGTAAGTGATCTACTTGATTTTTCCATATTTTATTTGGATTCACATTATTAATGAAGGGCTAGGGTGTATCATCAGAATTTGAATATATCATTTGAATCTACTCAGTATGGCTTCATAGATATAAACTGGGAAGTTCTATATTGAGTTTCTATATACAGTAAAACCTGTATAAGTGGAACACCTCGGTACCTCTAAATGTGTTCTACCTGGAAGGTGATCCACTTATAGAGGTTCATTTAACATTAAGTTTGTTAGTTCTGGGACTACGATGAAAAGTGTGGTGTTTCACTTCCAGAGGTGTTCCATTTTACAGGTTACATTGTACTGTAAATATAAAACTAAGAAACACCTGTCTAAGTCACAAGATTTGCAATTGTAAAGAACATTCCGTATACACAGGTTTTACTGTACAATCCATCCTCTACAATGACATTTTCATATCATGGTATAATGTAGACAATTGGAATGGCTGAATATACTAAATCTATAATTCTATTTAACTAGACTAATAATTGTGTTGCTTAATCATCGGGGGAATTAATAACCATGTTTACAGATGTACATTTAAGTTGGATCAATGTATTATTGATCAGTTATGTAATTTGTCAATGGGAATCAGAACTCATAAGATGTAGTGAATTAAATCCCTCTGAAAACCAGAACTCAGCTAATTTTCCAAAGTAACAAAGTAGCTAAAGGGACCTCCAATATTAGAACTCTTGTGCTTTGTGGTTCATTGTCTAGACCATTCCAATATAGGTGTGTGGCATTTATAATGTATCAATCTGTCATGTCAAAAACTGGAGGGTAACCATACCTTTTGCAGATTTTCAATCTCATCATGTCCGGTGAAATTTTGACAATGATTAAAAAGAAATGAATCCCATTTGTGGCACCCACTTGCTTAAATGCAAGAGAGATCACTTTATCACACAGTACTAACTTCGACCATTAATTTGAATTTTTGACCTACCAGATGTTTGAAAATCAAGGATTGCATGCGAGTCTCATACTGCACCGTTTTTCTTCAAACTTGATCCATTCAAAGCATTCTAAAAATGCCTTTCTGTTGGTACATTATTCTGCTATACAGAGTTCCTACTTTTAGCGGCATTTTGGGTCCCCAGCTGTGAGAAGGGCTTCTCACAACTGGGGACCAAAACGCTGCTAAAACGAGGGACTGTTTACAATAAAGCAATGTACCAACAGAAAGGCAATTTTGTTTTGCTTTGCATAGAACAAGTTTGAAGAAAAACGGTGCAGTATGAGACTCGCAGTCCTTGATTTTCAAACACCTGGTAGGTCAAAAATTCAAATTAACGGTCAAAGTAAGTACAGTGTGTATATCCTGTCCAGGGAATGCTAGAATAGTAAATATATTGCTGTCCTGTATTGAATGTTATCTGTGAGGTATCTCTGTCAATTATGTTCAATGGCTCTCATTGGGATCAGGGTACATTGTCTAGAAGATTAGCGTCACTTGAAAACAACTTTTAGCCATATTAAGTTATCGCTACTCTTGAAACATGGTGCCTATCATGTATCTAAAAACAATGTAAAACAAAATGTGAATTGCTCGAAGGTGGCACTGATCATGGGAAGTATTTCAAAATGATAACAACGAATGTTGAAATGTGGAACAGTTTTGAGATGTTCACATGAGATAATTCATGTGCACTTTAGAGAGTTCACAATAGGCAGGTGTTTATAAAGTGAGGTGTTTTTTGTTGATAATAAGAGAGTTATTCATAATATAGTGTTGTTTGCAATAAAGAGGTGTTCACATCTTGCATTCAGTTTCATCTTCAAATCATGAAGCAATATCTACATCTAAATGCCAAACTGAAAATGTCAAGCGTATGTTTGCATCAATACACAATGTCTACAATATGCAAAAGTAATTCCATTTCCCTCCATGTAGCAGTAAGAAATCCATTATGGGGTCAGGTGCAGGGGTAGATAACAATTTAAAGCAGGAGTTAATCTCATTTTGCTGATCGTGGTGTCAAAGCAACTTTCTGCACTGATTGCACATTATGAAAATGCCAGTGATTTTAACCTTTAGCAGACCACCGGCGACCGCGTCCGCCCATTCAAAATTACCGCCAGAATCCACCGGCGGATCCGGACGACACAAATCTAACTTTTGAAAACTTTACTTTTTCCCGCCGTTCTTATGATCCAATTAGATTGCCCGATTTATTCAGTCCTTAGTAGGTGACTTCCTGTTGACCTAGAAATGGCGATATTTCGAAAAATATTTCTCAATTCAACAATTTAAACAGTTTTTAAGTCGTTTTTAGTGAACAAATCATACAAAATGACGGCCAAATACGATCACAACGAAAATGTGGAGGAAATGGATTGCGATTTCGAGCTCTTTAGGCTCTTGGAAACCGATAATGGTCATCGAAAATGGAAACTAGAATATTTTCTGAACTGAAAACAAGAACATTCGATCGCTGCAAATTCAGTTTTGGATTCTGACCAGACGTTGAATCTCCCGAGGGGCGAAACGGCGGATTCCGGAGGAGTATTCATGGTATATTTATGCCCAGTCGTGTTTATGTACGAAAAAAAATCATGAGAACATTTTTCTCATGAGCCACACTAGTGTATCTTCCCTTTGTGAAAATTTTATCCAGATTCATTCAGTAGTTATTGAGATATTAATTATTTAGTCCAGGCATATCATTTTTGAAAAATAAGTCAGATGCGTAGGATATATTTGTTAAAATAAGTCAGAGTGCAGAAGGTTAAGAAATGAGGGGATTATTGGCTCATGTAGTGATCCTATGGAATTCCCCACTCATCCGTTTTTTGTCAATCTGTCTGTCAACAATTTTGGAACAAATGAAGACTGCCATTCGTCTGAACTAATGCTAATATAAATGGGTTCAAACTGTTAATTTTGATACCATTGGTCCCAGCTCCTACTTTTTTTCCTCATTTTTATGAAATCAACATTTTTATTGTTAAAACACAAAAAATGAGCATGTGAGCCCAGCAAATGGTGCCATTCTATATCATCAAAATCTCTTGTATTTCATAATACAAAGTTTCTTCCTACAAGATAGAGTTTGGAATAGTGAAGATCATTTGAGTTAACTTTAGATTTGAATAAGTACAAGAGTAGGTAGTATGTATGTGTTAATTTATTTATGGAATGAATTAAAGAGTAAGGGGTGTTTATTTTGAGATCTTGAAGAGTTTTCAAAGATTCTTGAGGTTGATGGCAAGCCGTGATACAGTGGTGCTAAACACTATCGAAAATATCTGTTTAAAAACTATCTAGAATCTCCATAGTAGATTAGAAGTGGATGCCATGTATTCTGATTAATAAGGAAAATAGAGATTCTGTTAAATAAATGGTGTAATTTGAAGTTTACTGTTAATTCAACATGGGTCTAATATACTTCATCTAATATGCCTCCTTTTTTATACACTCATGAAACTCTATAAAAAGTGAACTTGTCACTGTTCCTTTGAGTTTATAGAATTTATGCAGTTCCATATAGTAAATTTTGTTTACTAAAAGCTAACTTGACCTCATTCCTTTGGGTGATCCAATATATTCTAATATTAATCCAACATCTGGTATGTGAGTTGTTATTGCAAACAATCAATAATGAATGAACAATGAATCAAATACTCAACAATTCATTCATACAATTTTCTGGAAGTTATGTTTTTGTCAAAATTTTCATGAAATGATTATCTTTAACAATATATTTTTTCTATATATTTTCTATTTCTTGTAAAATCCTTTCTTGATATGGCATGACTTGTACATATATTACCATTTTATTAGGAGACCCGTCATTATTTTGCATTATTGATCAGTACATGAATCTATTGCATTTATAATGGATGACCTCTCTTATGAATATGTAAGTGCAAGATTCCCTTTATCCATCTGTTTGTCCATCCTTCCATCCATCAACAAAATTTTGGACTAATGTCATATAGTGACATATTGTTATATTCTCCAACTTTCTTGTGGACAGTGTCCAATGTTTAGTTAAAGCATTTGGCATTTGGCTGTTTGTATCAATATTTGTATTTGTAACAAATGGCAGGTGGTGACATTTTGCATGTTAATGATAATACCTTTTTAAATTCTGCACTGGTTCAGCTATCAGTTGCTTCAATGTTAGAGATCACAGAGTAATATAGTCAGGACAATGAAACTTGTGTAACTCTCTGGGTAATAGTAATGCCAAACACTTCAATTATATTGAATAAGGAAGCAGTTGGGATTTATCACTTGTACAGCCATCAACAAAATTGTCATATGGTGACATATTGTTGTATTCTCCAACTTTCTTGTGGACAGTGTCCGATGTTTAGTTTAGGCATTTGGCATTTGGCTGATTGCATCTGTAACAAATGACAGGTGGTGACATTTTGCATGTTAATGATAATACCTTGTTAAATTCTGCACTGGTTCAGCTATCAGTTGCTTCAATGTTTAAGAGATCATAGAGTAATATGGTCAGGACAATGAAACTTGTGTAACTCTCTGGGCAATAATAATAATGCCAAACACTTCAATTATATTGAAAAAGGAAGCAGTTGGGATTTATCACTTGTACAGCCAAAATTATGGTTTGAAATTGAATTGGTTCATTATTAGGTGGTTCTTATGAAAGTTGTTCAATTTGAATATACTGTGCCCTTACTTTGAAATACAGTAGAACCTGTCTAATCTGAACACCTCTGTGACCAGCCAAAAGTGTTCAGATTAGCAGGTGTTCACATTTAAACGTTTAATAAACATGTTAGTCAATGAGAGATAACAAATTTCTGACTGAGAAAAAGTGTTCAGATTGAGAGGTGTTCAGATTAGAGAGGTTCTCTGTATGGAAATGCAAATATTGAAGCAATTTATAGAGAAATTACAGAGAAATGGCATTGCATATGCATGAACAGATACATATTCTAGAAGACATACTTTAAAACCTCAGGATGAGAAGTAACCTTGAGATCAAAGTGATAGATATAGTGGGAGATATCACATGAACAACTTCACCTCAAATCTCAATTATTTCAATGCCAAACATGAAGTTATCAGTTAAAGTAGATGAAACAATGTTAAACTGAGATGTTGCAACATTTAAACATCCACGATTGATATTAGAAAACATGTATGTTGTACAGTGAAACCTGTGTATCGAGAACACCTTGCTGAATGAATATTTAATATGGGGATTGTGATCAATATATAGGGTTTGCATTGATGTTATTAATAGGGAAATATACATGGTGTCCATAAAGTATCTTTTCAAGGGTTAGAAACTTTGTATTGTAATTGTAACAAGAGTTTATAGACACCCTGCATATATTTTTCATTGGGTTTTACCATGACCGTCTCCCCGACATATTGCTAATGATACCGTTTTTTTGTACAGTGTTGTATGAACATACATATCATACATATATGAAAGTATAAGTAATAGAAAATTATAAATGCACTGTGTTTTTGCCATACATCTGGACTGAAATATAATGAGGAAACTTTGCCCCAAAAATGAAGTTCATCAGAAAGCTTTGAAAAAGATTTCTTCATATACTCGCTGTATGTTATTCATTCTATGTTATGTGTTATAGGAAAGAAGATGGTCTTCTGCGTACAATGTCAGGGGAAAAGTTACTCAAAACATTACCAGTCTTACAAGCCCAGGTGGATGGTCTCTTGGAATTTGATGTAAGTACTAAGTACCAGCTCTCCCATAGTCTAGCTACAAGCCTTTGTACCCTCCCAACTACACATCTCTGTGTGAGAAGTTGTCATACCTGTGTAGTGAAGTAGTGGGATGGGGGGGGTCACAGGGGCTTGTACCTAGAGATTAGCCCTCCCTTTTCCAGATGTTGGTGGTAATTTACTAGACTCAACCCTTATATACATGAACATGCCCATTTAACACTAATACTGGAGCGTATTACCAGAAAGTTCCCTTTGTTAAGAATTCCTAGATCAAGTGTTCTTTTACTGTCATCGTAATTTCCATGTTCACTACAATGGAATCGGGAATTTTCAAAGCTGAGAGTATTCTGGTTACGCATCCCTGTTATTTCAATGTAAAGTACCATATTTGAGATGTATGTATGCTATTGAAAACTGTTGCCACTTTAAGAGAACATATACTCACGAAGGCTACATTAATCCCTGTTATACTGGGAGTATTTCTCAGGAGTCGATAAATTAATTTAAGAATGAGTAATACTAATGACTTGGGGATAACCCAGTGCTTGAACTGACACAGACAGTAGCAAGAGTAATTATCAAATGAAAGACTTTCCAGTTCATAAATAAGTGTAAAATGCAGAAACTGGGTGTGACAACAGGGCTGCAGCCAGCTTTTGTCGAGGAATGGTTCATATTTCGAAAACTTCCATTTGGGTTCACATTGAACAACTTTGATCAGAGTTCTGAAAAACTGCTTGATTTTGAAAGAATTTTTGCCAAGGGTATGGTTGAATTCCTAAATCCGGCCCCGTCCCCTGACCATGGCCTTGGCAATTAGGCACTGTCCTACGGAGCATTTTGCTACAGGCTAGCTCACTATTGCAGCATGTTTAGTAAGTATAAGAAAATAATAATGTCTTTTTTGACCACACACCAATGCAAAAACATGAAATTACAGTGAAACATTGGTATTTTGGTTTAAAATATTACTTACAGAACAGTAAAGATGTTTCTGCGGTTCTAATAGAGGAAATTATTAAACAAGCTTGATATATGGCCTGTAAAATGCAATTGGATCTAAGCAATCAAAAACCAGTGCAAAATATCACTATTGATCTCCCTTAGCATTGAATCAAGTGGATTATGAAAAAAGACTTGCACCCATCTGAAAATCTATTTCCTCCCACTTGAAAATGAGAAAAATCATGAGACTGTGGTCAGAATTGTGAAACTGAGAATTTTGCACCTCCACTTTAAGGGAAACATTCTAGGGAGAACATATTAACTCTACGTCTGATTCTCTTTGAAGAGAAAATATTGGATTAATTCAAGATTTAGATGAACATGATACAAGCTTTGTTCCATTCAAAGAGGAAAACAACGAAACATATTATATTTATTATCTGAATATTGTTTGAGGGTATAGATTTACAAATGAAGTACTTAGTATTCTGTGTCAACCTAACCTCCCTTACTTAAAATGTCATGGATATGTTTTGAAATGTGAATTAGATTGAAAGGGAGAGAAATCAATGGCAAGGAATAAAACATTACTATATTGAGGTTATTCTTTAAATTACATAAAAATTACAAGATTACGGAAATAGGACATTTTTCCTAATTTGCGAAAAGTATTACATGGGCTAGGAGTAAATGTTTCCAGAGTTAGACTAAGAGAACATATTACCTTTAAAATACAACCTCTGTAAGTGACATGTATTTCCTTTGAAAATAAAATTAACCACAGTAATAGCAATAAGTGTGAACCAATTTTCCAGGTTACCTTCACAGTTAATTATATTCTGAAAATAAGTAATTCCAAGTAGCGAAAGAGTTCAAACAAGTGAGACTTTCAGGGGTATAATCAAGTACGTCGCCTAAAATTTACAGAAAGCTATTCACTTGCATAGTTTTTGAAATGAAAGTCTATAATTATTATGAAATCAAATGGAAGTGTTGTCTCATGTGACCTTGATTTCCTCACTTATATCAATATCCAAATCGCGATATCTATACCCTCTTTGTCTTTAACTTTCCAAATAGCAGATAAGAGGAGGGGGTTTGGTAGACCAGAATGCAATCTTGAGGCTTCATCATTGACGGTGTTATGATTCAAATGTGATATTTTTTACAGCTTTTTAGTATGATGACAAACAGAATTTGTAATCAGGTGACTCAATCGCCAGACATCGTAGACAGATATAGATGACACATACAAATGGCACGAGTTTCTTCAGTAGAATTTCTATACTGTCTAATGAGAGTGTGCATTGTGATTCTAATAATACAGTATAAAATGTCTGTAAATCATGGGCTTTCAAGAGATTTTAGGACCATAGTAAAATGTTCTTTAGACATACTGTACTCATTGTATGGTGTTATATTTTCATGCAGTTCACATGCTTTCAATTGATAGAAATTAATCATAGCAAAATTCCATGTTGGTCAATACTAGCAATTTTAAAAACAATTTCCATGAAATCAATTTTGTTAAAACAGAAAACATCTGAGGAAAAATAATGGAGATTTTAATGGACCTTTTCCTATTTGTTCTCGTTATTTGTGATTTGAATTTACACAAACGATGCTCCCATTATTCATTATTCAGACTATTATATATTCTAATTCTTTATTTCCAGTGTTCTCCTAATGAATTGACCAATGGAGTGATAAACGCATCATTCGTACTGATGTTCAAAGACCTTATAAGGCTATTCGCCTGCTACAATGATGGAATCATTAACCTATTAGGTAACACAAAGTATTACTGATTGAGACAACAATATTACCATTTTTATGTCACCTCCAAAAGTGTTGACATAATGTTTAAGTCTTCAACTTTTTGTGAACAGTGTTCGCCATTTGCCGATTGGTGTTTGGCAGTTGGTGTTCAGTGTTTGGTGGTCGGTGCCTGTAAAAAATGGCAGGTGGTGACATTGTGCATGTTAACGCCTTGTTAATGATAGCAATACCAGGCTAAAATTGAGAGTATCGCCATCTTAAATCATGGTTGATAAACATAAGTATAATCACACTAGTTGTAAATTGCTTTTTTGTTTAATTTAATTCATGTATTTTTTATTTACATGTATTTTCAGAAAAATATTTTGAAATGAATAAAAAGCAATGCAAAGAGGCATTGGATATATATAAAAAATTCCTTGTTCGGATGGACAAAGTTGCAGAGTTCCTGAAAGTAGCTGAGGTAAGTCAATAACTAGCAACTACTGACACATCAACTTGTGGTGACAGTTAACTACTGACATATCAACCTGTGGTGACATTCCTACATGAGGGGGTATGGTCACATCTTGAAATATGAAATGGAATTAAAGCGGAATAAGTATGTAATTTAGCAGGTTGTTTACACTCATGAAAGGGGGAGGGGCACTTGCGAAGGGGGAGGGGGGCATTTGCAAAGTGGGAGGGGGGCATTTGCAAAGTGGGAGGTGTCAAATATTGGTGTCATTCTTATAGGATATATAGGTTGGAATAAAAATCCCAGTTTCAGTGAGCTGAAAAAACATAAACACAAGATGGGTAATAATTAAAATGTCACTAAATCTCAACTCCTTTAACAAAAAGGGTAGGAGGGGTCTTATTTATCATAATTTGCTTTAGTGAAAGAAAAACAACATTGCCATTTTGGCCGAGCCCAGTACATTGCCTTTTTGTATAATTTACTTTTATCAGTTTTCACTCTTTTACACTTATAAACTTGACCACCATTTCATTGTTACCACAAGAACCAAGAAAACATAGAAAATATCTTCGAAGTTGTTGACAGTTCATTGTTTATTTTCTCCAAAAGAGGAATTTCTGTTCTGTTTTGTTCATCTTTTGATTGGTTATTCATGTATTTTGTTCCAACTTTTGCTTTATTCTTGTGTTTTGTGTTTCTTGTAACTATAGCCACGTGGACAACTCTTGTATGCTCTCTGTCAACTGTCATTGTCAGTTTTCCATCTGTCCTTGCAATACAATGATTAAAACAGAAGGGAGTTTCAAATTAGAGAGAAATGCTAATTGAGAATGACCACCAGTGGAGAGTGAAATATCTAACACATGGAGTTTTTGTGTGATATGTGACTGTTATCAATATGGCAATTCTGTGAATGTTTTATATATGTGACTGTTACCAAGCAATATGGCAACTCTTTGTTACCAAGTAATATGGCAACTCTGTGTTACCAAGCAATATGGCAATTCTGTGAATGTTTTATATAATGTGACTGTTACCAAGCAGTATGGCAATTTTGTGAATGTTATCTTCTCTCTGTAGTGTTCTTCTGACCTATGTTAATACCTGCATGGGTGATTACCTTCAATTAATGCATTAAAGGGAAGCCTAGTCTTGATCCCTTCCTTCCTCTGCCAAGCTTTTCATCTTCATCTGTCAAAGTCCTGGAAGTATAGAGAGTGGGAGGGGGTATAGATATTCATTAGTACTTAAGAATGAACTGAAATTCCGTCCATTTTACATGTCATATTTCTTATGTAAAACAATTTGAGCATACATACAATTTATCATTCTACATTGAGACCTTTATGTTTTCTGCTTGCTTAGAAGGGAAAGGTATTACATGTTGTAAAATATCGGGTTAACAAATTATAGATGTCTCCCCTAGTAGATTGTCTCTGGTGTTCATACATTTTCATGCTTATTGGAAGTAATTCCAAAGATCTTGTTTATGATCAAAGTCAAATAAAAATCAATCTTTTCAGTGTAAATTTTTTTAATTCAATTAAATGAAGAGTAATTTGTTGTTTGGACGGATTAGCGGAATATACCTTTTGTTCTCTTCAAATCTTGGCTTGAAAGTATTTTACATTGTATGAATTATATGAACACTGAAAAAGCATGGAATCGTGTGATGGCCACTGGGTGATCTAATTCTATATTGTAATTTCTGTTGATTTACTCTGTATTTATTTAGATTTTGTTATTATTTTTCACTAGGAATCTACTAACAATAGTTATGCATGCATGTGGGTAAGAAGTGTCACCATAGTGTAATGGTGGGTTACGCAATTAATTTGACATAATCATATACAGTATTTTGCAAGTTCTGATCCAGAAGTTCTCTTTTCAATGCTCCAATATAAACTTGTCACCTGATATGCAGTATTTACAAGAGTTTTGAGTGGAAACATTGCAAATGGTGGTTGATAATCTATATAAAGAATATCTATAACACTATGACCCACGATAATCTTCGCATCATTAAAGGTTCGGGTGTGCACCATGTCACGCTGTTGAAAATCTGAAAATTCCATGTCACCCTGTTCCTGTTCTGAACTTCAAAATTCCATGTCACCCTGTTGAGAATTTGAAAATTACATGTCACCCTATTGAGAATTTGAAAATTCCATGTCACCCTGTTGAGAATTTGAAAATTACATGTCACCCTATTGAGAATTTGAAAATGTTCATATCACCCATTGAGAATTTGAAAATTCCATGTCACGCTGTTGACTATCTATGGAAGAAATATTAAGATATAAAGAAGGAAAAGTTTGGATTTATCACACTGTTTAGAAAAAAACTGTTGAATCTGGACATCACTCGCTGACTAAGAAATCACAGAATCTTTAATATAATTACCACTTGAAATTACCATTTCTTATTCTAGAATTTAAATTACCATTAAATTCTACCATTCAGTGATTTTGATGAATATAGTCTAGAACAGTAGAAACAGATCTCAACTTATGTTCTCTGAACCTTCCAAGGCTTTATTTTAAAAAAGCATTTTTAAAAGAACTTCAGGATTGGACTTTGTATATATGTACAGTACATGTATAGATGGTATGTCATATTTTAAGACATAATTTAAAGGCAGGGTGTCAGTATAAAAGATATGTCTTAATATCATATGCTTTTCCATACATTCAGTCCACTTCCCATACATAGTTTTATAAAATAGAATTGAATTCAGTATAGATAATTGCCAGCAGAATTTGCTTACATATACATGTAGTTTAGTATATACAGGGTGTCCAGAAAATATTGTAATTGTATAGGTTGTTATATGTTTATAGAGGTATATCTGCTGATAGAATTTGTATCAAAAACTTAAAACTGTAGTGTTAGCTCAGAATAAATGTTGTTTCATGGGAGTAGTTATTCACCTTAAGAAGTTGTATAGTTGGGCATAAATAAGACATTTTTAGAAATGATGCATTTCAATCATTAGTAGGTGAACAGTCGGTGATACTTGTTGATCAAACTTATGAACATTATATTATGAGTTTATGAACACAATGAAGTTTGAATCATAAAGTTTGATTGAAATAGCTGTTCTCAGAGTAAATCGCAAAATCACCATGGGGAGTGTATCTGGAAAAAATATCCCGAACAAGGTTTCCTGAAATCCTATTGTCTCATAATTGTTGCCATAGTAACATTACATTGTTACCATAGTAACATTATATTGTTGCCATAGTAACATTGTGAGACATGGTTAAATCTTCCCAGAGAGTGCTTTACTTGATTGGTGGTAGGGTATTGATGAATATATCTGTTGTTTCTTAGCGTTGTACTCAACGACTTAGCAAACCTGGCCAGGTAGGCTGCGGCACTCAAAAGTTCACATCATCTAACCTCCAATACAAATCCAAAATGTTGAAATTTTAATTTGTCACTCAGTTCCTTTACTTGATAAGGAAACATTAAACAATTTGATGTAAATATTAAAAAAAATATAGAACCAGTGAAGAAATAACATTTTTTAAATCAACAATTTAAGAGACATTTTGTTCCCTTTGATATTAGGTCTTTGTATTGCTAATTTCTTAGACTATGCATGTGGACTTTTGGATGTTGTTTCATTGTTTTCAATGTAAGCATGCCTCACTTTTGTGCATGTTATTCAACAGTTCTGTTCAGTTTTCGAATTTATATTTCATTTTTAAATATGAAGTACACGAAGTGTCATTTCATGTGTTAGTGAAATAAAATGTTCTGATGATACACGTGTTTTCGTTACATACTGTATGTACATGGGCTTTCAACTAGAATTGAAAGCCCATGTACATACAGTATGTAACGAAAACACATTAATTCCATCTATACCTTTGTGTTTTAATTGAAAACACAGATTTCTTTTTTACATGACCGTGATCTCCCATGTATTGAAGCATTTTTGTGTTAAACATTAATTCGGTATAGGGTGTCCAAAAACAGGACTGAAAAAAGTTTTTTAGACACCCTGTACCTCTACCCAGTTGAAAACCCATTTGCAACCAGTCCGGAAAAATCACAATATCCAAAATATTTACTCTCTCATAGAATTTTCTTATATTCGTTTTTAATTTTGCACATTTGCAAGAGGAAATCCAAGGGAACTCTGTGTTAAGAATACCCTGCCTTTTATTTTAAAATGGGTTGTAATTATTTTATTTTATTCCCACCACATGCTTTGAATAATGTAATTGCTGTACAAATATTTTTAATGATGGCATGATCGCAGAAATGCTTTTTCCTGCAAACTTTTTATTATAAACTTTTTGTTGAATTCAAAGATCTGTACCAGTTTTTGTCTGTATATCCACATATTGTTTAAGGAGTACATGACTGTATTGGGAAAATGTGCCAACTTCTTAGTTCTTTCATATTTCTGTCTTTACTCATCATGATTGTACAAAATGCAATTGAACTTTTTCTTCATATGACCTGGAATTTTTTATTCATAGATCCACATTGTATCTATGAGTATTCTAAGAAAAATATTGGAACTTTTGAAAAATAATCTTAATTGTTGTTTGAAAATATAAAGAAAATTTTTCAAGAAAGTGGCATATTTTTTCTAATATTTATTGAATAAAAATAGTATGTGCTGTTTATCTGGTCTGATGTTTTACATGATATAATACGCAGGTCTAATTTCTGTAAATTCCAGGATTTCTCTAAACAATCCTGTTTAAAAATTCCTACTTTGTTATGGCACAATGGATTCCATTGTTATAACAAGGAATTTAAGAATATCCATAGAATGATTTGAGAAAAAAGGATCCCTGACGAGTAATGAAGAAATAAGACTATGAGAACAATGTTATGATGGCCATGTTATAACAATGCAAAATAGGTGGAATGAATACAATATATTATCAACATGATCAAAGTATACAAATGCAATGCAAATGTACTTTTTAGAGACATTATGTATTCTTCTCAAATTCTAATCAACTCAAATCTTAGATATATATTCCCTAGATAAGTTTCATGACTTACAATTTGGAACTTGTGTTCAGAATGTTAGTTTTGATATTTCTTTCTTAAAATCACTTACATGTTCTTTATATTTTTAGAATGTTGGAATCGACAAGGGGGAGATCCCAGATTTGGCCAAGGTAAGCTCAAACATTTTTTGGAACTGTTCCATTTATAACACCAAGAGCATCTCTATCTTATATTTCTTCAGATTCAATTTTCATTTTCTCATGTTATTTCAATTCATTCTGGGATGGTCATTCAGTTTCCTGTTTTCACTGTTTTTCATCGATCTCAAAAATATGCCTTATAAAGATTCATATACATGTATATGACTTATGATTCTTCATTGGTGCGTTATATAAATAAAAATGCATGCTGCTTCATTATGTTAAATTGTATGCAAATAATGTTTACTGTCCAGTTAGTAGTCACTAGTTTTGATTTATGTTGTAAAGTTTTTCTGTCTAGTTTCATCACACTCAGCTTCATATGAGAGTTTTACATTATCGTGATGGCCACATTTCCAAATGCTAAATAAAGTTAAACAGTATGGAATTGGCACTCATTTATCAAATACAGGCACGAAGTAGGCCTTTGGAAAATTCTTACTCAATTCAAAACAAACTTCAAGCTTTTTACTATATAATTCTGCACTTGCATTCATTGCACTATCCCACTCCATTCAACATAAAGGACCAGTCTCATTTTCCAATGTTGCATGCCCTGTAGATAAAGGACCGGTGCCATTTTCCCCAAGCTGAGGGCCCTTTTTATTTGCTTTACAGAACCTCAATAATAACGCATCTGGAGTGAGTGCTCTTTCTTCAAACGACAACAAGATCAAGAACTTTATATGGTCCTCACACCTTCTATAGCTGGTTCTGGGAACTTAGGACCGCTCGCTATCTTTATTTTAATTTTTTGATATAATTTTTGAATTTTAAGTTATTTTATCTCAATAGTAAATAAATGTTGTAAAGATTTAGTTCACTGTAAAGTAGCTTAAAGGTGAATATGTAAATGATGCATTTGTGATTTTTATGAAGGATGCTGATTATGGGATGAAGATTCTCAACATATACATTTTTACGCCTTTTTGCTTGAAAATTACTGTAAAGAGCGCAGAAACAGGTTTTCACTATGTAAATTTCATAGTGAGATGCTATACTAAAAATTATACAACATTTTACACCTCTGATATATGAGTTACATTTTTCAAGGTTGGCCTCTTGTGATAATATCTGTACAGTAAAACCTGTATTTCTGAACTTCTCTCTAATTTAAAGGCTTCTCATTGTGAACACTTTTTGGTCTCGAATTCTTAATCTGCCATAAACTTCCATGTTAAAAAACCTCAAAATGTGAACACTTGGCTGCACCCATTTGGATAAGGTGGCAATTTTCAAGCCTGTATAGTACACATTAAGATTCAAGTAAATTATCTAGAATCTTCATTCTACTCAGCCTGCCTTCAGGGGACATTGTCTGAATGCATTCTTTACGATCAAAACATTTTTCAATGTATCACATTGTGGCCATATAATTCAAAGATTCTCTATAAGCAAAATATAAAAATTGTCATTATTAGAGTCCCAGAATATCCAAATTTTATGACATGAGCCTAGCAAGTCTGATACGTTCGCGAAATGTTTATATGGCCACATTGTAATTTACTTTCAACTCATCAAAGGAGACTACTTCATTATATCAATGTCTGATTATAGAAAGGGGATTATTAAAAAGACCTCTATCTATAAGGCTCCTATTACAGTCTGATACAATTCATTTCATTCAGTTTTGGTCTGAAAATACATATATCTGAATATCAGTCATCACAACTGTAATATGAAGACATTGAAATTTGGAAGTGTTCCTTGGGTTAGATGAGTCCAAGTTAGTAACATGTTAACATACACTAGAACTACATGTATGTTTCCTGTGTGATTCTAGGCTCCTGCTAGCTTACTAGAGGCGTTAGAACAACATCTTAGCTCACTAGAGGGTAAGAAAGCTGCCAAAGTGCCAACTCCGACACAGACACCTGCCAATGTAGCATCTGCTATTAGTACATACGCAGTCCAGAGCAATAGTAAGTCAGCCACACCTATCACTGATGAAGAGAAACGCAGGGTACTGCAGGAGGAAGAGAAAAGATTAGAACAGCTTAAAGTGAGTGTTATAATCATACTTACTCCCTGATTTTGAGAAATGTAGGTTGCAACAGAAAGAAACAAAAACCCTGAGTGGCAGATTACCTTTTTATGTCCCCACCACATAGTGTGGGGCCATATTGTCGGCCTAGGCGCGTCCGTCCGTCCGTCTGTCTGTCTGTCTGTTTGTCTGTCTGTCCGTCCGTCCGTACGTCCGTACGTCCGGCAGTTTTCTCCTAAACCGCTACAGATATCACCTTCAAATTTTCAGGGGTAACTAATGAGTACATACAGATGTGGATGAAAATTTTTTAACTCTATATCTACTTCCTGTCGGCCATTTTGAAGTCAAATGCTAAAATCCTTGTCTGCAAACTTAAAGAAAAACAGCTTCACAGTTGCTTTTAAAACGTTAATATCTTGTTCAGCTCACTTCATTCTACATCTGATTAGGTTTTGGACCTGTTAGCTCAGTCATGTCAGCCATTTTGAATATCTTAAGAAAAGTTAGCGCGCGATAATACTTTGTGTCATATTGAATGGTGTTTTTGAGTTTTCATACTTTAAATATTTTGTAGCTTTATAAATAATTTCAGGTGTACTTTGTTGTAAAAGCCTATGTTATTGTTAACAGTGGTTATATGTGACAATTTTGTAAAAGGAAATCAGCAAAAACTCATAATCACTTTTTTGTTGTCGGCCATTTTGGATTTTTCTGTCCTCAAATCTTATCTGTAAAGTCTTGTCTGCGCGTTTTCAGCTGAACCGTTTGGTAGATCAATTTCACATTTTCAGGGATGATTCTTAGTATGAAAATCTAGATCTGATTAGGTTTTTGGCGTTCTGGGTAAATGTCAAGGCAGCCATTTTGGATTTTCCATCCTAAAATCTTGTCTGTAAAGTCTTGTCTGCGCATTTTCAGCTGAACAGTTTGGTAGATCAATTTCACATTTTCAGGGATGATTCTTAGTATGAAAATCTAGATCTGATTAGTTTTTTGGCGTTCTGGGTAAATGTCAAGGCAGCCATTTTGGATTTTCCGTCTTAAAATCTTGTCTGTAAAGTCTTGTCTGCGCGTTTTCAGCTGAACCGTTTGGTAGATCAATTTCACATTTTCAGGGATGATTCTTAGTATGAAAATCTAGATCTGATTAGGTTTTTGGCGTTCTGGGTAAATGTCAAGGCAGCCATTTTGGATTTTCCGTCCTAAAATCCTGTCTGTAAAGTCTTGTCTGCGCATTTTCAGCTGAACAGTTTGGTAGATCAATTTCACATTTTCAGGGATGATTCTTAGTATGAAAATCTAGATCTGATTAGTTTTTTGGCATTCTAGATAAATGTCAAGGCAGCCATTTTGGATTTTCCGTCCTAAAATCTTGTCTGTAAAGTCTTGTCTGCGCGTTTTCAGCTGAACCGTTTGGTCGATCAATTTCAAATTTTCAGGGATGATTTTTAGTATGAAAATCTAGATCTGATTAGTTTTTTGGTGTTCTGAATATTCAGTCAAGGCAGCCATTTTGGATTTTCCGTCCTAAAATCTTGTCTGTAAAGTCTTGTCTTCGCGTTTTCAGCTGAACCGTTTGGTAGATCAATTTCACATTTTCAGGGATGATTCTTAGTATGAAAATCTAGATCTGATTAGGTTTTTGGCGTTCTGGGTAAATGTCAAGGCAGCCATTTTGGATTTTCTGTCCTAAAATCTTGTCTGTAAAGTCTTGTCTGCGCGTTTTCAGCTGAACCGTTTGGTAGATCAATTTCACATTTTCAGGGATGATTCTTAGTATGAAAATCTAGATCTGATTAGTTTTTTGGCGTTCTGCGTAAATGTCAAGGCAGCCATTTTGGATTTTCCGTCTTAAAATCTTGTCTGTAAAGTCTTGTCTGCGCATTTTCAGCTGAACTGTTTGGTCGATCAATTTCAAATTTTCAGGGATGATTCTTAGTATGAAAATCTAGATCTGATTAGTTTTTTGGCGTTCTGGATAAATGTCAAGGCAGCCATTTTGGATTTTCCGTCCTAAAATCTTGTCTATAATTTTTAGGTATGTTTTGTGGTATGAAATATAACACCTGATTGTTACATTTTTGGGAAGCTTGGTAGATTTTAAGGTTGCTGTCTTTAAAATCTTGTCTCTTCATTGGTGGGGACATGTTGTACACTTTTGTGTTCTTGTTTCAATATCTAAAAATAAATACAACATTTTTGATATTATTGTTACAGATTTCAGTGATTTGTTGTATGGTCTTAACATATAAATATAAAAAGTCTACATGCCATTATTATTTAGACTAGTTATTGTACATAATATGATAGATACATATATCCAATTTCAATGGTGAATCACCTATATAATGCCATTGGCAAATGGGTCCCTCGTGTATGACCTGTACTTGATTAGATAATGAAAATAAAATCTATTGATAAAAAAGTAGTGAATTATACATTCATTCATTCATTGGTGACAATATTTTATTTTTTTAGGAGCAACGTGCAAAAGAGGCCCAGGCAAGCCCTGCTCCAGCAGCTGCTCCCGCTCCTGTCGCTGCCCCTGTTGCTGCCCCTGCAACCACCCAACCAGATTTGTTTAATGCCCCCCAACAGAACAATACAGCCTCAAAAGCTAGTGATGACCTTTTGGGTATGTTTAGGATTTAATCAAAAATGTTTAGAATGTGAAATTCTTATATAATCTTAGTCTGGGCACATACTGATGAATTAGGTAGTTTAGAGAATACAACACCAAGAAAATGCATGCTGGTGGCTCCCAGAGGGTATACACATTTTTCACCAAGTGCTTTTTTCATCTCCAATCAAATTGCAGGATTCGATCACGTGAACAATCATGGGCACATGCTCTCTCAGTGCTGCGCATGCGCAGAGTTAAATTTGAAATCGTGGGAATGGCGTTTACATCAGTTCAACATCGTCATTTCAAACCTACGGTAATACTATTGAAGTTACTCGATCCATACTTGTAAAGAATACTCATAAAACTACAGTGAAAATTTGGAGATCCATTTCAACGGCAAATTGAGGCCTGTTTATAAAATTTGTTTTCGAACGTGCTAATATGATAGGGCATCTTTGGGGAATCTCCCCCCTGGCCAACACGGTAAAATACCAAATGGCGAAAAAAGCGAACGCATTCCGTTCGGTCTTTGCACGGTCGATTGCCGTTTATGTCACGCATTTGGTACAAAATATGTGTATGTATCACTCATTTGTTTCGAAAATATTCACATCTACTATATATATTTTGCAAGTGGATCCAAGAGACCAAGTGGGCAAGTCAATTATTTTGCAGGGGTGGCATGATACACAGATTTCAATTTTGTATATAGTGAATTCCCAGTGATTGATTTCAGTACAGTAAAATTGTCATAGTGAACACCTCTTTAGTGAAGATCTGTGCCCAGTGACATGCCTCTACTCTATTGAACACCTGTGTATATTATAGTGAACACCGATTCCGTCCCAGCCAGTGAGTTCAGTACAGTAAAAATATCCTAATGAACACCTCTTTAGTGAAGATCTGTGCCCAGTGAAAACATGCGTCTACTCTATTGAACACCTGTGTATAGTGAACACCAATTCCCAGTACAGTAAAACTGTCATAATGAACATCTCTTTAGTGAAATACTGTGCCCAGCGAACATATGAGTATACTCTATTGAACACCTGTGTGTAAACGAACACCAATTCCCAGCCAGTGATTTCAGTAACTTTTAGAGGGGATTGTACCTACAGTAAAATCTGTCTAATCCAAGGGACCAGCTCAGAGCGTTCGGATTAGGAGGTGTTCACATTTTGAGGTTTTGCATTTGCAAGATTTGGGTTTTTGAAGAAATAAAAACAAATTCTCAATAAATATTATAGTTCTTTTGACTACTTAGCTTTGGCATTAGAGTGACATGAAAATCTGATTCAAATGAATTTAGTCATCCTAGAAAGCCCCACCATGAGTGAGATCGTTCAAGTTTTTTTCAAATATTTGATCAATTTATGGAACATGTGATATTTTATGTGTTCAGATTAGATAGGTTAATTTTCAAACATGACTGTTCACTGTCAAAATTGGGAGATGTTCATATTTCAAGTTTTTTAAACATTTGAGTCAATGGGAGAAAAAACGGGACCAAAAAATGTTCAAATTGGGAGGTGTTCGGATTAGCCAAGTGTTCAGATATACAGGTTTTACTGTACTACAATTGTTTTCAATCTTTTGGAGGAAAGTGTACATCATTCCAGAGAAATGACAGATGCACTGTATATGCAGTGATCGCCTACTATTAAAAGTGCGTGATCAAAGACTCGACAAGATGCGCAAAATTCAAATATTTTGTAACGGTTACTTTTAAAAGATTTATTTGTGTTTATATTACAGGCTACTGGTGATTCAATTAGGTTTTGTAGGCACAAGAACACCCATATGCTTTGAGAAATATATATTAGTTTGACCATTTTTCGTATATGTTATTGATTTTACAATTTAAAGATATAAATGCGATACAATATGTGTTATTTTATTTAAAAAGCTTGAAAATATCAAAAACAATAGAACATTTTTACTCTCTTTAATTTTTTATACTTAGATAGGGTCTTGGACTTCCATTTGACCATGATGAAATTCACGTTTCCCCTTCAATAACATGGAATAAATATTTTAACACAGAAACAAATGGATCAGCCAATAGTATGAGTTTCAGCAAACCATACACCCATTTCTATATGCTTTTCAAGAGAAACAAATGGGGATCTCGCAAAATGTATGTCCAAACTGATTCAGTCAATTAAATGGTCACTGTGTGTGTGTTCATTTTGTTTTTCTGCCTAGATTTGAATACATTACCATTAAATGATATATACACTGAACCTCTAGAACCTGCTAAGTGAAACACCTCTTGAAGCGTAACACCTTACAAGTGGAACCGTTTTTTAAGTTCCATTTTAGTCCATTTATTTTACGCCTCTGATCCCAAGGTATGAGAACTATACACCTTGGCATCCAAGATGATTGTCGAATTGTAATGTAATTGTAATAAAATATAAAATCTGAATTGTACATTATCTATTTCATTGGGGAGTTAAATCATTCTTTTGCAGCAAGGTATCAATAAGTAATGTAATGACGTAATAACCTTCAGTAGATGCCAGTAGTCAGTTCCCAGTTTCACCAAGAGGTGGCTAACTTGGGTCATATATAAATGACAGGTATAAGGGAAAACTCCTCTAAGGTATTCAATATTCAGTAGATTTATTGATCAATTTTCAACTAAGGTCTATAAGTGATTAGCTTGAGAATTTTAGAATTGTATGTAATCGAATGCAAAATAAACGACCAGTTAGCGTTTTTAGAGAAACTCTACAAAATGTGAAATAAATACCATGCTATTATCTCCAATGACAGAGTTATGTGGATCGATGGGACCGAGTAAAAGTTCCAGTTTAGGCTTTGCTCAGAGGGGTATCATCTCAGATTAACTGGTGGACACTATTGGAGAATGAGAGTCTATTGTAATTTCAGAATCATTTATTGTTATTTCATTACTAATTGATATTCTCGTTCTATTGCAATTTCATTAGTAATTTTATTTGATTTTGTAGCAGTTGTTGAATCAGAGATTCTGGATGATTTCATTCGATTATTGTCAATCACTGAAATTGTCATGAATTCATCACTTTCTACAAGTATGTGTTTATTTATTGATTTCACTTCATTTGGTATTATTCCAGAGAAATTTCTTGTTATCATTCTAGATTTGCCTCTATTTTCAGTAATCTTTCTCATCTTCATCTCTTCTTCATGATGTTCTACAAGGTGGTTTATAATGATTTGAAATTTAGGAGTTCGTAATGAAGGACAGTAAAACCATGTAAACCCAACCACTCTGAAATGCAAAGAACATATCATTAGAATCCACATGGTAAAATCACCCACTTGGCTGATCATAAATTGTTTTCATAACATCCTTCTTACTCGATACTGAAGGGGAGTTGGAACGTCTGATATGCATGTAATGTTAAGTATTATGTATATTAACCATAAGCATGTTGGTTTTGTGGTTTTGGTAATCTAAAAACAGAAAATTTGGTGAAATATACATTTTCATTCGGCGGTTTTTTTTGATTTTGCTTCATTTATTAACTCAGTTCAGGTATTTCGGTTGAACCAATCACCGAATCCTGTTACCAAATGAATCTTGAGTCTCTTATACAGCATATGGAATACCATCTGTAGGTAAAATGTCATTAAGGTGGTAAAGAAAAGAGAAACAAACATACCTTTCCTCCGACATTTCGAATTTTCCGCATCTTGTCGAGTCTTTGATCACGCACTTTTAATAGTAGGCGATCACTGTACATACAGTGAGGTGACACACTGTTATGGGAACTGGTCATATCAGATGTTCCCACGCTTTTCGTCCAGAAGAGGTCATTTCCCAGGATTATAGATGAACCCTTGGCCAATCAATGATATAGTTTACATAAGAGAAGTATGACTGTATGAATTCTGGGATATTCCTGTTTTGTTGAGACAGGTGAGAATAAAATTAACCCTTTGCAAATTTGATCAATACTGACTCCAATCATCCAATACTTGGCTCAGTTAAAATAGTTGATTTATATTTGAATTCGATAATAACATTTAAAAATTAAATGTGTAGTAGTAATACTTTAGTACCTCTTATTAATTAATGTATAATATTACAACATACATAATGATGTAGGCAATTTGTTTCATAAAAATCTAAAAGTAAAATTCATAATTTAAATTTACCCTCTGGGAGCCCCAAAATTTTAGAAAATGCATTTTCTTGGTGATGTATTTTCTAAACTACCGATGAATTAACAGTTTGATGATGTTCAGCATGCTTGGTTTAGATAACATGAACTCCAAATGATGCAAGAGCTTAAAAATGTTTTGATTTATCTGATATATCTGTTATACATAATTGCATTTATTTTAAAGACTTAATTCAATTCAAATACGATGCAATTAAATCTGTATTTATTTGTCTCACACTCAGGCTTGAACGAGAATGCATTTGATGCAAAAATAGCCAACGTTCTTCAGCTTAACCAGCAAGTACAACAGTCCAATCAGCAGCAAGCAATGTTCGGCATGGGTCAGCCCGTTGCCAGTAACAACCCATTCGGGGCACCTGCCATGGGAGTAGGAGCAGGTATGTAGTGCCACCTATTGTTGAAATGTTGAAAACTGGTCAATGACTTTTGAAGATTAAATGATTACTGAGGTTTACCTGGATGAATTGCAGACCTGAAATGTAAAAAAAAATTATTTAAATTTTCCTGAAAAATTGAAAGCACAAAATGAACCAATGCAAAATTACATGAGAAAAACAAATGAAACTCAACTATGATATAAAACGATTCATCAAATCCAGCAAGCTGAAACAAAAACTGAAATTCATTGACCACTTTTCTGACATACTATATGCTTTATCTCTATATACACAATAAAATATGTACAGCCACCATCCTAAATGACTGTACATTTGTTGTTTATCAAACACATATGCCTTTACATTACAAGATTCCCTAGACAGGATGTGTCATTTGTATTTCAAAACTACTGGTCAGAATTGAATTAAGGACCAGGAAACATGTTGTATTCATACACTTGGTAAAATACAACTGGCCTGGCACTTAATGTCCCATGTCCCCTGGTTGGTGTTTCAATGACACATTCTATAGATCAAACTTGATGTAGAAACTGTTTTTATGCTTATACTGTATTAGACTATATATAGATAAGACCTGTAAAGTAAATGTTCCTGGATTAAGAAATGCTTGCTTTCATATTGCTTGAGATGCTTAATATAATGTAAATACCCAATACACTAAAACTTGTATCATGTGAACATTGCAATGTCTGACTTGAAATGCTCGTCCATGTATTTTAATATGTTCACATGCTCTACATATTTTGCTGTATATGTCTTATAAACTGCATAGGTGAAACACACTGAAATACTGTTTTCTTCCTGTTTGAGGACTATCTTATCTTGCTTCATGACTTGTAATAGGATTATTATATTTCAATTATTGTGTGGAGATTTCTGTCAAATACTGAACTCCAGCAGGTTTTTAAGGGGCCCCTCAATTCAATAATAAAATTGTGATTAAATTGGCTTGTTTCATTGTGATTCGAGAGTATCAATATTATTTTCAATTTGGCAACATTTATAAATTCCTTAATCCATAGTGGAGTAAAATGCTCTTTTCTCAGTTGAGAGCCTTCATTAAAGAATTTAGTTGATTATTTTGACGACAAATCAAGGCTCCAAGACATTCCCAGCTGAGTGTCTGCATTCACCAGAATCTTGTACAGCTGCATTGTAATCATGCTGATGGCTCCCATACCGTATTTTAGCCCACTAAAGAACACCATATATAGTATAATAGCACAGGTCACACATGGATCAGATATAAGAATATAAATATACATGTGTATCATTGTCACATGGTAATTCCATATAGAACTGATCCATTTTGACCTTTGACCTTAACTCCTGCTGACCTTGACCCTTTACCTTTAGGTCAGCCCCAAGTAGCAACCAGCTCCTCATCAGCTTTTGACGCAAATTTCGCTGCAGCTTTTGGATCCTCAGCACCAGCTACTGGTGCCCCCGGAGCAGGTACTGTATTCAATATAACATACATGCAGACACAGGTCACATATATAGAACATTTGTAAGGATGGCTTGGATTGGTGACAGAAGATATCCATTTCAGTTTGACTACTTTTTTACATGAAAAAATTAAGTGGAACGATTGGAATAAGTCTGCTGAAAATCTTAAATGTTTCCCTTGTACAGTTCTGCTAAGTTTGCTATGGACAACTTTTGCTCAATCCAATTCATTATCTTACAACTAAGCGGTCAATCAAGTTGTGAAATCTTGAGAAAATGTTTGTGTATAGATAAAGCTCCCAGTAAAGTTTGCTAAGAAACCCATAGTCATATACTAGAGGGGTCATGCTTTAGAGAACAATACACAAGTGGGAAAGTGAGGAAATACACAAGATTATCTTTGGATATTGTATGTATCATATAGAAAGTATACACTTGAGATAATGTCCCTCGAATATCATGTATCCATGGGAAAAATTATCTTTTCAGGATAATATTTCATTGGTATTTTGTTAGCATCAAAAGGTACTGTTCATGCACCATTCATAAGTTTTTGAAGGGAAAGCTTCGCAAAAAAGTATAATTCAGGTACACCTTATGGTGATATTTATAGTCAAGTCCCTCTCTCCTGGGTTATTCTTCTTAAAGCAAACTCTTAAATGTGTTATTTACAAAGAGCAAAGCACCCTATAGGCTAAAAGTACACCACTTATTCATTGAAGCATGATGGTGAATATTAGAATAGATTAAGAAATCCAGTGAGATATTTTCAGTCATTGTGTCTTGTCTGTATTCTGTTGTTTTGTGGTGATCTTAGTCATTTTTGCGTATTAAATGTCATTATGTTGTTTTGTCGCGATTTTAGTCAATTTTGCTATTTCATATTTTATTTTGTTTATACATGGCCAACGATGAAGTTTCAATGTAACATAGGATGAATGTATCTAACTAAGTTAGAGGGGGGAGTCCTACAAAGGGAGGGGGAAATTCTTTACGTAAAAGAGCAATATCAATTGTGTACACATTTTTGGCCCACCCTGTAGTTGACACAAAGCAAAAGTGAGGTTGATTATTGGTTACTAACAGTCGGCATGTATGCATGTATGTTATGTTAATACTCTCCTTTAATTAAGAGCCCAACTAAATTGCACGTTGTCTTGATATCCCAGTATATCATCTCATTAAACTACTAAATTGTAATACTGCATTAGTCCAATGCCAACTGAAATCTGTGCAGCATCATTTATTTAGAGCTTTTGTTTATTAAATGCACATTTTCTTTGTTGATTAAGTAAAGTTGTTTGATTTACTTGCAATGATGCACCTTCATGATTAATACACTGTATTAGAAACCTGATTTTAAACTGACTGATTCAACAATTGATTTATCTCATTTGGTTTCTCACAGCAATAATGATTTTAAAACTGAGAAACCAAAGAGATAATGATTGCAAAATCAATTGTTTTCCTGAGACTCATACTACATGTAATTACAGCAACAATTTGGTTAACTATGGTAACATAAAATAATATTGAATATAGCTGTGGCAATGATCTGTGTAACAATGGTAACATCATGTGTTGTAATGGCAACAGCGTACATTGTTACAATAATAGTACATTACCATGGTGAACATTAGATTGCATTGGTTACATTGCCCATCACTATGATAACAGTTATGCATGTTGTGTGCTTGTCATTCTCCTTCGTTGCTATAGGTGGCTTAGCTGGAATGGCACCAATGCAGCCAGCTGCTACGCCTCAGACAGGTAGGGACATCTATAATTAACCCACAAAACTAAATATTAATTTCATAAGCGATTTTCAACTCTACCAAATGTTTTTGAGATGGTCATGTTGTGCAATTAAATATAAATGTGTGAAGCTCTCCATATAAGGCTTGCTCTTGTTTTGCTCCGCTTTGTTGTTCTGATAAACAACATCGCCATCTCTAAACCTGCATGTAATTTTTGCAAGGGGGCTGTGAATCTTTATAATTTCTTTGGTCAAATGCTTATGCTTTCATATTGCTAGTAACAATTACTGCGATTTAGATTTCCATTTTGCTATAAAATGCTCAGAATAATGGAATTTACATAAATGTAGTTGAAAACATGAATGCATGAGCATTTTCTAAACATCTCTATGGTGAAGGATAAACAGTTCATTTGTCAGGGCTTTTACAAAACTTATCTGATAGCGTTAGTTGATGTAATTACAAAGGATAATGTCCCCCATACATTTTCTAGCCTTCTAATGCAATTATAACCAGGGGTCTACAATTATCACCAAATTATCACCAAATTTTGTATTTCAGAATTTCAGTATTTATGAAGCTGCACTTTAATTCTTGCTTTTTCTTTTTAGACTTATTCTGATTTGATATAATCCTAGTCATGTATTCCAGAACTGTTCTTGTTTTACTGTGTACCATATATGGACAATTGCTATACACAGTTTAAATTAGAGCATCTGAATATATGTTATATTAAATAAAAAATGTAAAAATATATCCAGGTTTTCAGCCCTATGCAGTGCTTTTTTTTGATATGTTTGAAATAATGGACTGTATAAGGTGGTATCAATATGTTTACTTGTAGGTGAAATTAGAAGTAATTGTTTTTATCTTTTTTCCATGCTTTCCTGCGACCTCTCTTTTAGAAGGTGACAAAGGTGATGTAAAAGGTACCACCCCTAGTCCAACTCCTGGTGCAAAAAGTAACGAGCCATCGTGTATGTTATGTTATTCCGTTCCACATATCTTTACTTATGTATGATATTATATTGCTAAGATATGTATTATTTTCGTTTTAATTTTTGGCTATTAATTTTAACAAATATGCAAAAGCAAGTTTTGAACTTGGAGTAAAAAGGTAATTTATAATGCGTATGTAATCACGGTACAGTTACAACCTTTTCTATAACTTAGAAAGTGGAAATGTTTAAGTATTTTACGCTTTTATTCATGCTACAGTGTTCGATACAGAAGATATGACATTGACGGCTACCATGGCAACTGGTCAACCAGGTAACAAGCCACCCATGCATGGATCCAAAAATCACATCATAATTTACATATTTAAGTGGATAGAAAACACATTTCTTAACTCGTCAATGGAGAACCATTTGTTCCCATTTCATGTTACTTTCTCCAACACACGAATGCATGCATCACAGCATATTCATAATGTCATTTGTATCACAGTAGCACAATTTGAAAATGTGTTATTAGTTTTATTAAGTTCCAATTTTAATTTTAATGAATTTCACATTCAGTTTTGTTGAATCCATTGAATGTACAGGGTGGTCCAAAAAAAATTGGAACATTTGTTAATTGAACACAAAATCTTTATTTTTTCTCTAAAATGCACCAAAACTTTACTGAGAAGAGGCCAGCCACTTTTCTATCTGATGTAAAGTTTATAGTTGCATACAACAAAGTTAATGCATTAAACTAGTCAATGTTTGATATGACCCCTCTTCTCCTGAATTACAAGTTGAAGCTGGGGCTCAGATTTGTAAATATTCAATAAGTTTGCTGATCGTTTGTTTTGTCAAAGCAATCTTGACTAAAAATTCAGTTTGATCAACCTTCCTATTTGTTTGCCTTGGAAGATCAAATCTAGTAAAATATTCAACATTTTTTACCCAAATTGATGGGTATCAAGCATATTCTGATGGCGTTGGATATATTACTGATTGAATATTCTCCAGAAAGAGTTCGGGGCAGTCTGATTTGACTGGTAAATGAAGCCGGCCCTCCCCTTTATTGTTCTGATATGAATAATATTCATTGGATATATCAATATGCATGTCAGTATCATAGAAGAGTCTCCAATAACACAGATGATAATTATATGTGCTTAGCGTAGGTTTTTAATAAAACTTTGTGAATAACTGGTCAGTTTTGCCTTTACTGAAAAGTGGGAACAATCCTCTTGTCAACTGGATATTATTTTATAATATGTTTATAGCAATCAACATGTTCATTAAAGCTTTGAAATAAAGAATACTTGAAAAAGTAACGGCGAAATTAACACATGTATATTTAAGAAAAGGGGCTCCTATCCAACATTGAATGGTTTAATGCATTAACATTGTGGTTTTCACCTATAAACTTTACATCAGATAAATAAGTGACTGAACTATGATCAGTGAAAGTTTGGTGCATTTTAGAAGAAAAATAAAGGTTTTGCGTTCAATTAACAAATGTTCCAATTTTTTTTGGACCACCCTGTAGATACAACTTAGATAACGATCTTTACGATCAGAAGAAAAAAAAACAGAGAAGAAAACATTGCCAAGACAAAATACACATGTCAAAATTTCCCAAAATCAAAACAAAAATAATTGACGTCATCCATTGCATCACTCAGTCCTTTGTTTGTTTGTTAAGTTAACAACATTAATGAAACTATTACAAATAAGGGAATGATTAAGTGTGTGTGTTTTTGCGTTATATTTTGTTACAATGCGTTGTCATTTTTTTGTCGTGTTAGTCGATGTTTAGTCATGTTGATATACTATAATGGTGTACCAATATAAACCAAGGATATTTTGATGAATGATAATTTTGTTCGCAAGCTGCTGTGGAAATGAGCTTCGATCCCCCAGCTGTGCCACCAGGTAACTATCTATAACTGCTATTTTCAATATTTGTTATCTGAGAACAATTGATTAGATGCTAGAGAGTTTTTGTTGTATTCTCCAATAAACAGAAAATGTGTGGTAATTAAAGGCAGAATCAGATCTATGGGGGCGACAAAATTACAAGCAACATGTACATTTGACCTACCAATCTATTCCTTACAATCTCAAATACAAAATCTCCAAAAAGATCTTCGATATATTATAAATAGGTGAAGTTATGATGGATTAAAAGTACAAAAATGGGTGAAAAATGTTTAAATTCTCCCAAATAATAAGAATGGTAACCATTCTTATAGAAAAATAATACATTATTGTAAAAATCTTTAGTTTTCCTGAAATAAAGTGTGTACTATTGGGATTTTTGGAAAATAGACATGAAAAGGAATGACACAAGCCAGAAATATTCTAAAATTGAAACAATTTTTTGTTTGGCTGCTTGCTATATCTGATTCTCTCTTTAATCAAGTTCATTCTGAAATTTGAGAATCATAGAAATCATGAAGAAGGGTTATGGTTATTCTCTGAAGTAAAAGGCATATATTTTATTTTACTTTCTTAAAGGAAACATTTGTACATAGAACTATCCATAGTCTGATTCTCAGTTTCTCACCCTGTGACGTAATCTTGTAATAATACAAGATATATATCAGTACAATATATTATATATAATACAACATATGTATATCATTCATTTCAGCCCAAAATGACCCATTTGCCCCAAGTGGAGATCTACCAACATCTGCAACAGATCAAGAAGTTACAGCAGGTAAGAGTCTCAAGATAATTATTAACATTGAGTGATTCTGAATACAAATTACCAACGGCTAAGTTTGGTTGAAAAATCAAATTGGAAGATTAGATTGTGATTAGTTTCAGTGCAAATAAGAAAGTACATAGATCAGTAGTTTGTGGTTTTCCAAGTTTTCCCATTGATAAAATGTCATTTAGGTCATGTTTAGTAAATAGGGTAGAAATTGTAGAGTACACAATTCAGACTAGAGTACATTATTATGATAATGTAGTACTGTATAGATTAATACCTCATATTGTATTGAAAATATAGAAAACCAGATCTTCATTCTTCAAATTATGAAAGAATGAAACAAACGTAGCCAAAATGACATTTTAAGCAAGTTTAGGGCATGATGTTGTTTTAAATATCTATTTTGGTTTATTACAATGTAGATTCACGTTGTTCTGTATTTCTACACATAGCAATTGGTTTTGTAGCACACCTACCAGAGCACCTTTCATTGTTTAAATTATATTATTCTAAGGGGTCTGTCGTTGGGGCATTGATTCCCTGCTCATTTCAACTACTCAACAGCCACTAAATTGGATACATGTAATCAAAAATGCATAAACCATAATATAATTTTTTTAAATTCAAGTCAGTAACCTCAAGTCAATACTCCATTGAAAAATTCAGTCTCTGATGTAGTTGCCAAGATTTGAATTTGAACATTATAAACAATGGGTAGATGCCTGGTTTAGGTGTGCAGTATTTGAGCCACAATTAGTTAAACATTTTGTTTTTCCCACGCATGTTGACAGCATTTGAGAATGACTTTGTGCCTACTACTACTAGTAAACCAACTCCCACACAACCCAAAACCACCACTCCAACATCTAAAGAAACTGTTCCCCCAGCAAAGGAAACTACCACAAGCACCACTACAGTGCAACATAATACGCCAAGTGAACCTGCTCAAAATGAAACTGATGTCCAATGTGAGGCTCCTATACCCATTTCCGTTACGATTCTGGCACCTTCACCTGTTCCGCCTGAGGCCACATCTGAGGAACAAACTCAAGATTCTATAATTGATACATCAAGTGATGTCACAGTAAAATCTATGCAAGGTTTGTGATGGTGTCAACATCATTAGGTTTCCTTCTTTGCACAATCACTGATCGAGACCAAAAAACTATATTAGGGCCTATTTCATGTCATATACATGTATATTATAAAAAGTTTCGAGAAGTGATATGAAATGGTGCCCTTGGTACAGATACACATTTCCATTATTTTTTATCATACAACAATATAGACTCCTTAGTTAGCTATTTGCAATTTTATTGACTTTTTTTATTGGTATTGCTGTCAAATTTCCCCATATCTTCAATGTTAGCGAATGTAATCAAATGTTGTTCTTATTAAATATATTAACTTCATAATAATATTTGATATTTGGCTCTGTATTTCTAATATAATTTTTGCAGAACTCTGGTTAAATAAGATTCAGGTGTTGCAAAAATCTTGAAAGTTAATGCAAAGACTCATCTTTGTAATTCCAAGATTTCATTCAACTAAAATATAATAATTTCAGTTAAAACATTATTCTCTCAAATGATTGTTTTTGAACTATTTTGCTTGTTCTGATTTTCAGCAACTGAAGAGACATTGACAAACGCTCCAGTGATAAGCCCAACCCCTGCAGTTTTACAGCCATCTCCATCACCAAGCCCAACACCATCACCTACCAAACAGCTGACTCCCTCAGTTGCTGCACAACCAGTGACACCACAACATAAACCAGCCAGTGCAGTAGATGACCTACTGGGTAGGTACTTACCTATGATGAGCTGAGAAGCAACACTTTAAAATGATAACATACATATAATTTAAAATGAAAACACACAAATCTTTTGTTCATTTTTTGTTATTGATATAGAACAGTGCCTTTTTATAGGAGATGATTATAATGTTAACAATGAATGTGATCTCATGAAGATTTGCACGAAAAGCAGGATGCATGAAGCATGGATCATCATTATCTTGTTGATGCACTCAATATAACAACCTACCATGTTAATTGTAGGAATGGATCTTAGTGGGACTGCTACAACAGATACAACAGAACCACCACAAACACAAAGTGAAGGTTAGTTTATTTATATATTGAGTAATCATGGAAAGGATTTTATGCACTTGTATCATCATTTGTAAAATAAAGCTGTTCCGCCACATACAAAGATTAGTCTAATAAATCTGAAACCATATTCTATACATATTCACATCTTCATCTTATTCTGTTCTGCAGCTATAGACATCCCAAAGGTGCAGCCTGATTCTCAAACAAGTCTGATGGGATCAAGTCCAGGTACATACAAAATTTATTTTAGATTGTTTTTTGTTGATTTATTAAGCAAGTTTTTACGAAACTAGAGATGATTTCCAATCAGATTGTATCAATTGTGGTAATTCAAACCAATCAATCAAAATTATACACTGTACCTCATACTGTAATAACCAGTTGTATAATTAAGATGTACAAGTAAACGAGATATGGTTCATGCTGTCTCCTGTATGTTTTTCCTTTCCATGCATTATTCAAATACACTTCTCTCATGTTCCACTAAAAACAATATTCTCATTTTTTAATTCTCAGAGATGATGGGCTTCCAAGGCATGCAGCAGCAGCAACAAGGACAGTTTGGTGTGATGGGATCAAGTCCAGGAGGAACCATGATGATGGGGCAGGTGCCCATGATGCAACAGCAAATGATGCCTGGGATGGGCATGATGGGTACCTCCCCTGGGAGTATGATGATGATGGGTAAGGAACTGTGTTTAATGAATATGTAAACCCAAATGCATAAGGGTAAAAACCAAAAATTAATAAAAACAAGATAGAAAATGAGTTTTTAAGAGTACAACTATTCATAACGAAACAAACACCTAGTCCCAGTATCCGAAACAATAATCTAACATGCAGAGAAAGTGTCTAACATACCCTCTTCACTATTCAGGAACAATAATCATAATCCAAATTGAATTAAAAGAATAAAATGTTAAATAGCAATGTGTTTTATTTTATATTGTTGTCAGTCCATTTAGTTTCTAAGTGTATTGTTATATTAAGAACATAAATGAACAGACCATATAAAAACAAATCAGCTTATCAAGCAAAAAGGAAACAGAAATACATTATTTAAGTTAAAAACTGCATTATACATGTTTCGCAAATGTAGTTCCAAAATAACAAAGGGGAAATAATTGGCTGAAAGTATTGATTAATAAAGAGGGTTCACATGTTGAGACAGCATTGATCTAATAATTATTAACTAGATCTTCCTCTTGACATGCGTGATATGAATGACGCTTTGTGTGTATTAGTTTGACGTAATACATAATAAGTCAAGTCAATTGTTATTAGTTAGTGTCTAAGGGATCATCAGTCACAGAACAACTAGAGCCTGAACATTCAGAACAAAAGTTGGAGAGTAAAAGTGAAAACGAAATAAACAAGCATGGCATTTGAACTGAATATATTCCTATTCATCATAGGATGTATTTTCTGTGTGACAATTATTTTTTCAAATGCAATAATTATAGCAACTATATTAAAATGGAGATCTCTCTGGACACCAACAAATATGATAATACTGAACATTGCTATTGCCGATCTATTTCAAGGAGCTGTTTCCTCTCCTTTACGAGAAGGATTGAATTTGGAAAGTGCAATTACAAATGGGACTGTAATTGATAAATATACTTGCTTGTTTCGTTGTGTAGCAACAGGCTTTTCAAGCCTGGTTGTATTAGGCTCCTATGTGGTTCTAAGTTTTGATAGATTCATTGCGATTGTCTATCCATTTAAGTTTGACACATGGCTGCATAGGAAACTCATTATAGCCTTCTGCCTTGTAAGCTGGCTTATTCCTCTGTCGATGCTCTCACCAGTATTTTTTGGATGGAATATCTGGCAGGCTAACAGACCATGTAAAGATGGTTATGTTTATCCAGACATATTGAATAAAGTTGGAAACTTTTACATGGCTGCAACATTAGGATTTTCCATTTTGTTGCACTGCAAGATACTATGGATTGCTAAACAGTCGAGACAGAAAATTGTATCCCAACTCTCGGTTATAGATCACGCTTGTGCTGTGAACTACAAACGTTCATACTTGATACTTAAAACAACAATGTCTATGATTGGATTTTTCATCTTATGCTGGATTCCTTTTGCTGTAGTGAGAATAATTCTGCCTTATAAAGACATAGAAAACAAAGACATTTGGCTGAATGTAACTTTTAAGATTGTACTTGTCAAGTCATTCATTACCCCATTCCTTGTCTCAAAACAATTGAAAAATGGGATGATTGAACTTTTCAGCTCTCTAAAGTTAACCAGGGATGAAAATGGTGACTAATAATAAGTGCATTGTGAAAAGCATGACACTGTAAACTACAAAAATACAACATCTTGTATTTACAGACCCATTTGTTATATATTTCCCATTCAAGAAAAAATACATAGACATAGAAAATGTATTTGAAGAATTACTTTCCAACAATTTTTTTTCAACTATTTTGAATAAGCACTGTTGCATTTTTCATAATGTACAATAAAATTAATTCACTATAAACATGAGTGTTGATGTCTATTTATGATGTCATAATAATATTGGAATAAATAATATTGCATGTACATATGTATTCATATTTTCATTGTGAAGTTTGTGTGAAATGACCAAGTATAGTATGGCAAGTGATTTTAGACAGTCATATTTCACCATGAGTACTTTCTGGCCATAAATACAGTGGTTCTTTATCATACCTATGAAAAGGTATGATATTGTTGTCATATTGACGGGCTGTGGGCGGTGTCTTACTTTCTTACTCATCATGATTCCTGGAAATACTTGATGGATTTACTTTAAATTTTCACACATGTTACATGGCAAGTTCTAGAGCTGATTAACTTTTCGGTGGCCATCTTGCATTCTGGTGGCCATCGTGGCAGTTTTTATTAGATAAATCTTGTCATCGCGATTCCTGGAAAACCACTCAACAGATTTGTTTCAAATTTTTACATATGTTACATGGTAAGAAGTTCTAGAGCTGATTATTAACTTTTTGGTGGCCATCTTGCTTTCTGGGTCATCAACCCCACACTGCTATGTTTTAGGTATGATACTATTCACCCTGTGCCTTGTTTAAACAGTATGATTTATTTCAATTGAAGTACCCGTATAATAAAAGTGGCAATCCAACTCCTTTAAAAATTATGGATTAGGACCCCACCTTGTCACTTTTTTAAAAGTGATAGGCTCATTTTCTAAAGAGAGGATCTTTTTTTCTCAATTTAAATATATTAAAAGTTTCTTCTTTACTATATTAACAACTTCAGAAAATGGGATGGGTATTGAAATGTGACAAAGTTAAAAAACACATATCCCATGTTAACATCCCATTGGTAAAATTCATGTTATCCAAAAAACCAGACTTTCAATACCATTCTACTTTCAAAGAAGTTTTAGACCTATTGTTGAATAATCTTTTCATGCAATAAAAATCAGAAGAAATCAGAAGATCCTCTTTTGAGTAAATAGGTTCGACATTTTAAAAAACATGTTGACATGGGGCCCCTATTCATAATTTTTTCGAATTGGTCAATTGATATTCTTATTATCCTTGAGAATTTACTTTAAAGATAACATATTGTGTTCATGAGAAATGTCATATTTAAATTGAGCAAGTGCTCATGGTAAAATATATGACCATCTAAAATCACTTGTCACGATTCATACTTTTTGGTATTCTTTTATATATATCTCAAAACACTACACTAGCTCAGATATCTTGCCATATAATTGGATTGTGAAAAGTACCTTTAATATTACCCTTTGGCACTTATATGCCTTTATAATTAGTGTAAATATCACCTTTCTTTATTATTCATTATGGAAATAAAAGATTTCATTATTATTGTATGGTATAGTTGCATCATTTCATTTAATTAGTTGATGTGTGATATCATATTATATATTGAATATATATTCTAATTGATTGTATTGTCTGTTAACAATAGAATATTGAATTAGAGTATGTAAGGGGGAAAATCATAAAGAAATACCATAAGAAAATAAAACACAGAAAAGCAGAACTGATTAAACTAAACAAACCCCTATGACCAGACACACAAAATAATATCAATGATCCCCCTATTACCACATTCTGCTAACCATTATCACTAAGATCCAGAAAGACAATGCTCTAATCTTTATACACAAAACAGTACTATATTAGGGAAATGTTCATTTTAAATCTTCCTTGAATTTGTTGCTCTAGAAGTTAATTCAAAGAATGCACTTGAAGCAAGGATACACTGCATTTCTTTTAAAATGATTATTTTTTATTTCCCTTCGAAAACATTCCAGTGGCTGTTAGTACTTTAGCAGGGAGATTTTCTCGGCATTGTTGTCAGTCAATTAATCATGGGGTATCTATGGGGGATTTTCCACTGTGAGAAAGAAAGCTATTACTTAGCAGACAGTACCACAATTTTATTTTTCATATACCAACAGAATAATCTCTGTACAATGGCTATTTCATTTGCATGTAGCCTTCACTTCTATTTTACATCCAATTATGTTAAAGCTATTGAAAATGGTGCCAGTGTATAATCTAAAATCAATGCATCACTAACCTACAGTTGACACCTATAAGAGATGAAGCCCACAAATCCATATCTGTAATATATCATGTGTATTGTATAAAAATTGATTGTATAAATTAACACACTTTTTTACAATCAATTTGATTCAGATACAGGTATGTGAGGCTAAACATATGAAAGAAATATAGATTTTAACTAAAACTAAAAAACAAATTGAACCAACATAATCAAACACATCAGCTTTATATGTGTTTATTTTCAGGTGGATATGGGAATATGATGCAACAAGGGATGCAGCAGCAAGGTCAGCCATCAAAAAGAGATTCTAAAACATGTTTATTGTTGGAAACTATGAATCTGACCCAATATATATCTGATATGCTATATAGCATATTTAGTCTATGATTTAATAAAGTATCAAAAACAGTATTTTACGCTTAGTGTGTACACTGACTTTGTCTTGTGTTTTCATAATAAATGTAAAATTTATAATTCTTGGGAGTCTTGTTTAAGTGTAATAAAAGAGCCTTATGTGGATTCACAACACAAAATATGTACTTATTGTACATACAAATACAATCTTTAGTAAGTAATTTTTTACTAAAATAATGATTGTTAATGTTAAATGTTTTGATGTCTTAATGCAGCAGTTAATCCTGCGGATCAGCCAAAGAGGGTTTTAACTAGAGGAGGTAGGGAAAAAAGATACAAATACAAATATTACAAGTTGTTTTTATATTAAGAACAAAGATATGGTCCAATGATTTCACTTTTTTTTATTAATTGTTTTAATTTTTTTAAAATAGCATCTCCGTAATGTGTACCGTATACAGTACATACATATATTTTATGTACAGACATTTTTTTCATATTTCAGAGAAACCAAAGCCAAGAAATGCGCTAGATGCCCTGGATATAGGAATGTGTAAGAGTCATACTGTATATTTACTTTGATTATAAAACATACCAGACTACCATACTAGCGTGAATCTAAGGTTGAAACATAACCAAAAATACACCTTTGAATTCATATTTTGAATACTAGAATTATGATTTATTAGAAAAAAACTCTTCATTGTGTAGTTAAACAAAATTGTACATTTGGATATTTAGGTTCTGCCTTCATAACAGGAAGTCCTAAGAAGGGCGGATCTACCACAGGAAGCCCTGCCCATTCAGGCGCTTCAGACACAAGCAAGTCTAGGCAGATTATTGTTGTCTTATAAACACATGCATCAAAACTGGGAATTTCGCCATTGAGTTTACTGAAAAACTAATTCAGAGCAAGAAATATTCATTTTCAACTGTATTCTTGATTATATTATCGGGAGGTAAAATTGACAATTAGTACAAAACTTTATCAAGGTATTTACATACAGTTGGTTTATTTAGAGCATATATACATATGGCTTGAAATCCCCAGTTTTTTATTAGGATCCTATGATGCCCATAGTATCATGATTGATTATGACAATTAAAGTTGTTAATGTTGTCAAGATCTTAGATGTACAGCCTGCAATATGATCTAAGTCTTTTGTTTAAGACGTGTGCTATGATATTATTAGTGTTAACATACACTGAATTTTTAACACCTTTGTTGTGACAAATAGCATGAGCCCTTGCACAAAGCATAACTATAATTAATGACCCTATTGTAACCAGAAAACATAGGGAAATGAAAGAAAATAGCAATTGAAACAGTATCAGCCCAGCCAAGTCACACATACTAGTCTGATATGTGAAGGAGTTCTTAAGAATATAACCCCTAATCCAAAATATGACTGTCAAATGTTATTTCCAATATTTGAAAATGAATATAGTTTAGCTTTATGCTTTATGGTACACTAGCACTAGCAGCCAAAAAGTTATGGCTGTATTACTGAGTTCCACAAGTGAATTATACCCTTTCTAGTTTTTTTTTTACCCAATAATGAGAAAATGGTAGAATTCACAAGTATTCATGTCATGTGTTTCATTTCTAACTTGAGTAAAGTTATTTATATTTCATCTTTCCACGCTTTTTTATTTGTTTATATTTATACTGTTCTTTCGTATTTTAACAATCTTTTTTAGCTTTGTTTAAATATCCTGCTTTATTACTTGTCATATAATTAGGACCATCTATTAATGTGTTTGATAAACTCTTTGACTTGCATCTTATATACTGCTGATGTACTATACTTGTGCTTTTGTACAAGATATGGAATAGTTTCGTGAACATGCTTCTGTTTTTCATGTTCATCAGTTTTGTGAACATGATAGATAATTGATTTTAGTGTTCATTTCTTTAGCAAGTTATCTAATATTCATTGTCTGCTAAACTTTGTCATCTAGCTAAGAAAATGCATAAATATTTTCTTTTTTATTTACTATTGTTGAAAAGTAAAAAGTCTTCCTTTTTGCCTACTATAGGCAGAAACACACTATTTACTAGAGAATATGCTCGTATTATCAGATTGGAGGATGGTGAATCCGCAAATGAAGTTAATGATAAAGAATTTCACTCAAATTCTTCTGAATAAATATGTACCATAAACATATGCAAAGTGGACACCTTTGAATCCAAAACAAAAAGATAAGTGTTCACTTCTCCATTTTGATACAGAAGTCAGAAGAATATGTAATACAAATGTTTTACTGTATTATCAATTAAATTTGAAATGCATCTTCTCTGGATTCACTCATTCAGTCTGTAGTTAACATGTAATAAAGATTAGAAAGTATTTATTATATGTAGAGGTATGTTTGTACCTGTGATCGCCACTTATTAATAATTTTTTTTATATATATATATACATATTAGTGCCATATATAATTTGTATAGATAGATGGTTTAAAATACAGCAATTTATTGATATGTCTTTTGCGTAATGTTGAACATCTAGACATATCTACCTTTCTCAAATAAAATGTCAATAAGAGTGTAATGTTTAAAGGAAGTCAACATTCATTGCTATGGCAATAAATGATGAGTACCTGTAAAGCACAGTGTCTTTGTTGATTGATGTTGTCATGACGACAACTTAAGTGTTGCATAGTCATCATAATAATACACTACAGTATAGATACGCTTATTTAATTATTTCTCATATTTTTTATTTTTAGGATGTTTGACTTGTTTTGTTATTCAGTACCAAAGGGCATAAACTGTTATGTGAATATGACTGAGGGCATAAACTATAATGTGAATATGACTGAGGGTATAAACTATAATGTGAATATGGCTGAGGGCATAAACTATAATATGAATATGGCTGAGGGCATAAACTTTTGTGTGAATATGACTGACTCAATGTTATGGTGGTCAGTAGTCTCATCCATTTCATGAATAAAATGTGACAACATAATTCAAATTCTGAACTGTAAAAGCATGTTTTATTATGCATTTCATACAATTCTTTACAATTTTAAAAATTCATTAGTGTCTCAGTGTACCATCTGGAAAAAACATGTTTTGCAGTATTAATGTTGATTGATTTCAGTGAAATTGGAAGGACGTTGCTTGCTTAACTTTTAAATCAGCTTAAATCACTTTTGCCCTATTAGATAGGATTGATGATGCTGATCACCATAGATAATGGATATATTAATATTCTTCAAAATGTCAAGTCTGAAATCGGCCTAATAGTCTTTGGTATTGACTAATTCTTATATTTTATTTTTAGGAAATATATTGGTTCTGAAATTTCTCCCATAAGACCCTTTCATACACTTTGTATATATTGGATCCCAAACATACAGTCTAAAAAGAATAATTGAAGTTATGAATCTTGTAATTACATCAACAATGTTTCAGAGCATATTGTTTTATTCTTATGTGTTATTCTCATTTTACCCGTTTTAATATATCAGTTTCTTAGTTGGTTAGTTGGTTATTTTTATTATAATATTTTAAAGATGTAGACTCATCTTAAATTGTTTTTTGTATGTTTTACACTTTTATGGTTGTAGAAATGCTTCAATCTGAGGGGGAAATTTTTCTTTAACCCATGTTGTTTTTGAACATGAATTCAGTAATTCACAATGTTGACAAGAACGTGCAATCAAATTGATGAATCTAAATCCTGGATGTATTTCAGGAATGGTCATATAGGTCTACATCTTTAACTTTAACTTCTGGTGTTTTTTTGTTATATTATTTTTATTTGTTATTTTTATTTTATTTACATTTTATCCTGTGGGTGTGCGCATTCAGTGCATTTTGTTTGAAATATTGACACTAATAAATAAAAGAAATAAAACATTTTATAGTCAGTTGGATACACAGACACAAGAAATACTTCCATGCATTTACATGTACACACGTTTACATGAACTTGGATCAATTTTTCCATTTGACCATATTTTCTTGGGTTGTGTACCAAACTGAGTCATGTAACAATAAACTTTACCAATGGTGTGCTTCTTGCCTATAGGGTGAAAAACTCTAGTTCAAACTTTGAGCATAGATATTCACAATTAAATATGAATTTGATGCAAGGGTTTATTTGTCATTGATACAGTTGAAAGTCATTATTTGGTGAAATACATTTTGATCATCTAAAGAATGAACCCTTTTTATGAAATATATGTATGTTAAAAGAATCTTATTTAAGGAAAATCATTCAGGGGATTTTAATGTATGGATTTAATTGTAGGTTTTGATGGGTTTGGTGATGTACTTCAGCCCTCAAATAAAGTGGCGGAAAAACCTAAAGACCAGAAACTTCTCACTGGAGATGTTGACTCAAGTCTGTCATCATTAGTAGGAAACCTTAATGTGAATGGGTCGGGATATCAAGTGAAAAAGTAAGTTATTTGCTTAGGATAGAAACTATAGTCTCATTAGAAAGTTCAAGAGAGTGGTATACAGTGAAATCTGTAAAGTGGAACACCTCTAGAAGTTGAACACCTCTGTTACACTTTCAAATGAACCTTTATACAAAGTAGAACACTTCCCAAGAAGAACACTTTAGAAGTACCAAAGATGTTTCACTGAGACAGGTTTTACTGTACATGGTTTCTACCTTATAAAATTTTATATTATGATAATATGGCTACTTTATTTGGAATCAACCGAGCTGACAACATGAATTATGATATACATTAACAAGGTTTCAAACATTTACAACTTTTCATAAGTTAACAAGTTTTGAAATGTTTTAACTTGCTGGTATGCTTTATAAAAGATCAGTTGTAAGTAGCCTGTGTGTATCATATCTGAAGAAGTCTGAAACCTGGCATTTGAATTTGGCAGATTTTTTTTTTAAGGTTAGGTTTTATTTATTTGCAATAAGATTTTAAACTTGTTAAAATTGGCAGAATTGTGGTGTCAGCCCGAATGAAGCCTAACACATGTCAATAAGAGGACTATAGGATTTAAGCAGGAATCATGAGCTTATCCTTAAAAAATGTTACACCATTATTTTGTGTGTTTATGCATTTCATTGAAAGTGTATTAAAATGAGGAGAAACCATGAACATTGAGTAAAAATCACTCTTAAATTCTCTATCTTATGCATGTGAATTTTTGAGTAAATGGTATATATATATTCATCACTTTTGACATTCTATTGTGACATCATTGCTGGTTAGTATTAGATACAATGATGGTGAATCAACAATTTTGAACTTTCACCATTGTTGACCCACTGCCTTTACTATCTAGGGAAAAGACTTAAATGGGCGCTGATAAATTAGAATGATTTAAACCACTTTCTCATCAACTTTTGGTTTCAAAATTCTCTACTTATTAACATTAACATTATATTATATACATCACTAAAGCTTTCACCACTGATGGTATGCTGACATAAAAGACATCAATGTAACATTTTGCGATTTTGAAAGTTAGTACACAGCCATCATTGTATCTTAATACTGACCAGTGATCGTAGATTTGTGTTTAAACCAGCATGTTTTTATCAATGTTGTTCAGAGTGGATTGGAGCGTAACATCTCAAGGAGGGCCTGCTAGGTACTCTTTAGCTCATATCCCAACCATAGCCTTCACCCCCTCCTCTCAGTGCTAAGGCTCTACAATAGGCATAACCTCAGCTTTACAAAGTGTAAAAAGCTTTATATTAGTGTTAAAGCACCTATGTGATAAGAATGCTTTTGTATATTCATGTCCACCAGTATTGAAAAGTACAATTTTGAATATGGAATTATTATAAACCATATTTACAGACCATTATTATAAACCATATATTATAGAATTTATCGCTTTTCCTCAATTTTGATCAATATTCTTATGATTGTATCGAGCCAGTTTTTATGTCCCCACCACATAGTGTTGGGCCATATTGTCGGCCTAGGCGCGTCCGTCCGTCTGTCTGTCTGTCTGTCCGTCCGTCCGCCGTACGTCCGGCAGTTTTATCCAAAACCGCTACAGATATCACCTTCAAATTTTCATGGATAACTTATGAGTGCATACAGATATGGATGAAAAAATTTCAACTCGATACCTACTTCCTGTCGGCCATTTTGAAGTCAAATGCTAAAATCCTTGTCTACAAAATTTAAGAAAAAAGGCTTCACAGTTGCTTTTAAAACTTTAACATCTTGTTCAGCTCACTTCATTCTAGATCTGATTAGGTTTTGGACCTGTTAGCTCAGTCATGGCAGACATTTTTAATGTCTTAGGAAAAGTTAGCGTGCGATAATACTTTGTATCATATTGAATGGTGTTTTTGAGTTTTCATACTTTAACTATTTAGTAGCTTTATAAATAATTTCAGGTGTACTTTGTTGTAAAAGCCTTTGTTATTGTTAATGGTGGTTATATGTGATAATTTTGTAAAAAGAAATCAGCGAAAACTCATAACCACTTTTTTATTGTCGGCCATTTTGGATTTTTCCATCCTAAAATCTTGTTTGTAAAATCTTGTCTACGCGTTTTCAGGTGAACCGTTTGGTAGATCAATTTCAAATTTTCAGGGATGATTCTTAGTATGAAAATCTAGATCTCATCAGTTTTTTGGAATTCTGGGTAAATGTCAAGGCGGCCATTTTTGATTTTCCGTCCTAAAATCTTGCCAGTAAAATCTTGTCTATGCATTTCCAGGTGAACCGTTTGGTAGATCAATTTCAAATTTTCAGGGATGATTCTTAGTATGAAAATCTAGATCTGATTAGTTTTTTGCCATTCTGCATAAATGTCAAGGTGGCCATTTTGGATTTTCTGTCTTAAAATCTTGTCTGTAAAGTCTTGTCTATGCAATTTCCAGTTAAGCGTTTGGTAGATCAATTTCATATTTTCAGGGATGATTCTTTGTATAAAAATCGAGATCTAATTAGTTTTTTGGCATTCTGGGTAAATGTCAAGGCAGCCATTTTGGATTTTCCGTCCTAAAATCTTGTCAGTAAAGTCTTTGTCTTTGGTTTTCAGGTGAACCGTTTGGTAGATCAATTTCAATTTGGTAGATCATTTCTTTGTCTTTGGTTTTCAGGTGAACCGTTTGGTAGATCAATTTCAAATTTTCAGGGATGATTCTTAGTATGAAAATCTAGATCTCATTAGTTTTTTGGCATTCTGGGTAAATGTCAAGTCAGCCATTTTGGATTTTCCGTTCTAAAATCTTGTCAGTAAAGTCTTGTCTACGCTTTTCAGGTGAACCGTTTGGTAGATCAATTTCAAATTTTCAGGGGTGATTCTTAGTATAAAAATCTAGAACTGATTAGTTTTTTGACATTCTGGGTAAATGTCAAGGCGGCCATTTTGGATTTTCCATCCTAAAATCTTGTCTGTAAAGTCTTGTTTACGTGTTTTCTGGTTAACTGTTTGACGGATCAATTTCAAATTTTCAGGGGTGATTCTTAGTACGAATATCTAGAACTAACTTATTTTATGGCATTCTGGGTGCCCATTTTGGATTTCCTGTCCTCAAATTGTGTCGGTAAAGTCTTGTCTACTCATTTTCAGGATAACCATTTGATGGGATCACCCATTGGTGGGGACATTTTGTACACATTTGTGTTCTTGTATAATATGTACAGATATATATGCCCAATGGTGTCTGTGTGAGATAATGGTAACTCAAATGAAATGAAATACATGGTGTCCATAAAGTCTCTTTACACTGTATACAATCTTTGTATTGTAATCGTAGAGACCTTATGGACACCTTGTATATGGTCAATGGTCATGTGACCATTTTCTACACTAAAGTTTATTTATTCACTTCATTATACATTTATTTCAATTATATTGCAGTAAAAAAGTTACATAGGTCACTGCCTAGCGCAATGTGCATTACAGGCTAGCGTTTGAAAAAGTTTTGTAGGGCAAAATTATAATATCACACATAGGCTTAGCAATAAGTATAGAGACATGAGCTTTTAATACCCTTGGTCATGGTGGTGTTTGTATTATAGTAGTTCTGCATTAAGCCTCGCCCTTTTATCTATCTCCCCATCCTTTCTTGAAGAGAGGGGTCACAGGGGCTTGAAGAAAAACTTGATTCAGAATAATCACCAAAAAAGGTTCATTTACTACCCATTGTCTATATTTACGACCCATTGAATCTAGTCAGGCTACAGTCTTTCAATTAAAATGATTTACAAAAGGGTATCTTGAACTCAAGTCAGAACTGTTGAACATTTCAGAAAATAGGCATGACAGGGAATGATGAGATCAAAATAATTGTAAAACAGTGATCATTTTTTCAAAGCTTACTCTTAATTCATATTTTCCCTTTCTTGTCCCTTCAATATCTCCCTTTATCCTATGCCAAGTAGAGTTTTAGGGAGATAAGTTGGTAAGATATATCCCGTATCCTGATTTTGAGGTTTCCATATCCAGAACCTCCATATCTCCCGCTTTGGTGCATATCTTCCCGCTTCCGGTAATGCAATAAAATGACTTTGCATATGAATGATTTCTTTATTTTTACACCTTGTACTATTGAAATGGCCATATGCCCCTGGAAACTCTACTTGGTATAGGATAAAGCAGTTATGTACGGTCGGTTTGGATACTGTATAAGTGGTAATTTTGCCTAATCATTTAATTTGCCTATTTCCTAATTTTTGCCAGGTTCGGAAAATTAAATGTCGGAAATATTGTCTTTATAATGTTATCCAATGGGAGGTTTCTTGTCATTAGGAAAATTAAAATTAGGAAAATGATGAAATTTGACCATTCGGAAAAATAACCACTCGGATTAAATACCACTTATACAGTATTGGGTTCATCCCTCGTGAGATATGCATATCTACCTTCGGTCCCTACAGTCCCTCAGTTAGATATGCATATCTTCCTCTGGATAAACCCCATATCCAAAACCTCCCAGTACATAACCCTTATATCCCACAGAATGGTGTTGGTATCTCTCTTTATGGTCCATTTTATAAACTGAAATATTTTGACATTCTCTGCCAATGGTGATATAAATTCATGAAGCAACATTGTTTATTTTTATTTTTTTATTGAATATTTTTTCATGATTAGAAATCAGAGAGTGGACACAAGTAGGATATACCAGTTCTGTGCTGCTATAAATCCATGTTGTAATATATATATTTTCTTTTTTCATAAATTATTTTTCACTCTGAGGTACTGGAAGCAAGGATAATATACCAGTCTTCATGTAAATTCTTTCATAATGTTCTAGATATATTAACACTGCAATAGTGTTACATATTAAATAGGATTTCACATTGGAAATAATGTATTCTTCTCTATTTTAGGCAGGAAATGCAGTGGAAGCCCCAGGGTGAGAAAAGGATGACTGGGGGTCAAAACTTTGGTCAGCAAGGCCTAGCCCCACAGACCATGGCCCCTCAACAACCTGCTGGGGCAGGCTGGGGCCAGCCTCAGCAACAAGCGCCACCTATGGGATTCCAACCAATGGTAAATACCTTTTGTGTTAAAAGTATAAGTGTTGTAGAGTTAATACATTGTTGTCAGTATGGTCATGTTTTAGAATATGTAATAGGTTAGAAAATAGTAAGATTTGGATTCATAAAAAAAGAAACTTTGTTAACTCTGAATATTATGTACAGGAGAATCAAACATTTACCAGTTTTCTCCATGGGTTGTCTCACTTTGATGAATTCTCTACAGTTTTTGAAAAATAACAATTTCTCAACTCAGTGCAAATGTAAATATTAAACTCTCAGCTGAGCGTAATTGGATTTTCATGTGGGTACAAAGTTAGGATCACCAAATGTACATGCATGGCCAGATTGATTGTCCTTGGTATGCCTTGCCATTCAATTTTGAATAAAGTTTTCCATGTATTTGTCCAGTAAAATCCAAAATTACTGAAGTTCTCATTTTATCCAAGACCCTAGCAATCACTATATAATAAGTTTGCAGGATTATTTCTTCAAGAGGGTGCTTTGTTTTGTTTTTATTTTCATCACAATTTGTTGAAATATGCAAATTATTTATGATTTTTATCATTTTTGAATGGGTACAGAGGATTTCAATGCGTTCTACCCTATTTTCAAAATCTCAAACTAGTGCGGCTCACCCACTTTGACAAGCTCTGTATTTGTTTATGATCACTTTTTATGTCACCACCAAAAGTGGTGACATATTGTTATGGTCTCCGTTTTTTTATGTCACCACCAAAAGTGGTGACATATTGTTATGGTCTCCGTTTTTTTGCGACGGCGTCCGGCGGTTGGTGGTTGGAGGTTGGCGTCCGGCGTCTGTAACAATTTCTTACAACTTCCTATAACTTAACAAATACTGTTTAGATTGAGTTCAATTTTTTTCTAAATCATCTACATGTTCTCAGAAGTTCAAATCTGACTTTAGATTTGACATTTGACCTTCAATGACCTTCTCAAGGTCAAAAAGGTCTTTTTTCAACTTGCTTCACATTGACTAAATTTTTTTTCAAAATCATCTACATGTTCTCAGAAATTCAAATCTGACATTAGATTTGACTTTAGATTTGACATTTGACCTTCAAATCTGACTTTAGATTTGACATTTGACCTTCAATGACCTTCTCAAGGTCAAAAAAGGTCAAAAAGGTCTGTTTTCAACTTGCTTCAAATTGACTAAAAAAAATTTTCAAAATCATCTAAGTGTTCTCAGAAATTCAAATCTGACTAGATTTGACCTAAGATTTGACATTTGACCTTCAATGTCCTTCTCAAAGTCAAAAAAGGTCAAAAAGGTCTTTTTTCAACTTGCTTCAAATTGACTAATTTTTTTTTCAAAATTATCTACATGTTTTCAGAAATTCAAATCTGACTTTAGATTTGACATTTGACCTTCAATGACCTTTTCAATGTCAAAAAAGGTCAAAAAGGTATTTTTTCATCTTGCTTCAAATTGACCAAATCTTTTTTTCAAAATCATCTACATGTTCTCAGGAATTCAAATATGACTTTAGATTTGACTTTAGATTTGACATTTGACCTTCAATGACCTTCTCAAGGTCAAAAAAGGTCAAAAAGGTCTTTTTTCAACTTGCTTCAAATTGACTAATTTTTTTTTCAAAATCATCTACATGTTCTCAGAAATTCAAATCTGACTTTAGATTTGACATTTGACCTTTAATGACCTTCTCAAGGTCAAAAAAGGTCAAAAAGGTCTGTTTTCAACTTGCTTCAAATTGACCAAATTTTTTTTTCAAAATCATCTACATCTTTTCAGAAGTTCAAATTTGACTTTACAAGTTCTCAGAAGTTCAAATCTGACTTTAGATTTGACCTTTGACCTTCAATGACCTTCTCAAGGTCAAAAAGGTCTTTTTTCAACTTGCTTCAAATTGACTAATTTTTTTTTCAAAATCATCTACATGTTCTCAGAAGTTCAAATCTGACTTTAGATTTGACATTTGACCTTCAATGACCTTTTCAAGGTCAAAAAGGTCTTTTTTCAACTTGCTTCAAATTTACTTAATTTTTTTTTCAAAATCATCTACATGTTCTCAGAAGTTCAAATCTGACTTTACATTTGACATTTGACCTTCAATGACCTTCTCAATGTCAAAAAAAGTCAAAGAGGTATTTTTTCAACTTGCTTTAAATTGACCAAATTGTTTTAGGTGGTGACATTTTGTCATGTTAATGCCTTGTTATTATGTTGTTTTTGTTATGATGTTTCAGGGTTATAACAATATGTACAATTACAATGCAATGCAGGTAGAGATTTATGTTTCATATGTTGCTGGTACATATGTTGATATCCTTTATACGACATCAATATTGCAATAATCTTATCTTACATTTTTTGGGGCTTGGGTGCAAACTTAGGACCACCAACTGTAGAAAATGGTGGAAATCGCAATTGGGTGCAATTCTGAAATTGCATTTTTGGCTGAGTACAAGTTTGGATCACCAAATGTACAACCATGCCCAGCCTGATTGCCCTTGGTATGCCTGGTCAATCAATTTTAGCTATTTTGTCTTCAAATTGATAATATTGTCAACAAATAGGCAACTTTGGCATCATTACCAATCCTGTCTATCATGCTGGAATAATTTTACAATCGTGATTGTTTATCGTCATTTTGCAATATTGATGTTTTTGTACCATTGCTGCAAGGCCCTCAGGAATTGTTCAGCAATGTGCAAAAAGTTATTGGATATCAGCATATGTTACTTCAAATTTTTATTTGTATTTTTTTCTTGCTTTTAACAATTTCTTGCATTTCATAGAATTTGGGAGTGCTCGTCTTTTAAGTTTCTTATTCCTGGTGTCTTGTTATTTTTCCACTTTATCTTTCCTGGTGCATCTTCGTATAATTAAATAGTTCTTCCTTTTGTTTGTATGAACCCATCGTAATATACAGGGTGATCAATAAATAAGGTAAAAGTATCTGGCATTTCTTCAGATTTTACCCAATCCTCATAAAATCTGCACAGAATAATGTTCAAACATTATTGAATTGATATATTAAGCTACAGATCAAAGTGATGTGATTGGGTGAAGTTATAGTTGCCATAGCAACAGAAAGCATGAAGACCCGGGGCAACTATCAAAAACTAAATTTTCAGTCGAAACACTTTTGATAATATATTTCAAATTGCAATTAAAATGGCATTTCATATTCTTATTTCATACTTCATATCTGCTACTTAATGTCCTTTGTTTTTAACATTATAGTTCATGTCTTCTACTCCAGTCTTTGAACACCTTTTAAACCCATTTTCATATAGCCTGCACATTTTCAAGATAGCTGACTTCAAGTCTTCCCATGAGAAACTTCCTCAACTCCCTCTTCAGCTCACCGGTATGAAGGTAAATCATAAGGGGACAAGTCAGGAGAGTATAGTACATGACCTAACAGTGGGAAAACCAGTGCTTTAATGGTTTGTACCGTGAGAATAGCATTGTGAGATGGAGCATTATCCCAGTGCAACGCGAAACGTTTTGCAGGCCTCTTAGTCTTAGCTTCTTCCTCTTTTCTCTCATCAAATCTCTTCTGTGGGTATTGTTTTCATCATTGACATGTGTCATAGACTTTCTATGATCACATCAGTTTTCATTATATATTAATCTTTTCTGTGACATCAAACAACAATTTGCAAGAAATAATAAGTAATAATGTAAACAAAGTATTAAAACAATTGATGGTTGCACCCACGTTTATTTCCTTTCAGTTTGAAAAAGATGTGCTTTTTATCATTTTTGTCCAAATTGGATGCAATGAAATTGCCCCGGGTACTCCCGAGTCCAGTTGCCATAGTAACTATAATATTAACCAATCAAATGGCAGAAGTTATATATTTATATGTTTAAATTTAGAAATGTACAAGGTATATTCTGACCAAATTTCAGGATGTTTGGACCGATATTTACAAAATGCCAGATACTTTTACCTTATTTATTGATCACCCTGTATACATGTAACAAGCATATTACTAAATGAACAGATATATGTCATATTCTCCTAAAATTGAAGAGGTTAGGTGATCCCCAAGTGAATGTACATGTTTGAATGTGGTTTGTAGGATGGCATATTTACTTTAGCCAGTGAAGTTAAAAATTATACAACATGCGAGATGAGGTTTACAAACTCTGAGCTTACTATGCTGATTTAGAATTTTATGTAGAATCATAGGCTGCCATATTTTTTTATTTAGTAATTTTGTAGTACCATTTACATCGGCACATTATCCCACTGAACAAAGTTTTGAGTAGGGATATAGAGCAACGTTTGTCTGTCCATCCATTTAGTGAATTCAGGCAATAGCTGAAATATCACTTATCATGTTGTCAGGTACTTTAATAGACTGATGCCTAATGGGAATGAGACCTCTCCTCAAGAATAAATTTTCAAAATGGCTACCACTTTTGGTAAAAATCATTGATAACTCAAACAGTGTTCCAAATAAGTTTTTTTCACTTTGTAAAACATGAGACATTAAAAAACTGGTCAGTGCAAAAAAAACCAACGAAGGTGTTTTGAATTGTATTCACAATTTTAGTTGAAAAAGATCTGGCAAATTTGTTAAAACCCTTGCATACTTTTTTTTATTTTTTTTTATTTATTTATTTATTAATTAAAAAACCCTTGCATACTTCATGCCTGGTCACGTCCATAAGGACAGTCCTCTTCCTTTGTTTTATTAAAGAAGGATGAAAAAGGTGAACTATTATAAAATCTCATTTCCTTACCAATCCCAGCGCATGTCTACAACTTATGTAAAAGTTGCCTAAGGAGGTTTGAAAAGGCAGAATTACAAATATGGCCACCTTCATCCTTTTTGTTTAATTGAATTGAGTATCAATTGTCATCTTGCGGCACTGAGCAAGACATCAACAGTCTATTTTAAAGCATTATTTCCTAGCTTAAAACTTAGGTTTCTTTTATTTTATTATAAACAATATTATAGACAATAGCTGGAAAAGGTCATCTCTGTGCATCATGCTTCGTATATAAACAATCTAGAAAGAAAGTCTCGCAATCTCTAATCAAGAAGCTATTTCCAAAAATAGTCTCAAAATTCATAATGGTATACATTTTCCATTTTGAGGGCAATGGTTATTCAAAATGAATTTATATGTCACGAAATAGTTTTTGCTAAAAGGAGACACTACTACTGCCTGGACACTTCTGTCGTGAAATTTCGAAATGAGTGATTTGATCAGTGGGATTTACTACTTTGTAGAGTAGCTGTATTTCTAGTTTTAGTCTGGGTCTAGTCGAGAATACATTTCTTTCTTTGCCCATTTAGGTAGGATGAAATGCATCGCCAAATTATGTAGTTTTATGACTCACTTTTCAGGCACTCATTTTTTTTTCAGGTATTCATTCTTAAAGTACTACTAATAGTTAGAAGTATTAACCTTTCTAGGATTGCATAGTGTTTTAGTAACATATTGATATGCACGGCTGAATGGATTAATGGCTGATTTCACCAAATAAAACCATCTTTCAAAATCACCATTGATATTTCCTGGAAATTACTGAAATGGCCCAGGTTATATTGTAATTATCATGGTCTGTTTTAATCTTTTATCTTACATATTTTTAGATGTGAGTTTCATTTATCATACACATACATGTACATTTTTTTCTATGTACATCTCATCATTGCACTTAAAATAACTTGTATTATTAAACAACTAAATAACAACTAATACAAGAGTACAACTCTCCTTATTAACCAATTTCAATAAGATATAATAAAAAGGCAATTTTGTAAATGTGAATTGTGTAAATTTTACCAACTAAAATTCATATGTAATATTTCTTGGTCAAAAATGACAGAATATAGGCTGTAAACTTTTCTATAGTTCATGCATAGAAGTACGTATTATGTTCATACAGTTCTATACCTGTGACATGGATAAGCTCCTGATATTTGTAAGCTGGTACAATCAGAAAATGACGTTTTTAGTACAAAAGTCTGAAAAAATTATTATGTAAATGTATAAGAATGCTTCTGAAATTGTAGCCCTGATCCGTTAATAGATGAATAATAAAACATATAATATCATTTTTTCGTGTTTGTTCCAGGGAGGAATGCAGCCAGCAGGGGGAATGGGGATGCAACCAGGAATGGGGATGCAGCAACAGCAATTCATGGTCAGTTATACTTTGCTGTTGATTACCACCTGTTTGGGTCACTGCCTGTTTTGGTATCATTGTATAATATTAACCATTATTATTTCCATGCTGAGATACTCATTTTCTCATTGGTCAATCCGGTATCATGTGACTAAAACATTTTGTGCTACCTGTGGATAATGGAAAAATGCTAATACAAATATTGAATGGATGTGATTGTTGGATATCTATATTGCCATGAGGGATGTATTCAACTCACCCATCGAGCATCATTGAATACAACCTCAGTAATATTAATAAATATTCTAATAATATGATTAATAAAGGATGTGTCAATACATGGAACAAGAATGCTAATTTTCAATCATTCGGATACTCATAGCATCTCTCTCTGTTGCATCGCATCGTATCTATTCAGAAGGATAGAGATGGAGAGGGTGTGGCTTACCACGATGATTTTCAATTTTGTTTTTTAATTTTGTTCATGCATTTCTTTGCACAGGCTGGTGGAATGAGACCAATGGGTGCAGGAATGGGTATGCAACAACAGCCAATGGGCAACTTCCAACCTAGACAACAGACTCCAAATGATCCCTTTGGCGCACTGTGAAACCTAACTGTATTTTAGGTTAATGTAATTATTAGGTAAGAGCTAAAGTTCCAACTATGAATTTTTTGTCACTTCCACAAATGGTGACATACTGTTATAGTCTCCAACTTTTTTTGTGGACTGTTGGTGGTCAGCGTCTAACAAATGGCAGGTGGTGACATTTTGCATGTAAATGCCTTGTATATCATTGGAAAGGAGTTGTTACATGTACTATAAAATATGTTCCAATTAACAAAGTCAGATTATAATGAATGCAGTGAGAGAAAAGTATCACACATGAAACATCATCACACCTACAACAATACAATTTATCACACACTATGATTAAGTTAATTAGATTAAGAGGCTTTTATATAATGCCTCTATAACAACGTTTGTAACAAATGACAGGTGTTGACATTTTGCACACTAATGCCTTGATTTAAATGTGATGCTAATTTGTTGTACTTTTCTTCCAGACTAATATATATCCAGACAGATGCAAGTGATATGTGACATGTGGGGAACTCCGCCATAGAGATGCATGTATTGTGTATAAATAGTGTATATCCAGTAAAACCTCAGAGCTTATCTAACACTGAACATTGAATAGTCAACAACCACGATGAAAGATGGCGCTGCAGTCAAGGAATTTCTCTCGAATAAATGATGCATCTAAAAACTAATATAAAAAATGTATCTGTGTGTCTTCATTCCATAACTTTTTTATGAGAAATATCCTCACTCATTTTGTGTCATTTCCTTGTTGTGAACTAAGGATATGACATTCAGAATGAGTATAAATAACTTGGCAGCTGCTCTGTGTAGCTTGAGTAATGTGTAAGCTAACACCCCTATGTTACTAGATGGGCTAGTCCAAAATGAATGGTTAGTCTAATAAGGATAAAAACAGAGGGGTGTTCCCATGTTGTCTGCCAGAAGTTGTGATTTGTACTGTACAGAGTCCAATGGATTTACATGTGTGTACAGAGGATTGTGCATTACCCCAAGATGCCATGGTGGTCATGAAAAATTTATATCCAAACAATTCTACACTCGATTATTACCTACATGGATTTAAGTTACATGTTGTCGTTCCATGATTTTTCTCGTTTTTATATAATACTTCTGTACAATATCGCTGCAAGTCATGTTTCTTCTCGTCTGTAACATTATGTAAATTCTTCATATAATATTATCATAATTCTCTAAAATATCATGTTAATTTTCTGCAATATGTCTGTAATTTCACATGAATTCTTCTATCTAATATCATGTCAATTCTCTCTAATATCATATTAATTCTCTGCAACATCATATTAACTGTTTTCTTGAAATGACCACTTTGGCATTTTATGGATGCACTTGGATTGTAAATACTTTATTAAGAAAATTGTACAGTATATATAGAGATAGAAGAAATTGTTGTGATGAGATGTGAGTACAGTATGTAGCAGTATATAGATATAATTATAATTATTATTATGGAATAAGCATCAGTTTCCTATGCATAGTTGGGACAGCATTTTCTCATATCATTTAGCTAACTGGACAGCATTGAAATCTATTAAGGTATTTCGACAGGTAATTTTCATAATTACCAATATAAATGGGAATGGTTCATATTTTTCACATTTTTATGTGGATATTTACAAATTATGGTAGAGTACATAGTTCAAATCAAAATATCTCAATTTTAAATGGAATTGAAATATTTCCCAAATTTATTTTGTGAAAATGTTGGATTACCTTAGTCATTTTCTGTAGATGTATTGCTTGCCAAATCTGTTTTGTTTTTGTGGTAATGAAATCAACTGTGGAGGTTATTGTCGGTAAGTAAAAAATGTCATTTGTTACTCATGCTTATGTGAAACATGTCTCCGCCACCATTCTCAATGCAGTACAATACAACACAGTAAGCCTCTAAGTCATATACCAATGGGACCATTCAATAGAAACTGAACTGATAATTTCTATGACACAGTAAAACCAGTCTAATCTAAATGCCACTGGGACGACCAGCCAAAAGTGTGTGGATTGGCAGGTGTTCACATTTTGGGGTTTTTAACATGGAAGGTTTAAAAATAGGGTAGAAAAGTGTTCACATTGAAAGTTGTTTTAGTCAAAGTGGATTAGAGAGGTGTTCAGATAAACAGGTTTTACTGTACTTTCTCCTTTAAAGAGGCTTTAAAACAGGGTTTGACTGAAGAAATTCAGGTCTATTCATCTTATTGAATCATGGCCAGTTGTGTTATTTCCAATGAAGTTCAATGCATTGAGAATCTATCGCTAAAGAGATTCTAAATATTTGATTGTACCTCCAGCCAACCTGATTCAGAAGTAATGATCAAAACTTAAGAACCATGATGGGGATATCTATTTGCCAATACTTTATTTTATAAAGAGGTAATATCAACAAAGTATGAAGTTATGTTTGGCTACATATGGCCTTAAGAAGGAAGGAACTAGTACCTTGAACAAGTTGGTCCTAAACAAAGTGAACATTGAGTTCCGAATGGGTAATAACCCAACTTTATCTGCCATGAACCTTCAAACAATCCATCATCACAACTAAAGTTGCATATCTGTCAAATCTTAAAGTCCACTTCAAGGTTTCCTGAATGCATGTTAAAATATATATCTAACACTGAAGTATCTTATATATGAAATGCTTAACTAATCAGAAAAAGAAACAATAAATTTCATTGAAAATAATTCTCTCTATGTCGAGTTCTAGTATATGTTTTGGATGCTGAATGTTTGTGTAGTGTGTACATGTAAATGTATAAATGGTGTCAATTTTTACAGGCTTAAAAATTGTCAAATGTAATAAATTGTAATAATAAATCATGGAAAAGAGAAATGAATATGCAAATAAATGTTTTGTTCACATTTGACAGATGTGGGACCTAAATATGTGTAGCTAATCAGAAGCTAGCTGAGCTGTTTTCCAATGTATGCCGGTGTAAAAGGGTAGGAGGTCCTATCAAATTATGGTCCTACTTTCCATTGATTTATATGGTGATCTAAATACAACTCTTTCCCTCATTATCTTATACGCAATCAGGGCCAGTAAGGGCCGTTAAGAAAGGGGACCATAATCCCTGGGGGACCATCATATCTTTCACACCGGTATATCCACCTTGGGAGGGGTGCCTTGAGTCAAAATGTTGGGGGGGGGGTCAAAGATGAATCTGAATAGGCGATGCTTTCTTCAGAAAATTCTTACAATGTTGTTGGCATACATTTGCCACAATCTATGTGTGTGATTTGATTCAAGATTAACGCAGTAAATAAAAAATTAAAAATAGTAGAATCAGTGCATGTACAAAAGGAAATAAAGTTACAGAACACGACTTGTCCATGCCACACTTTATCTCTCTCACAGCTTTTAACACTAGTATTTTCAAAAGCGCACTAGCCTCAGTCACATTTACTCTATGGTGGCTGTAGCTTCACAAAATAGATTTAGAAAATTTACAGACTATTGCCTATCCCTAGATATTATGCTGCATATTTCTCTCGTTTTGGGAAGCTACGGCTGCTGTACGGTTAGCGTAGATCAAATGTGACTAAGGCATAACTTATCTTTTTCGTAGTCCAAAAGAAGTTATTTTCATCAAATGGTATGACATCAACATTTTTATCAAATGGTTTTATCAATGGTATGACATCAACATTTTTAGCATATGGTGTAGCAAAAGAAGGCAGGATGAACACATCAGTAAAGCCTTTTCATCATTCTGTGAGGAGTATTCTTTCTGTTCTTCAAATTCAGTTTGAAAATCAAGAAACTGAGAGACACATATAAAACGTGTTTTATATGTCACTGAAGAGACAAATGAATTGCCTATGCCTAATTGAATTCTAATGGTATGAAATAGATGGTTTGACTGTTTAGAGGTTCCCTTTGCATTCGTTTGACTTCACTTCTTAAAAGAGAGCTTCGTCTTCACTCTTTCAAACTAAAATAAACCCGTGATCTCACTTTGGAAGGAGAAAGACAAAGGGGGCGCGGCTATCGCGATGTGTGAACTGTAGTTTAACTAGACTCTGCGCGCAGGGTAGTTTAGAGGCGATAGAATGACTCCATAATTATTGGAGCACGTGTATCGGTGCCCATCCCCACCCCTTCCAACTTAAGGACTGTCTTCCGTGGGATACTTGTGCGTAGTTTGGTGACCAGATAGACAACAAGTTAACTGCCCAAGGTGACGAAGTTCTTATATAGATGTCAAACGATTAATTCGTCCAATGAAATATAAAACCCTGGTTTATAAACTATAAAAGTAACTAGTATCAGTTTTACAAGATTACGCATTTTATTAGACTAATTATGAACGTATTCAACTGATGATATGTTGATTTTATTTTCAATGAATAAATAAAATAAAAATTAATTGTTGTATCAAAGAGCAAAAGCCTTTTCTGGGTCACCGCGAATGGCATGATTTCCTCGAGTCTCTTCAGTTGCAAGGCAACCATACTGGGACCGATTCGTGTCGTTCCACTACTGCCCTTGGTGGGGGCCCGCTACCATACTGCATGACTCCCGGCATCTCCCATAGCCCGTCAGTGGAGGAACCAACCTACAGTCTCACAATCTGTCTCCAAGCAAGAGCGGCCTAGAGAACCCGCCCAAGCCAAGGGCCGGCAACCGGTTGGACCTTCGGACCGAGTGTCCTGTAGGACTATGATCGATAACGCCGTACCTTTGGCTCGAACGCGGGACCTCCGTATCCCTCCGTACGCTCGACCGCAGCCTAACCCCCTAGGCCACACTGCTTAGGTGTCAAAACTACTCAAAATTGAATAGTTGTTGAAATATTTTGCTTGGATAAACATGCTTATAATAATCCTATTTTCCAAATCACTTGTACATGTATTTTGTATTTGAATGACTAATTATAACGACAATCACCACGCGCTTGCATACGTCTCATCTACTACTTCGTACAAATGCGCCTTATATGAAAGATCAAATTAATGGAGAAGGCTTCCATTTTAAATCATGTTTTGACTCAAATTATGAAAACGGAGCAGATTGTCCACTGGGCAAGTTATTAGGGAGGTTAAGTTCGTTTTAAAAAAATGTGTACGTGAACGTTAAGTCCATAGTTCTCCCATTTGTAGTTTTTACTTGGCCGATTGAGTATAAAGGTATATTGAAAATAGAGTATAAAGGTATATGGAAAATAGAGTATAAAGGTATATGGAAAATAATTGTTGTTAGGGCCCTGGAAAGTTGATTTGAGAGCAGGACAGTAACGTAAAGGTTCTCCTAAAAATGTTTAGCTTATCCGTCCTAATAAATACAAAAACCTACACTGCGCGCATACCCCCATAAATATGGGGTCGAATTGGCATTTTTTCTTATATTTTATCATCCTTGTGCCAAAAATAACACAAAAATAACACAAAATATTAAAGAATAAGAAAAAACGCCAATTCGACCCCACATTTATGGGGGTATGCGCGCATGGTCTACTCATAAACTACCTAAGACGAAGCTCTCTTTAATTAAAGGGAAGTCGAACCAATGCAAAGGGAAACAAAAACTGTATGTTTTGAAATAAAATAATTCTCAATGATTTTTTCTGGCCGATTCCACTGTGGTATAACGTTATCAAAAATGATGATAAAATGCGTGGTATATCGGGTGTCCCAAAAAGTGAGCCGCTTTTTGTCAAGTATATTTTCAGCAATAGTTAATATCCGAATTCATTTGAAATGTTTTATCGAGGAACAATGGGGTATCATTAGCAAGTGTTTTAAATATAAAAGAGATCGGTTAAACATTATACAAATATTGTCAAATTAAAATACAGTATGCCAATATCTATGATAAAGTAATTTATTTCAATCAGGAGATGCCTTTTTACAAATAGAAATGCTTTTGTGTATTTCTTCCAACGATATCGCCTCCAAAGACATAATTATAATTGTCTTTAATGAATGTGGGATGTATGCATTTTTTTCTATTTACATTTAAATGACTCTAGGTCTTGCCCTTAATTCCTTTAGGAATCATCTCCCACCCCATCATCTTACCTTGAAACAGTTTCAATACCTGGCGTCGGGTGACGTTCGTCTGACTTTATGCAATAACTCTTATGTTCCTTCTAATCTCTTGTCTCTCAACTCCCTGATTGTGCCAAATATGACTTTTAAACCAATGCTGGATGATTGAGTTGCATGCTAACATTTGTTTCACCATTTTTTTTTGGCTCACCATATACATCAAAGAAAATAATTATTTCAAGAAATGAAAATATATTATGAATTTTAAGTCATATTTCGCCCAATACAAGCAAACCTTATTCAATATTCTTGAAACTATTGAACGCGTCAGATAAAGTTGGTCTGACTACACGCTCAGAGACATCTTGTGTAATGTCTATCTTTCTTCTGAACGACTGAGATCGAGAACACTGAATATGCACTCACGAAGTAAATTTTCATCTCTTTACCTACCAATTCCACATGTACATTCATCTTATGCTAGTCCCCGGTATCCTACGTATGAAGAAATTTCTTAGATGTCAGGGTTAATAATATTAACAAGGCATTAACATGCAAAATGTCACCACCTGCCATTTGTTACACACGCCGACCACCAATATAGGTATTTTTTATCATTCATTTACTATTTGTCATGACTTTAAAAGTTTTATTAGAGATTTAAAAAAAATTCATTTCTCAAATATTCAAAGTTCCCGCCATTTTTCCAAAAAGTTGAATTTTTTAATCATCAAATATTTCTCCATACATTTAAAAAAAGATTATCTTTTAACACTAATGCAAAGATTGAACAAAGGACAAGTTTCAATAATAAAATGCCATATTTAATGTGCCACTTCAATGTTTTAGCATATCAAAAATATTTTGCAACCTAAGTGATGTCATTATGACAAAACCTTTTTGAAAAAAACTTTTTTTTCTATGTCAATCTTTTCTAAATATGCTAAACTTCAATAATAACATGTATCAGTATCATATGTTTTAGAAAATGTACATGTTTGCGAAAAATAGCTCAGAAGACAACAGAATCGTCGATTTAATTCCTCACTTAAGGATGTTCCCTGGTCAGATAGGAAAATATTCAATAGTATTTAACTTTTTCTCAAAAATGGTTTTCTGGGATTCTCACGGGCAACAAAGAATATTAAAACTTTAAAAACCATATGTTAGTGTGCTTTTTTCTGAGCAAGAGGCCTCTAAAGTGTCAATATTTGACAAAAGTGGGCGTGGCACTTTCTCATTGAAACCCATGTTAAAAATCAGGTTTTCACCCCAAAACACACTTTTGAATATTTAACTTTTTCTTAAACTCACAGAAACACTTAGTTATGCTATGTACTTCACATTTTGAAAAGAAAAATTAGGGGTTGGTGTTCATCGTTTTCAACTTCGTCCAGGGAACATCCTTAAGTCACAGAAACGGTTTGGGTTAAAAGTGCAGATCTTAAAGTCCCCGTCTAAAGTTTGAAAATATTTTTTTATCATTCATTTACTATTTGTCAGGACTTAAAAAGTGATTTGAGAGATTTTTGAACAAAAAAAATTTTTGAAAAAAAAGTTGTGAGCATTTCATTTCTCCAATATTTAAATTTCCCGCCACTTTTCAAATAAAGTTGAAATTTCTCAATCATCAAATATTTCTTAATGCATTTCAAAAAAGATTATCTTTTTAACACCAATGCAAAGATTGAACAAAGGACACACTATTTCAATAATAAAATGCCATATTTAATGGGCCACTTCAATGTTTTAGGATATCAAAAACATTTTGAAACATTAGTGATGTCACTAAGGTACCAAAAATTTTTCGAAAAAAATTGAAATTTTTTTTTCGATGTCAATCTTTTCTAAATATGCTAGACTTTCATAAAAGACCAATGTTGATTGTCTAACCAGGTTAAAAGAATAAATTATGTTTTAGATATCATTGTGCCATTGGTTTCTATGAGAACTACAATTTTGAAATGCATTTTTCTCAGAACCATTTTCATGCACTGATAAGTTCATTTCTCGCTTGTTTATCAACCGATTTTCTTAATTTTTTCGGCAAAAAACATGGGAGGATGAATGCTATGCATTGGTATGAATTGTGGCTAATTAGAAGATATGAGTGACTTCTAAAAGTTGGTTTTAAATAAATTCAAAAATTTTGGAACAACAAGTCTATCAAAAACCACTTTTTGAAATTTAAAAAAAAAGTTTCACATATCACACTTTGATAACATTGGGTAAGACTACAATATAAGCCAAAGTGGTTTAAACTTTACATGGGGCCTTTAACTGTTTTTTGAAATACCGTTTCTGTAACTTAAGTGAGGAATTAAATCGACGATTCTGTTGTCTTCTGAACTATATGTTCGCAAATGTGTACATTTTCTTAAACTTAGGTTACTGATAGACGTTTGTATTAAAAATCTCCTGAGAATTCTGCCTACAAGGTGTGAAATAAGGAAAAAAGAAAAATCGAAGCTTCGATGATCGGACATTTTGTTACCTAAACGAATCGGTTCAGTAACAAGCGTAATCGAGTGGATCACCAGTGGACCAGGTTAAAAGGAAGAATATATTATGTCTTAGATACTATTGTACCATTGGTTTCTATGAGAACTAAAATTTTAAAATGGATTTTTCTCTGAACCATTTTCACGCATTGATGAGTTCATTTCTCGCTTATTTAACTGATTTTCTAAAAAGATTTCGGCAAAAAACATGCGAGATTGAAAGCTATGCATTGGTATGAATTATAGCTTATTAAAAGATATCTGTGACCTCTAAATAAATTCACAAAAACCATTTTTTGAAATCAAAAAAAAGTTTCACATAGCACACTTTGATAACATTGGGTAACACTACAAAATAAGCCAAAGAGGTTTAAACTTTATATGTGGACTTTTAAGGGATGCCCTCTGTCAATTTCAATTGTGGTGCATTTTCAGGTGTAAAGATTTTTGGTCTGCAACCAACATGACCAAAGATACTTGAATCCCAACTCTAATGCTATCCCTAAGCCCTAACCCCTAAAGCATAAACTATAAAGAAGAATCATAATTTTGCTAAATGATCTTCAGCTGTCAGGCATCTGTGCTCTCCCGTATTTGTAAGATCAAATTCAAACACTCAAAAATATACGAAAACAAATAAACAGAAGAATTTAATTATTTGTTAGCTCATATGCAAAATATTTTATTATAATGTATTGCTTTTTTCTGCCAGCATAAAGCCCTCCTATGGGGCAATAACATAAAGCCCTCTCCTAAAGGGCATTATTAAACATTTAAACTACCACCAAGTATCTCAGAAGAAAGAGTAATCAAGAAAAATGCAGTACATGTTGTTCAGTGATCTACATAGTCCAAGTTGAACTTTGATTTTAGGCTTTTAATTTTGATATTTTCATAAATAACTGAACCTGAGAATACTAGGTTATTGGTTAAAAGATGATACTGTATGATGGATGCAAGACTATGAACTTAAATGCTGACGATATAATCCTTGATCCAGCCCATGGTCTAAACCTAAAGAAATAAGTTAATAACTTAATAGACCATATGGTCCACATTGTGGAAAACTGCTCAAAATATGGTGTGTACTTGTTAACTGCATTTTTGTTTTGAATAAAATTCACTTGTCACATTATTCGTATAAGGGTTAAGTTGATATTCCCAAAATATAATTACCAGCAATAAAATCTCAAGTGTAAACATAATTGTAATAAAACACTTTCAGTTACTGGTAAACAGTAAACATGTTGTAAAAATCAAAGTTGATTTTGTAGAAATAATAAATTCTGATATGTGTCAAATTCGACATACTTTAATGTCTGTTGAAAATCGCAAAAATTCAAAAACCTGAAAGATGTCAAGGTATGAATGAATGATATAACCTTTCTTTGAAAGATTGCACTAATTCACTGAATTATGCGGTAATATAATTTCTATTTACAAAAAGCGTCATCTATTTCAAGTTAAGGAGAAAATGACAACATTCATCACGTTTTCACAAAGGGATTCTACTGTAACAGAATATCACAACATTGTTCACTACACCGATTTACTACACAATAAATATCAAGACTGAGTGAAAGATTTATTTTTGCTAACATCTGTTTTCTCATAAATTTCCGAAACATTTCAGACATATTTAATATAAACAATACGCAAATATGCTTCAAGGTGGGGGCATTTATGAAAAAGTAATATTATTTGTTGGTATGAAATAGCAGTTACAACTATTGAATATGGTTTAAGGAATAATGGAAACAAATGTATGCAAAAATAACATGTTTCACTTCATTAAGGACTTAAGTCCAGGCTTTAAAGTATCATACAATATTTCTTGTACACTGTCTACTTTTGGATAAAGCAAAAAGCATTGCAAGATAATTATACACTCTCTCCTTGAATATTTTAAATCCAAATTAGGATTTCAAAAATATTTCCTTATTTGGACCATGAACAATATGTGGCCTCTGACGTTTAACAAAGTTCTCTATTCAGAGTTCATTGAAAAAATGTCCACGATTTTCCAACCATTTCATGGTTGTTTTCACAAAATCTGACAACATTATGTACAGTGTAACAATATTACTGTACTGTACAGAATCAGATTTTTACACATTTCCAATATCCCGTAAGTTATACATAGCGCCATCTATGATACTAATATACAAATATTTTCATCCACAACCACCAGGGTGGTTCAGTTTTAAAATAAATTCAGGTCTACAGCTGGTCTGTTTTTTTGCTTGCCATGGAAGCATAAATTACAACCAGCTGGTTACCTTAACATAAACATTATATTCAAAGTTCTGAGTATTTTTAATTAAAATGCAGAATTAATGTTATTTCTGGCATCATTTAGTTGACCAAACTGGTAATATATAATTTAACAATACAGAAAACACATTTAGTTGTTCATTCAGTTAAGAGGTGTTTCTGTACATAGTAAAAGCATTTTATGAATCATATCATTTTCAACAAAACTGCACTTATTCATTCCCAACTGCACTTGTCACCTTAAAAGGATTCTATGTTTCTTTTGATTCAATCTAAGATAATCTGTAATTTGGATTTGAGAATTTTCTTGAAACACTGAAGAGACACTGAAATTGAACATTTATGAAAAGTTTCAAGGAGTGTCAATTGACTGTATTTTGAAGGCTGATTTTCCAGAAGAAACATGGAATCCTTATATCCATCTCCCTCAGGTTATGCTATACGTAGACAGGGGACGAGTCCTCTGGGTCACCATCCTCCGTTTCCTCCGTGACATCCTGTGTAGGGGGTGGGGAATTAACACCAATCTTAGGGACAGGGTATGGATGACCCCCATCGTCAAAAAATCGTCTAAATGTGAACTCAAAAAATGCATGTTCGGGGTGTTTTCCATTTTCATAGGTCAAGTCACGATTATCGTTCGTTCGAGATTCATCGCTATCAATGGGGTCAAAGTTGGAGGTATCAGTGTCATATTTTATTTTTGGTTTGTAGAGTGCCGGTTGTTTTCTCAAGCCTTCAAAAGTGATTCCGGCAAAGAAAGGATGTGCTTTGACTTCCTCTGCTCCTTCACGGCCAAGCCGAGTGTCATGGTCGCAACAGAGCTGCCTTATAAGGTCTGCCGCAGGTTCAGAGAGCTGCGCTTGTTCTGGTATATGCAGATATTGGTGCCAGTTAATAACCTGGAAGGAAGAGATCATTATTGTACAATGTACATGTTGAACAAGCCACTTTAGTTCAGTAATGATGAGGAAAGTGAAAGACAAGGCCATCTATCTAACAATCAAGAAAGATTAAGTATAAATGGTAATACTTAAAATGGGAAATTATGTACAATTAAATCCACTCTCAATATTCTCACACAAAAAACTTTACATTAACAATAATATAACAAGAGAATTAAAATAATCTGAAAGTCCATGATAGTTTTTATTCAAACTGACCTTATTTTGTGTTTCTTGTGGCGTATTGGCCATAAACGGTGGCTGCCCGACTAACATCTCGTAAAGTATTACCCCAACACTCCACCAATCACAGCACTTGGAATACCCTGAAAAACAAACAGAAACCATATATAAATACAATGAAGCGATATCCTTCAATTCCATTAACTATACAGAGTGGTCCAAAATAACACATGCCACTGAAAAATAGCAGACTACAGATTCTGATTCAGGGTAACGGTCCAGACTGCTAAGGGTTACACAAGTTCATTATGCTCAAATTTCACATTTCAGACTTAACAAGTGGGTGATTACAATGGCTTACACCATGTAAGCTAAAAATCATTGGGAATTGAATACGAGAAAGTAACTGCAAAATTCAAAGTTCTCAAAGAAAAGTGTCGAGAGAATTCAATTTGTCATCCAACAGAACAATATGTAGACATAAATATTTCAATTAATATGAATATATAAGAAATATCCTGGAATTTAATGAGAATACTAGACTTCAACGAGATTTCAGAATTGGACAGGAAACCCTCTATTGAATTTATAGGGTAATTTTACCTTTAAAACCAATGAATAAACTCTGAAATAGTGAATTCATCATAAATTCAAGTCAAGTGAGTGGAGGTTTCATGACCAGCACTTTCGAGTGTCATTTGCTGAAATTGTGATTCAAGAGTTCTTTACAATAATATATTGGGGTCCATGATCAAGGTTAAAACATAATTGCCACAATTTACCATATTGGCATTCACCTCATTACCCATGAAGGCCATTCATTTTTTCAAGTTCATTGCCAAGAGTGAAAAGGGAATGTCATTGGCAGGCAGCTTGAATTTCAATCCTGTGTTACATTCTTATAGAAAAATAAACTGAACGAAAAAAATGAAATGGGTAAATTCAGTAAAGTATAAATGCAATAAAGGAAACTCATAACTCTAAAAGTATACACAAAAGCTATGAAACCTGATACTTTGCCAATATCTCAAACAGTGGAAATGGCTACAAATAGAACACCAGTGACATCTCGACAAAAGAAAGCCTATAAAATATGGATTTTGAGAAAGTATTGATCATTGAGACAACATGCCATTTTAACAATCATTTGTCGAAAAACTCTGAAAATAAATAGTTTCCTGACATGTTTTCTGTTAATTTACACATGTCAAAAAATGAACAACGGCTTTAAATGAAAATAGGTTACAGTGATCTGGAGTGTTATCAAAACTGCAAACATGTTATTCAATCTTCTATTTCCTCATTCTTTACTATGAATTTCAGTTCAAATTTAAGACTGCGGCTGTAACATGAATCCATCAAACAGGAATTTCATATACTGGATACTGGTTAACTTACAATTTTCTCCATCAAGTGGGTGCAAAATTCACATTTTAACAATTCTGCCCATAGTGGTTCAAAATATGATTTTTCCCATTTTCAAATGGGCGAGTCGTCATATTAGAAGGTGCAGACATTAAAAGGTGCTACCACTATACGAAAGTGGTATAAAAAATTGCGCATTTACAATCACTTTAAGTGACAGCCAAGATTAGAGTGTAAATGCAATCTAATTAAATATGGAAGTTTTTGAAGACTTTAAATGCAGAAATGTTCATGTTAACATCCAGGAAATGTTTTTACCATTTCAATAACTTACTTAATAAATATCTAACTGATCTCTGTAATTCGCATTAATAGATTTTACGATGCATACTTTCAGAAGTAGATTTGCATTAAGTCTGGCCACAGAGCAAAACTATTTCCGACATTGCATTCTCAATCCAGGTCTACAGGCTACCAGGGCCTGGGCTAACATCAACCTCAACACCAAAGTCAAAACATGAAATTCTTTCCAAGTAATAGACATTCTGTACTGTTTTACACCAATATTTCAGCATTAGTTTTCCTGGATTGAAACATTGGAATTCAACTGGGAGCCACAAAAACAACAGTACTGACGTAATAGAGACACAGGCTGCTGTTTATTCACTGAATGATTCATTGAGGTAGAATAGGGAAAAGGTCATGTTCAAAGTCTGTGTTTTTTTATTGATGAATTTTTTTTTTCATAGAAATAGAAAGAAATGAAAATATATAATGAAATCATCCAGGGTGTAGAATTATGAAATTCATTTCTCTTAGAGATTAATTTCTGTATGTTTTGAAAGAAAATAGGTTGAAAGTAATTTTTTGCAAGGGTAAACTGTTAACTGAACTTCCTTCAACATTGAAATGCAGGTAAACACAAACAGACATTATAAAAGGTTAGAAATAATCATCTTCGTGAATCCATCCTTTTAATTCAGATCTATACAGGAACACTATAATGCAGTTTAATTCATCATATGGTTTTAAAATTTATTTTACTCTTTGCCTTGACATTTGTTGTCAAAATATGATTTGCAAATACTATAGCCCTGTCCTTATGTATTGTATAGTTGAACTTTTCAAAAAAAAGTTTCCTTGATGGTTTTCCTGTACATATTGTTCTTTAATTTTTGCACAACCCTATTTTATTTAAGCACAGTGTTATCCTACCTTCGCGTCCAAGTCTCCTAAGCACTTCAGGGGCAATATAGTTAGGTGTTCCTACGAGAGAGTGTGCCAGGCACCGTTGGTGATCCCTCCGTTTACGTCGCTCTAAAGGTTTGAGAAGTTCCCGGTGTTCAACACCGCAATTACAGGTATCTCCCCAGTCTTCACATGGTTCCATGGAGTCCTGTCTAGCATGATTTGCTGAAAGGTAATTGATTAATATCCATTTATTTTAGAACTGCAAACAACAAGGAGCTTCCTTGAAAAACTAAAGGAATACAACTTCCAAGTTTTCTTAATACCTGAAAATAACATGACCACATTTTCATAATTGCTTTCCTATACCCTTTAACTAGCAAATCTTCAAAATAACAAGTAGAAATCACACAAATCATTACTTATTAATCACACGAATCATTACTTACAATTCACACTAATCATTGCTTACAAATCACACTAATCATTACTTACAAATCACACTTATCATAACTTATAAATCACACAAATCATTACTTACAATTCACACAAATCATTACTTACAAATCACACTTATCATTACTTACAAATCACACTTATCATTACTTATAAATCACACAAATCATTACTTGTAAATCACACAAATCATTACTTATTAATCACACAAATCATTACTTAAAATTCAAACTCATCATTACTTACAAATCACAAAAATCGTTACTTAGAAATCACACTCATTATAACTTAGAAATCACACTAAGATTACTTAGAAATCACACTAAGATTACTTAGAAATCACACTAAGATTACTTAGAAATCACAAAAATCATTACTTAGAAATCACACAAATCATTACTTACAATTCACACAAATCATTACTTACAATTCACACTTATCATTACTTATAAATAAATCACACAAATCATTACTTATAAATCACACAAATCATTACTTATTAATCACACTAATCATTACTTACAATTCACACTCATCATTACTTAGAAATCACAAAAATCATTACTTAGAAATCACACTCATTATAACTTAGAAATCACACTAACCATAACTTAGAAATCACAAAAATCATTACTTAGAAATCATACTTATCATTACTTACAAATCACACTAACCCTTGGTGACAAATCACACAAATTATTACTTACAAATCACACAAATTATTCCTTACAAATAAATTGGATCATTACTTACCTTTTTGATAATATTTTGAGTTATGGGTCCATCTGAACCCTGTACATAATCCGAAATCAGTGAGTTTGATATGTCCATCTCGATCGATCAAAATATTGTCAGGCTTCACATCCCTATGAGTGAAGCCTATCCGATGTACACTTTCAATAGCTACGACTAGTTCAGCAATGTAGAACTGTGCTACAGGTTCTTCAAATATGCCGAACTTAATGAGTAAACTCATCATGTCGCCACCTGGGATGTAATCCATGACGAAATATAAATTGTCTTTGTCTTGGAATGAGTAGTACAGTTTAACTACCCACTCATTGTCTGCTTCAGCTAGAATATCACGCTCTGCTTTAACGTGCGCAACTTGATTTCTCCGCAAAACGTCAGATTTTCTTAAAGTTTTCATTGCATATAAATGGCTAGTGTCCTTTTTCCGCACTAGCGCTACTTCTCCGAAAGCACCAATGCCTAGAGTTTTGATGTTTGTAAAATGATGTTTCTCCATTTTAGCACGTTTTAGTCTTATATAATTTGACTCTTTTTGGTGAAGCATTCTTCTCATTTGCTGTTGTGCTTCATCTGATAATCCTACTTTTGCCATTTCTTTCTCCAGTTGACTTTGTCGGGTTATTCGTTGATTGTAATACTTCAATACATTTTCTACATGCTGCTCAATGTAGAACTTATATGCCTGTGGGGAGTAGGTTTTCACTTTCATCTCATTCTGTTCTAATGTTTTTTGTTTCGCTTTATTTGACCTCTCCGGTATTGGAGAAGTACATCGTTGTTTTTCTACTGGCTGCACTACTTCTGTTTCTATTCCAATTTGTGGCTCTCGTGGTGGTCTTGGAGGGGGTGGCTGTTGACCAATTGGCTGCCTTGGGCCAGGGTAGGGAGGTGGAGGTTTATCAGGAATATCAGAATTTGTTGATGGAGCCGAGCTCGATATTGTGGATGTGATTGAGACGGGTGATTGGTTATTGACAGCCCGGCTGCTGGGTGATGAAGATCTGGGTGTACTATTGAGACTGTCAGCTGGAGTATACTGCAGGTCAGTGTGAGGCTGCCCCACAGCAGCCCCAGCGCCACCTAGATTACTGATCTGTACACTTTGTATGGATGATGGGGCATATGGATTACTCCACTGTATTTGTATGGAATTAGGATTCTGCGTGGGCTGTAATTGATGCTGCTGAGTGGGAATAGGAGGATGATACATATGAACAGGTTTAGGACCAGTATTAGGGTTACTTCTGATATTAATTTCCACATTGCGCATTGCAGGGTTACCAGTGTTAATATGGGCTAGAGTATGGGGTGTAGGATGAGTAGTTGTACGTCCCGCCATTGACATATTGATCTGTGTTTCAACCTGCGATACATAGCTACTCGACTCTGTATTCCCCTGGCTACTCTTCACTACAGGAGGTGGTGCAGTAGCTGTTTGTAAAACAGGCTTCTGAACCTCACGACTTTTCACTGATTGCATAACTATGGGAGGTTGTTTTGTACTCCAGGCTTGCAATGGGACAGGTTGGGGCTGAGTTGTATTCGGGGATGAGCCAAGTTGTGCAAGAGGTCCCCCTAGAGACAATCCCTGCATCTGACTCCCAGGAGAACTACTCCCTGATGAAGGAGAGTCATACATAAAAGAGCTTCCTCCTGCTAGCCGATAATCCGGTATCTGAGTCACTAAATGAGAATGCTCTTGTGAATTTACATGCTGGGGTTGATACCCACCACCTCCCTGACCTCCAGGGGTGCTCTTAGGCCCAGATAACTTCAGTGTAATCTTAGGAGTATGTCCAGGCATACTTGATAGGCTCGTTGCTCCTGGGCCATTCTTCATAATCTCAACTGACAAAGCTCCACTAGCAGGGAGCTGACTACGTCCATTTTGCATAAGTAAGGGGTAAGGTCTTCCTATACTTGGAGACACCCCACGGGGTGGGGTAACAGGGCCGTTACTTGACACGCTAGAGCTTGCACTCTGAGGGCGTAGATTGTCACGAGGCACTGGGGACTTACGACGCATCATTTGCTGAATATTGCTTGGAGGCTGCTGTCCCCTCATGGGAGGGGTTGGAGGCATCTGGCTCCCCCTGGGTGGTAATGGGGGAGGAGGAGTGGCACGCTCACTAGCTGAACTCACACCAGAGCCACTGTGTGAGTGAGATACGATTATAGGGACACTGCCCTGTGATGTCACAATAAAATGACCAGACTGATCAACTAAGCGGCCCTGCATTGAACTCACACTTGGGCTATCTGAGCGCACACTAGTATTATCCGAAACTGGACTCCCAGTACGATACTTCTCTTCAAAACTAGGTTTTCGATGAACCTTTGTATAACCACCAAGACCTGGAAACAAAACATAGAAATTTTTATATCACCTTATAACATATGACTTGCTTTGTAGTTGTTTTATTGGTAAATGATTGATATTCAACTTTGGTTATTCAGAGTTTCTATGGTTTTCAATGTTGAATCTGATTGTAAATTTAATGTCCTACAGAACAACAAAAATGACTTAACTAAAATAATCAATATCATATTCAAAATAATGTAAATCTAAATATTGAAATATTGCCAAAAACGTAATATTCTAAAGATTTAAGAAAACATTCAAAGTCACTCAGTCATGTTTTGCGTCATATATCTTCACCTCTTTCCAACTTTTTGAAAGTGAAGAAATACGATGACTTTTATTTTCTAGCCAATGTTAAAACATGATCACCGTGACATTAATGTTGTTAATTCAAGGCTGTTGAAGTTGGTGTTTTACCTGCTGGTGAAGTGTTCTTTGATATGCCATTCTTGGCCCTAGCCTCCTGGTTCAGAATGGAATACTTGCGAATTATATCCAATGCACTCTCGACACTCTTACTCCCGGTATGCTTCAACGCCCATGTAGCATGTTCCTGGAAGTATATGATGGATTATGGGTTATGCAATGGTATACAAGGCATTATTATATCACTGCTAGAATCGGAAGTGTCTGATTGGTTAATGTCGTCAAATGTGACCAAAATATACCACAATATATTTCACACCTTTCCTAATTTTTAAATTGATAAAAGATCTTCATATGTATAAATAATGTACAGGCAATATCTTTTACACAGTTTAGCAGTGATGGTGGTAGATTGCAAAAATCAATAAGTCTCTGATCCCTGGACCCCCCTCATACAACATTAAATTTTCGAAATGAATGGGACACACAATTTCACCAAATCCCATGACTACACAAGGCATTTACATGCAAAATGTCACCAACTTCAATTTGTTACAGACACTGAACACCAACCCTGAACACCTTCTTAAAAAACGGTGGAGACAATAACAATGTATCACCACTTGTGGTGGTAACATAAAAACCTCTGATCTCTGATCCCTGTACCGTTGTCTTGTTGGCGAGTATTCTTTATGGAAAATGCTATACTGTATTGCAAAGATATTTTAACATGATGAGGCACTACCAAAAGATAAATTTTGAAGGGAAAATTGGGAAAATAAGACAATAATCCCATTCCACGCCAGCCCTAGAACGCAGATAGTGTTTATAGAAAATATAACATTTTGGGATGTTGCAACATATAAATAAAGAAGCGTACATAACATCTTATCAAGTTCTTGAGCAACTCTGGGTCATCTTAACTTCTACCTTCGCTGTTACACACCTTAAGTGCACATAAACCTTAAGTAACCTAGCAAGAAAATATTTTCACATCCATAATGAATACTTTCACATTTAAAAGAATATTATCATATTAAAGGGTAACACAGAAATGAAATTCATAGTCTTTTATTTTATTGAAATCCTCTGTATCGAAGAATTGGATGTTGCATTTTATGAGGAATTTGACCTGAAATTTGTGAAAAGGTGCCGGAGAAAGAGCATGTGTGAAAAGTGGTTGATAAGGCTCAATAGGATGTTTTCAGTGACAGGACGTGCTTAAAATATCCACCTGGCTGGAGAAATTTTAATCAATTCCCAAAAAGTAAAACAAACAAGATAACTTTCTAACATTTCCATATAATTTGGAGCATTGACTTTGACTCCATTTCCTTGATTCCTAATCAATTTCTCTGTATTTTACACTAATTCAGATTTGAAAACTTGAAGTGGCATGACAAATATTGATGCGGGGCTTCAAGTAGCATGACTCACTGCGGTGTATCTCTTGAGTAAAATGTCTAAGTATAATGCCATGAGAAAATGGGATTAGTGAACACCCATATCCTGACAAAAAGTATGAAACCACTATCAAAGTCCATGTCCTCCACTCCCTAAATATATATATTACTTGTCTTTATAAAATAGGTATATTACAAACAGTAATTAATCATGGTTTCTTCTCCATTCTGTATATCACTGACTAGTACTGTAAGACAGACCCAGAAACACCTCCTCGAAGCTTAACTATCGGTATCTCAAAACAAGGCATTAACATACAAAATATCACCACCTCGTCCTGCCATTTGATACAGACACCAACCACTGAACACAACTGCTTAACACCAACCACTTGTGATGGTGACATAATAGGCCAAAAATAATATATAATATGTGCCTTTCATACAACTTCTTTAATCATTGATGTGTTAAGTGCCATATACATTTCGACCAGATCAAAACATAGTGTGTGCACATAGCTTGTCCTTACTGTCATAATAAATCAGACTTGACTTTCAAATTCTGTTTGTCAAACATCAGACTGGGCAAGTGGTCGTGAATTCAAATTAGATGTGCTCCATGTGTTAGTCCATTGCAAGTACCATATAAGATATCATGGTTTATAAAAAATAAAAGTAAGCAAATCTGTTATTCAAGTATCATCAATTCCTTTTATAGTCATGCATCTAAAGTTGAACATAAATTCTGGTAAAACATGTACCTGGAAATCATGTGGCACTTCACCTTGTCAAACATGCATCAGAAAAAAACTGCAGCAAAACCTGTACAGTGGAACACCTCTGTTAGTGCAACACTTTAATCCCAAGACTAACTGACTTCATGTTAAATGAATCTCTTCGCTAGCGGTACCAAAGGTAACTTAGACAGGTTTTACTGTATGTATTAACAAATTTCAATATGAGATGCAGTCTTGCTTCATGCCCCAGTGAACCCCATTATAACATCATCTTCACTCTTGTACAATGTTTTAAATTATCACATGATCTTATATAAGTATTTCTAATAGTACAATCTTATATTATCAAGTAATCTTGTGACACTATTTAATGATCACCTATAATGCTCACATAATCTAGATACAATCTTATAGTTCATATAATATCAATTTCACTATTTAGGCAAATGTTTTTATATACAGTATTGTTAAAATAAAGTGACAGTTATCACATATATACAATTTGCCTATCATATAATATAGTCTTCATGAGTTAATCATTATAATTTACAATATCTGACTCTTGAATAACATACATGTATAGTTGTCATTGACATACAAGTTTGGCCTACGAGCTAAGAGCACAAGCTCATGTTGAGTAAAGAAATTTTATCACGCTCAACATACTTTTTCATCATGTGTAGCTCTCTACACCTCACAGGGGTAGTTTTATCAATGCCAATGAAATCATTCAGCACTGAGTCAGATTGTAAGTCAGATATAAGCTCCTTTGGTAGCCCAACTAATGTGAAATTGTTGATTTGTGATTTCACAATATACTTGGTTTTGCTATTTCTAAGCATGAGGAGTGGTTTTATTGTTGGAAACTGTGTGGTCATAGATAGAATAGTGAGCAGATATTGACTATCAGATTTTGTTTTTGGTAATGGACCAACACAGTCAATAAGAACCTTACTGAATGGTTCATCAAATGCAGGTATAGGGTGTAAAGGAGCAATTGGAATTTTCTGGTTAGGTTTCCCTACCATTTGACATGTGTGACAAGACCTACAATACTCTTGGACATCTTGTTTTAATTTGGGCCAATAGAAATGATTGAGTATTTTATGGTACGTTTTAGTTACTCCTAAATGACCTGCCATAGGCGAATCATGAGCTAGACTCAAGATTTCCTTATGATATGATTTTGGGACAACAATTTGATGTACAATTGCCCAATCGTCTTCTGGGGAAGCTTCAGGAGGTCTCCACTTTCGCATTAATATGCCATCCTTTTTGTAGATACAAACAGGGACCTTGTCAGCTTCATCAATAGTAAGACATCTTTTATGAAGATCAATGAGTGATGGATCATGCTCTTGTTCATAAATTAACATGTGTTTAGAATGAGGATCATTTTTCAAAGAATCACTATCAGAAATAGAGGATGAAACCTCAGAACTAGAAGAGGATGAAACCTCAGAACAAGGAGGGGATGAAACCTCATGAACACTAGCAGAAGAAGATGAAACTTCATCAGGACTAGCAAGAGCGGGCGAAACCGCATTAAAATAGTGATCCTGCTCAGAAGGTGAATCACCTCTGGCAATAGGCTTTTTCAATGAAGAATTTGCCTCAATAGATGACTGCTTGGCTTGAACAGAAGGCTGTTTCAATGAAGAATGTGCCTTTAAAATAGGATAAGGATCATCTTTAACAAGTGGTGAGTGACATTCATCATCAAACAAGGAGCTTAAAAACCCACTATCAAAGTCATCTCCCACAGACAAATCCCCGCTATCAGCTAACTTTTTAGCCATAGCCCTAGTAACAGCACAAGCAGGATATATATCAGAGTCCTCTTGGACAGAATCCTCAATAGAACAAGGCTGATCAGAAACAATGGGGTCTAATGATACCTTACCCCCAGCTAAATCATTGCCTAAAAGCAATGCGACTCCTTCAACAGGAAGTTGTGGCCTAACACCAACAATAACTGGCCCTTTGACTAACTCCGATGTGATATGAATACGATGGAGGGGAACTTTAGTAAAACCTAATTCAATGCCTTGCATCAAAATATGGGTACCTGTGAATGACTCCTCAGATAAAGGAAGGACACCTTCTAACAACAAAGTCTGAGATGCACCTGTGTCTCTAAGAATCTTAATTGGCTTTGAATTGGTACCGTCACGTGACAGAGACACAGATCCTTCCGACATGAAAGGCTTATAATCCTCCATAATATCACTATGAGTTGATTTCTCAGTATGAGTATATGAATCCCAAACAATGGGCTTTCTTGAAATGGGAACTGTAGCACAACCATTTGAATGAGCAGAAACAGACATCTCTCTTCTATTCTTAATCCTATAGCATTCAGAAATAAGATGACCAGGCTTTTTACAATAGTTACAGGTGACATTTGATTTTGGACCTGAAGAATTTGATTGATCTGATTTTGAGCTAGAACTCTGTGATGAATTAGACTGGTCTTTTGCTTTAACTGATGTATTTGATAATGAGGACTGATTTGATTTTGTATCATATGAAGGTTTGTTACCTTGATAACCTCTAAAGTTGGGATTGCCTTTGATAAAACTACCCTTATGAGTAAGAGCATAATCATCAGACAGGGTGGCAGCTTGACTTAAAGTTTCTACCTTGTGTTCATCTAAGTAAGTTCTAATGTGATACTGAACACAGTTTTTAAATTGTTCTATTAGCATAAGCTCTCTGAGCTTTTTAAACTCTTCAGATACATCTTTAGAGACAAGCCACCTGTCAAAAAGCTGCTCTTGCTCTCTAGCAAACTCAACATGGGTTTGGTCACTCTGTTTGTGGGCATTTCTAAATTTTTGTCTGTAAGCTTCTGGCACTAGTTCATAAGCTTTAAGAATTGCATTTTTAACTAGGTCATAATCAGAGCATACTTCTCCTGAGAGAGAGGCAAATATTTCACTTGCTTTACCAATAAATACACTCTGGAGCATAACTGGCCATGCAGATTTAGGCCAGTCTAGGCTCTGAGCAACTTTTTCAAAATGTGTAAAGTATTTATCAACATT